GCTGTTGTGGAATGTTCTGCCATTCTCTCTGTGACGCCTGCTCAAAGCCATCCAGAGTCTGGGAGTGAACATGGAGACCGTAAACACGACTTCCAATCATGTCCCAAGCATGTTCAATGGGATTAAGATCAACTGGCCTTGCAGGCCAGTACATATGTGCGATGTTGCTGATCTAAACAACATCGTTAACAACTCTTTCTCAGGCATTATCATCCATGGACGGGCATTATCATCCATAAAAGTGAAGTAAGGACCCGCTTGTTGTACCAGAATGATTACAGGTAGGTGTACACCGATCAGGGTGCATGTGTGAAGAGTGGAGCACGTTCATGCCACACATTTTGCATGTTGTTTCTGAGGGTGGTTGTGTTCGGGTGATGTTGTCAATCTTATCTAATAAATCAATTTGACAGTCACTAAATGTTATGTATTCTTTGAATATTTACCTTTCAGTAACATGTCGGCAAAAATCGTTATCAAGATTGATAATGATATAATAATGAAAATACTTGTAGCTTATTTTTTTGTGAGGAGTATACTTTACACCCATGGGCTTAGCACTCAGTACAACCTTGAAGCAAGGCTAGGTACAAGGTAAAGTTATTGTTTGTTTTGTGTGTTGTTTAACGCCAAGTCAGATATATTAAATATATATGACGCCGTCAATACATAATCTAGTTTGGAGCAGACAATCCAGTGATTGACAACATGAGCATCGATGTCAACAACAGCGACCCTATCGAAGTCTCCTCTTGCACCAGTTCTAAACGGGTCTTCATGTGTCTGGTAAGTCACCCGTCATGTTTTATAAACAATGTATTTATAAACATATTCATACAATAGATCAAATGGTCAGTTGTTGGGGGCGATTGGACGTATATACAAAAATAGGAGGTTATACATTGCGACCGTTGTTGTCAACAGCGGGGATTCTGTATAAAGGTGTCTGCACACATCGAATCTATGTTTGATGGTTTATGTTTACAAACATAAGTTTGGGTAACTTCTTTGAGTGGCATTTTAGAAGTTGACAACTACGATATAGAATAAACTTTATGGATAACAACTTCTTTTATTCTTGAGTGCGACGTTTCGATGCAGATTCTTATACCGTTGTCTACTTGACAACGATACAAGAATCTGTATCGAAACGTAGTACGCATGAATAAAAGAAGTTGTTATCCATAAAGTTTGTTCTATATCTTAAGTTTGGGTGTTTGTTAATACTACGAAAAGAGTTTGCGAGCTTGTCTGAGAAAAGGTCTGTTTCCCAGACTTTAGAGAATAAACAGGAGTCCAAATCGCATCTGGAATGAGTCATTCTAGATTGCCTCAACTCTAGGACATTAAGAATTGTTCTATGCCAAGTTTCAATGAGATTTCTTTGTACGTGTTGGGGTTTTAGATATTATCAAATAAGATAACTTTATTTCTTGGAATAAATATCGGTCAAGATAAGTATCGGTCTATATTCTCACCAATATTTTGGACAACATCGTAATGGTTTCACAACAGTTGTATCCTCCCCAGGGAGTTGAGATTGATAATGCGATGTGCCGTTGAGACTGACATCCAATGATCGAGGGAAACATAGAGCGCCTTAGAGCAGCCTAGCTGGAACTCGGGGCTATATAAATAGATTATAAATATACAAACAATCTCACGAGATGGGTGACAAGATTCTCAGGACTGAACTTGACATGACAAAGGTTCCAGCACGCAGATTCACACCTCTTTTTAAACTTGAATACAGAATTGCACATGGCTATGACGTCATTTCCGCTATGGAAGACTTCTTCTTACACGACAAGACACCACAAGGCTTCCGTGAAGATCCGGGTTAGAAATGGTCATCAGTAACCCATGCTTGTCGTAAGAGGCGACTAACGGGACCAGGTGGTCAGGCTCGCCTACTTGGTTGACACGTGTCATCGTATCCCAGTTGCGTAGACCGATGCTCATGCTGTTGATCACTGGATTGTCTTATCCAGACACGATTATGTACAGACCACCACCATATAGATGGAATATTGCTGAGTGCGGCATTAAACAACAAACTGCCAAAACCCCACAAGAAGGAAGCTTTCTACACCAGTGGTACCAGACATTTCACCATAGTTAGTAGAAGTTTGTGAGTCACAGACGGATGATGTTCGAAGATGACTAGCAATCAAAGCCGTCCATTGTCGATAAGCTCCGAACCTTTCAGCCATGCCTGGTGTCTGCTTTAGAGACAGAGAGAACAAGTGTTTGTCTGTGAAAACTCAAGAACCAACCCCAACCATTTTTTTGGCAAATTTATGCCATAAAGCCGTTTCTTGTATAACAATATTTCTAATTGTTAAAAATGTGGTCACTTCTGGTTGGATTTTAAACATTTAAACTTTTTCCACATGCATCGCACATTGCCCATTCACGACATGAATAATCTGAAGCGCATGTAAAATATCTTACCACGAACTGACGCCGTGCTTCAAAATAATCAATACCAACACCGTAAGTCTTGTCAACATTGGCCGTTCTGCCATGGATTACGTTCATTTAACAAGGAAACCAGCTTGTCCTTTTCGTGCGTATTTTCTTTATGGTTACAAAATGGTGCCAAATTATTGTTTTCTCATTCATGTGACAAGGCACTGAACCAGTGTACTAAACAGATAAGAGTAAGTGAGTGAGTTTAGTTTTACGCCGCACTCAGAAATATTCCAGCTATATGGCGCCGGTCTGTAAATAATCGAGTCTGGACCAGACAATCCAGTGACCAACAACATGAGCATCGATCTGCGCAATTTGGGAACCGATGACATGTGTCAACCAAGTCAGCGAGCCTGGCCACCCGATCCCGTTAGTCGCCACTTACGCCAAGCATGGGTTACTGAAGGCCAATATTCTAACCCGGACCTTCACGAGTTAACAGATAAGAGGTGAGGTGAGGTGGGGTGAGGTGAGGTGAAATGCATTGGTTTAACGTTGTACTTAAGAATATTTGTTCTCTTATGACGACGTGCATACGTGTGTATGTGTATGTGTGGCTGTGTGGTATGTGTGACTTAAGCTGGCTTTATAGTGCTAGCCCACTGAGATACCATGCCGCAGTGAACCATGAATACCCCACTCAGACACATTATACTGACTCCGAGCCGACAAGTCCTTGTTGTACCCATTAATGTCGTGCGCCAGGCAGGGACCAACAAGTACCATAATTTATGGATTTTGGTTTGACGCGGTCGGGGATAGAACCCGCTACCTTCCGCTCTCCGGGCGGACGCTCTAACCACTACACCACGGAGGCGAGATAAGACTCATTGATGTAAGTTATAAGTCTGCCTTCTTCTAAATACGAGCATGGACAAATAAAATATACAATCACCTCTTTAAACACGATGTGTCTGTTAATTGTCATATCAACTGACGTGTGTGTGTGTGTGTGTGTGTGTGTGTGTGTGTGTGTGCTTGTGTGCGTGCGTGCGTGCGTGCGTGTGCATAGGATGATCCAGGAATTTTCAAAGTGGGGGGTTCACCTCGGCTCCGCCAATGCAAAACATCAACTTCATCCCACCCCACGCCCCACCCCACGCACCCTGCATCCGCCCATGATGTTCGTGTGTGTTAGGATTATGCTCATTTTGTCACATTGGCCTCATACAACTGGGCGAGTGAATACCCATGCATGTTTTACCCGTTTACCAACACACCATCAGTATTACAGCGGAGTGTCGTAGTTCCTACAATGACTATATTCTGGCGGTGGTGATAATGTGAACAGATTTCTGTCACGCGTTCCCTTTTCTAGTTCACATACAGGATACAAATCGAAAATACTAATTTTACATTAATACTATAACCATATACAACATTTTGCCATGTTGCCAAACTCACCTGAACTGTTGAACCCTGTGGCTACACTCGAAGCCAGTACAGAAACCCTGATTCTAAAACAATCACTTCAAAGTCAGTCACAGTCTTTGATGACTGATTTCTTCACAAACTGAAGCTTTTATATGCAAGTATGTAATAAACAAATGTACATGTACTTTGTCAGTGTTTCTTCTTTATACGCATTCATGTAACATGTGTTTTATGCACAATCGTATGTTCGTCAAAGGGAGATAACTCCATTAAAACCTGTGTACTTCGGACTACTGTATAATTCGGACTTTTTAGTCGGTCCCAAGCTGGTCCGAATTAGACAGAGTGCACTGTACGTTGTAATGACAGTCCGAGCCTATGTTATGATGGTCTATTATAAACTGTCCCGCAGTCCAAAGTACACAATAACATCTTCTTCGTTGCCTGTTCGGGCGATGGGGTAGCCCAGTGGTTAAAGCGTTCGCTCGTCACTCTGAAGGGATCGATTCCCCACATGGGCACAATGTGTGAAGCCCATTTCTAGTGTCCCTCGCCGTGATGTTGCTGGAATATTGCGGCGTAAAACCACACTCCCTCGTTGCCTGTTCATTTAGGCTCATCGACATCTGACTTCTGGTACCGCATTCCCTCGTCTGTCCGTAAATAAATAAATCTACACACATCAACGATTTAAAACAACAACTTATATTTGTTAACGGGCGGATGAGGAAATACGGAATCCACAGTCCGATATAGGTCAGGTTAGAAACATCGTCCAGTACTTACACATCACTTCTACTACTCAGATATGCATGATTTATTAAAATATTTACAATCTATATACAAACCTCTTCCACAACTTACCGCCACATCAGTATGCATTTTCGTAACCCATCCACGGTGACACCGAGGTCATATTATTTTTGGAGCATTGTATGTCTTTTTATGTCTTCTGTGGTATTTTGTGTGCAACACATATAGTGAGTAACTTTTACTTTCTTAATCTTCACCACTTTTGTTAAGCGTTAGTGACGTCAAGGCTAAGTCAAGTTTGGGCTCTGGTGTAAGGGAAACAACTCTGCATAGATCTTTTCGCAATGAGGTAGAAACATCGTATTTTCGGTGTAAACTCTTTGCAGAGTTATGGAGGAGTCGGTTAAGGGTAACCTTCACGAAAAATATACGAGTAGTGTATAGAGTTGTAGTATATGAATTAAGCAAATCACATTTCTGCTCGTGTAATCCTTCTGGCATATTCTTTGTCGGGATTAATACTCATCTTTGTGTGAAACAGGTAATTATAAAATCTGTAACTGTTCTGTATTTGTTATAATCTCCCACACAAAACAAAGATCTCGTGATCAGTTTCACAAAGCACTCATGATAGAAATCGAATGGCGAACATGGAAGTGTTTGGGACTGGGTTTTTCAATTTTCACTTTCACTTATGATTTTATGTATGTATATTTCGTCACCTATTCATCGTGCGAATATGTTTGCACTTTTCACATATTTGCAATGTGGAGGACACTAGATTCACAAGCACACGTTATTAGCAGCAGATACCGAATAGAAAAGCTTCGGTGATAAACCTTTTTGAAAACCAACGTTTTGTTTGGGTTTTTCACTTGTTCCACGATCGTATTGTCTATAAGGAATAATAAACCAATACTTGTTAGTTAAAATGATCGACGCATTTCATATTAGAAGCTGATTTAAAACAGAAGTAATATAAATGTAAACTCCATGTAAATTGAAGAGTAAGTAGCATATGTTGATGTTAGTCATTTGCAAAGTGTATACTCAGTAATTTGTAATATTTGAGTACATATGAGGAAGGCTAGATCTTCCTCTATTCTTTCTCAGTAGATTTTACAGTGCACATGCACTTTGCTTGATACCTTTCTGTGTTGTTTGTTTGATGCTACTAATATAGCATAGGGTGATAACTCTCAAACTACGCACCAAAATTGCATTTGTATTGTTCATTATTGTAAAATCTCAAAGATAGATATCAAAGTAGCCCATGAAAACAAACTTTGACTTCAGCTTCAAATAATATTTAAATGTAAGTATGATTGTGTGTCCATGCCTCATCAGAGACATATATTAGGTTCAGAACATTAGCCCAAACTCTATTCTTATGCCTTGGATCGCCTTTCCAGTCAAACACCCCTTCATGATCCCAAGGGTTGGGCAGCAGTTGCCAATGAAATACCCCAGTAAAATCCCAATTGCGCAGGTCGATGCTCATGCTGTTGATCACTGGATTGTCTAGTCCAGACTTAATTATTTATAGACCGCCGCCATATAGCTGGAATAATGAGTGTAGCGTAAAACTCAACTCACTCACTCACTCACTTTAGTCTTAGATACCCCTTTACAATCCTTAGGGTCAATTGTGAGGTTGGGTGGGTTGGCTGTCTCTTGTTACAAAGAAATCTGATGCAGTTTGTGGAAACTACATAGATTTTTATAAAGTTTCGTGGAGAAAATGGTTGCTGTGCATATCACAGAGAGGTAAACAATCGGATGATGATGACTTTAAACAGGAACATTAATTACTTGTGACAACACCTGTGGTTTTGTGGTAGGGTGTTTGATTAACTCATTAGCTAAGCTCGGCTTCAAGCTGACAAAGTGAGTTCGATCCTCCACGTGGCGCTAATTGATATCAGACAAAGTCCGACCCGTGAAGTGCACTACTCCCACAATATACATTGACAAAAGCATTTGATTCAAGCTGTTGCTTCCCAAACCAAAATTGTTATTTTAGCTAGGTGGCAAAATTTGGCATTGGAAAACCACAAAAAGTGTAACTAAGGACTACAAAGCAGTGCCACAGTCTGCTAGAAATCTTACTGATTTAAGGTGTTTGTATACGATGAAAATTGCATCTTATTGTAACCTAGTCATGGTGTAAAACATGCAGAGTTGTAACTCTTATGAGACACTTGTCATGCTACAATATGTATCGCAGTATCTGATGTAAAATATTCAGAGCTTAGCTTGTAATCTTGTTAGTTGTCATGGTAATACATATCTCAAAAACATGGTTGGAATATTGTACAGTATATGAACAGATGCTGAGCTATAATCTGTCTTCATGTACATGACTGGCAGATGAAATGACATTAAACTATTCATCATGCTCCGGTGTGTGAGTCTTTGAAATGTTAGATTTTCTCATCATATTTCAGCCCCAAACTCTTCTGATGAACTTGGGGCTGTGGGATAGACTAATGTTTAATGTGTCCGCTTGACATGCTGGGGTTGGATTCTGAACATGGGTACAATGTGTGAAGCCCATTTCTGGTGTCCCCGAGTGTGATATTGCTGGAATATTGCTAAAAGCGGTGTAAAACCAAACTTACTCACTCGCTCACTCTGATAAACTACAAAATGAAAACAAAATTACATCAGACTTCAACATTAAATGATGCCATCAAGTAACTTGATGATTCATAGAATTAGAAAGAAACCTGAATTGTCTTGATATCTCAATTAGAAAGTCAAACCAGTTTTACATTTTCCTAACCAAATTTCCTGATCCGTTTCACACACTGTCATAGTAAATGTGAATTTGGCACAGTATTTAGTGTATAGAGCAATAGAATGTGTACAAAACCCATCCAATTTCAATTGGAAAGGTAGATTAATTTATCTAAATCTGAGTAATGCCTATATTTAGAAAGAATAATGTCATTCATTGATATATCCAGAATATCATGTGTTGCAGAGAAATCATTAGTAGAAATTTAAGTATGGATATGTGAACTCAAAAATACCATGATATATTTATTCATTATATATAATTTACATATAGATTATATATAAGATATGATTTTTTTGTGTAGACTTGCAGTTAATCAACTCATTGCTAAATATGAAATACTCTAATCCATTAAACATATGTAACTGGATTTTCTGTCTTGTCATTGAACATTTTTTGTGGTAATAAATTGTTGATTTAGTATCTGTATTCATAATTTGTATTGGCACTGCATTGATGTCACAAAATTATAGATGTGACAATATTACCATATACCATAAAATATCTTTACTGCCTTGAGTTCAAATCATTAACATGTGTGAAAATTCACCAGCACACATGATCCAACGGTACAAATGATGCATCATATAAATACTTGGGTGTTCACTTCTCTTCCTCTGGATCATGGTATGTTGCACAGAAAACTTTGGCTGACCAAGCATGGAAGGTGTTGAATATTTTCAAATCATCGCTTAAGAAATTTTATAATCTACCAAGTAATGTTCTGCTCCATATATTTGATGTCAAAGTTTTGCCATTGTTACTATACGGAAGTGAAGTCTGGGGTTTCCACCCGTCGCCATCTGTATTGAATGTACACGATAGGTTCTGTAAACAGGTTTTGGGTCTTTCAAGATACACGCCAAATATTGCAGCGCGTGCTGAGATTGGTTGTTATTCATTAAAGGTAAATCAGTACATTAAAATTGTTCAATATTGGGTTCGCCTCTTGTCTCAAGTGGAGAATGTAATCTTAAATAAGGTATATGAGTATCAGTATTGTCTTGCTGAAAAAGGTACAGATTGTTGGGCTTTTAAGGTGAAATCTCTTTTGTACAGTTATGGTTTTTGGCAATGTGTGGGCCAGTCAAAGTGTTGGAAATATCTCTACTTTCATATCATTATTTAAGCAAAGATGTATTGATATAGATAGCCAGTTGTGGTCATCTTGTATTATACTTGTTTCGAAATTGGATTTTTATCGCAGGCTCAAAGAAGGTGTAGCTTTTGAGTTCTATATCGATAGTGTTAGTGTAGAACAGTTTCGAATCTTCTTAAGTAGATTTCGTTGCTCAAACCACAATTTGATGATAGAGTACAGTAGACATTTAGGTCTTAAAAGGGAGGATCACCTGTGCCCACTTTGTATCATACCTAACATAGAAAATGAATATCACTTTTGCCTGGAATGCCCTATTTATGGGAAATTAAGAAATGATATCCTCCCTAAATATTATCACATATATCCATCTGAAGTGAAATTAGTTGTTTACATCAAAGAATACTTATATTATAAATTGTCTTGCAAAATATCTATTTTTTGCCATGAAAAAAAAAAAAAAAATTTCTTTCAGTCTTCGTACCCACAAATGTATAATTGTGCAGCTCTCATGATGTTGTACGGTGCTCTAATGATTGTATATTCTGTACACCTGATGTATAATGGGCCTGTGGCCCCTTTACTGAATAAAACTCTCTCTCTCTCTCTCATTAAATATACTTTACATATAGATATGAAATTTCTGTGTAGACTTGCAGTTAATCAACTCATTGCTAAATATGAAATACTCTAATCCATTAAACATATGTAACTGGATTTTCTGTCTTGTCATTGAACATTTTTGTGGTAATAAATTGTTGATTTAGTATCTGTATTCATAATTTGTATTGGCACTGCATTGATGTCACAAAATTATAGATGTGACAATATTACCATATACCATAAAATATCTTTACTGCCTTGAGTTCAAATCATTAACATGTGTGAAAATTCACCAGCACACATGATCCAACGGTACAAATGATGCATCATATAAATACTTGGGTGTTCACTTCTCTTCCTCTGGATCATGGTATGTTGCACAGAAAACTTTGGCTGACCAAGCATGGAAGGTGTTGAATATTTTCAAATCATCGGTTTAGAAATTTTATAATCTACCAATTAATGTGCTGCTCCATATGTTTGATGTCAAGGTCTTGCCATTGTTACTATACGGAAGTGAAGTCTGGGGTTTCCACCCGTCGCCATCTGTATTGAATGTACAGGATGGGTTCTGTAAACAGGTTTTGGGTCTTTCAAGATACACGCCAAATATTGCAGCGCGTGCTGAGATTGGTCGTTATTCATTAAAGGTAAATCAGTACATTAAGATTGTTACATATTGGGTTTGCCTCTTGTCTCAAGTGGAGAATGTAATCTTAAATAAGGTATATGAGTATCAGTATTGTCTTGCTGAAAAAGGTACAGATTGTTGGGCTTTTAAGGTGAAATCTCTTTTGTACAGTTATGGTTTTGGCAATGTTTGGGCCAGTCAAAGTGTTGGAAATATCTCTACTTTTATATCATTATTTAAGCAAAGATGTATTGATATAGATAACCAGTTGTGGTCATCTCGTATTATACTTGTTTCGAAATTGGATTTTTATCGCAGGCTCAAAGAAGGTGTAGCTTTTGAGTTCTATATCGATAGTGTTAGTGTAGAACAGTTTCGAATCTTCTTAAGTAGATTTCGTTGCTCAAACCACAATTTGATGATAGAATACGGTAGACATTTAGGTCTTAAAAGGGAGGATCGCCTGTGCCTGCTTTGTATCATACCTAACATAGAAAATGAATATCACTTTTGCCTGGAATGCCCTATTTATGGGAAATTAAGAAATGATATCCTCCCTAAAAATTATCACATATATCCATCTGAAGTGAAATTAGCTCAGTTGTTTACATCAAAGAATACTTATATTATAAATTGTCTTGCAAAATATCTATTTTTTGCCATGAAAAAAAAAAAAAATTTCTTTCAGTCTTCGTACCCACAAATGTATAATTGTGCAGCTCTCATGATGTTGTACGGTGCTCTAATGATTGTATATTCTGTACACCTGATGTATAATGGGCCTGTGGCCCCTTTACTGAATAAAACTCTCTCTCTCTCTCATTATATATACTTTGCATATAGATATGAAATTTCTGTGTAGACTTGCAGTTAATCAACTCATTGCTAAATATGAAATACTCTAATCCATTAAACATATGTAACTGGATTTTCTGTCTTGTCATTGAACATTTTTGTGGTAATAAATTGTTGATTTAGTATCTGTATTCATGATTTGTATTGGCACTGCATTGATGTCACAAAATTCTAGATGTGACAATATTACCATATACCATAAAATATCTTTATTGCCTTGAGTTCAAATCATTAACATGTGTGAAAATTCACCAGCACACATGATCCAACAGTACAAATGATACACCCGCATACGCCATGCACCCATACACATGATATACCTGTACACTTGATACACTCATACACATGATACACCTGTACACATGATACACCTGTACACATGATACACCTGTACACATCATGCACCTGTACATGTGATACACCATTACATGTGATACACCCATACACATGATACACCTGTACATGTGAAACACCTGCACACATCATACACCTGTACACATCATGCACCTGTCCATGTGATACACTTGCACACATCATACACCCATACACATGGTACACCTGTACATGTGATACAACTGCACACATGATACACCTGTACACATCATACACCGGTACATGTGATACACCTGTACACATCATACACCTGTACATGTGATACACCTGAACACATGATACACCCATACATGTGATACACACATGCTGTTGATCACTGGATTGTCTGGTCCAGACTCAATTATTTACAGACCGCCGCCATATAGCTGTAATATTGCTGAGTGCAGCGTAAAACTAAACTCACTCACTCACATGTGATAAACCTGGCCCTGGGGTCATGAAAGTGACTTAAGTCTAAAAATTGCTAAAGTCTGTCATTTTGATCTTAAGTCCAAAAAATTGTCTTAAATCGGGGATCGCGTACATTTTTTAGTCGTAAAAGTTAAGACTGAGATCATTTTTTGTCTTAAATCCTGAGACTGCTACCTACCAGTCTTAAGCCCTTTTTGATGCCGAGTATTTTTTCAGGCCCACAATTTCGTAAGGTTTGAAAAGTGAACGTTGTGTGAGATTTGCGTTTGCGTGGTCCTGGATCTGCGTACAGCTATATAATTACACACAAATGTGGAATATTAAATTTCCTATCCGTTGGTATAAATATAAATGCAAATACCTCGGCAGTTTGAGAAATAAACACTGCTAAATGATGTCCAAAACTTTGCTATGCGTTAAAAAACAGTAAATTTCTCCGCTTTTGATCGTGCACCGGTAAAAGCACTGTGCTACGATTTTTTTAATTTGGCATCTTTACGGAAAGTGTGAGCGAAGAAATTACAGCCTGATATCTGAACGACATAAGTTTATATGAAATGGGTTTATTTGCTTATGCATAACGTTATATGCTCAACATTAAAAATGACTCGCAATAAATGTAAAAAATGGACAGGTGTATGATGTGTGCAGGCGTATCACATGTACAGGTGGATGATGTGTGCAGGTGTATCACATGTACAGGTGTATGATGTGTGCAGGTGTATCACGTGTACATGTGATACACCTGCACACATCATACACCTGTACACATCATACACCCGTATACATGATACACCCATACATGTGATACACCTGTACACATGATACCCCAAAACACATGATACAAGCGTACACATGATACATAGGTTATTTGTTACAATATATGGAGGTAGTCCACTCTGGCCATGTGGACAGTAGACTTTGTGAGTGGACAAACCCAGTTGTATGTATTGTTCATACCTGACACACCTTGGATGGTTGTTCATGTATCTATTCATGTCTCTGATGCAGGCATAATTCAGAATGGCTGACTCAACAGAAAATCAGGAGAACGCAGGTTCAGGGAACACAGGCACTGCTGGAGGGGAACCCCCACGTCAGGGAAACCCAGTGTTGGTGGGTATATACTGTTAGTCACTGTGTCGGGCTGTCTTCTGTGTCAGTATCAGCTTAAGGTGCAGAGCTGCTTTTCTGGAACAGCATAGAAACTTATAATCATGGTTTCAAGTCTGGTTTGCCTCGATTACATGCAGGTTTAACAGACCAAACACATGGTCATGGGTTTTCCGCCAAAGTGGTAAATGTTGCATTCAAGTAAAAATTTATTATAATATGTCAGTCTTAAAATAATGGATTTTAAGATGTGTTTTCATTCAATAATGAATCTTTGCATATGAATACATTTTTGGACTCAACTATCCATTTTGTGACATGACATGTTTGTTGCAATGTTTCTTCCATGCATCAAAAGGCATCTCACTAATTCTGCAACGTTAGTCAATAATAAATGAAAAGGAAGTCATCGTGCTGATGTATAGAGCTTGAAAGTAGTCTCTCATTTGCATATTTATCGGACCCTGTTGCATAGTTGGGTTGGTTTAATGTATATATAAGATTAGCCGTTATACAATACATTTCAGTAATATCTGATCTGCTTCAGGGACACATGATGGGGAACAAAGTGGAAGCAGGTCTTTGGTTCACCAGGATCTTCACCGTGATCTGCACTTTCCTCTACATATTGCCTTTCTTTGGGTAGGTCAGAAGTTGTTTTTTCCAAGTCCACAGTTCACTGAATCTACAATACCTTTTAGAATGTGGTCACATGTGATGTGTTAGATTTGGATCACACTTCTTCAGTAAAGTGGGGCGGTGGGGTAGCCTAATGGTTAAAGAGTTGGCTCGTCACGCCGAAGACCCGGGTTCAAATCCCCACATGGGCACAATGTGTGAAGCCCATTTCTGGTGTCCCCCGCCGTGATGTTGCTGGAATATTGCTAAAAGCGGCGTAAAACCAAACTCAGTCAGTCAGTCAGTCAGTCTTCAGTAAAGTAAAGGTTCTAGTAGTTTGTAGGGTGAGTCTCTAGCAGGATTTGAATCCACACTGACAGAATGAGGCATGTAATCGCTAACACACAAAGTCGTCGATCTAACCCACTTATGTGGAAACTGAGGTGGCTGAGTGGGTTAGATTGCTGACTTGTGATCAGGATTCAGAGTTGTTTCAACACTCTTCAGATCGAGTTGTCATGTTGGATTTTTTCTATAAATATGATATTCAAATTCATGTCAAAGATTATGAAGTGAATAACTGCATGTAAATTTGGAACTGCAGTATTTATCCAAACCTGAATTATCTCCCCTTGCAGTGGCAACCCATACAGCTTTTACCAGAGGGCTCTCATCAGCAGCGTGGCATCCAGCGCACTTCGCCTCCATCAGCGGATCCCAACAGTGCAGTTCTCCCGGGAGTTCCTGGGCCGGTTGTTCATGGAGGACAGCTGCCACTATCTCCTCTTCTCCATCATCTTCATCAACAGTTTCCCCATCACCAGTATCCTCCACACACCAGATTCAGCCCACAAACCGTTGTTAGTTATTTTGTTTCTCAAAGTGTTGACTAGAGAAAATCAGTTGAGCTGCTTGACCTCTTGTCTTGTTGTCCATCCTTTGTTAGAATGATTTTTAGCACCTTCCCCAAAACTCAAATGGAGCTGAAACTTGTGGGAATTATCTCAGCTATGGTGTCTCGAAAACATGTTCAATGAATTCCAGTTGTTTTTATACATGGCTTCTACAGTGGCCATATTGAAAATAACATTTTTGTCCACTACTTTTGTATGTATCAATACGAAATTTGATGTGGAGCAAGTATAGGATATCTGGTGTAAGATATAATACACTGTTTAGCACGATTTGAAATTTAATCAGACTATGACCTTAAATACATGTTTTGACTTGCCTGTCTTAAGTTGGTTTTGTGCCTATTTCGCCACACCCAGATCCTATTTGATATGCACAGGGTGTAGTGACAAGGGTTATGTGTTGTTGACATCCACAACCCAACTCGTCAGTTCCAACAGTTGTTGTTTCCTGACCATGTACCAGTGGCTTTGTGTCCAGTGTTCCTGTTTGCCTTGCTGCACGCATGTTCCTACACCAAGACAATCCTCAACGTAAGTAGTCACAAGTCTTCATTGATTAATTGATTCTGTCATAGTCGTCATCATTGTCGCCTTTGTCATCATCATCATCATCATCATCATCATCATCATCATCATCATCATCATCATCATCATCCTGTGAAGGTCCGGGTTAGAATATTGATCTTCAGTAACCAATGCTTGTCATAAGAGGCGACTAACGGGATCGGGTGGTCAGGCTCGCTGACTTGGTTGACACATGTCATCGGTTCCCAATTGCGCAGATCAATGCTCATGCTGCATCATCTGGATCTGTGTCCTGGAAAACTGTACAATAGAATTTAGATACCTCCATCACTTTAGGCTCTCTCTCAGCCTCAGCTGACACTCGGTGATGTAATGGGAATACTGTAAAAAGTGGCGTTGGGACCGTGGCGTTAAACCCATCTGACTCACTTCTGTTGCAGCTCATGGGACCAAGCTCAATGCAGTTTTTGAGGAACATGATCACCAAGCTGGAGGCTCAGCAGATCAACATTCTCCGCTTCATCGCATGTAACGAAATCTTCCTCATGCCAGCTATCATTCTGATGATCTTCAGGTGAGAAAGATTTTGACAGTAAAATTGACATCCAATATTGATGAGATGTCTGTTTGATCCGTTTTATAAGTCAAAGAAGTCCAGCTTTGACCCTTGTCAAACTAGGCTGGTCTTTTGTGGCTCGATTGTAGTGTCACCAGTGGCTATTAGGAGTTATGTCCCTTCTATGTCCTCTCCTATCGACCAGTCAGATGTTACCTGTCATTCCTTGCATTTGTTTCAGCGAAGTGAATCTGAGTCAAGACAATCTGATCGATAATCAAGATCTGTATTGTAATAAAACAAATCTCACCTAAAAAAGTGCATCAAATTACTTTATCATGTTGATTGAAAGCCTGAAAATATTTGGAAGATATATGTGAACATACATCCAGTTAAAGGTACACATACTTGCAAATCTTGCCATTGGCAAGGCAGTTTATGAACCAGACATATATTTCGTCACACAGTTTTGATTGGTCTATGCATCTACTTGTTAGTCCAGCCAAAACATTACTCTGAATTTACACTTATTACAGCCTAGTTCGCTGCATAAGAGGTATTATATGGTAATGTGGCGTAAATGTTTTGTAACTTTTCTTACATTGTATATTTAAGAGTCAGTAGAGGGAGCTTGTGAATACTATATTTTTGAAGATCCGGGTTACAATATTGATCTTCAGTAACCCAGGATTAACGGGATGGTCCTTGCTGACTTGGTTGATTCATCGGTTCTACAAAATGTCATGCTGTTGAAGGACTTACAGTCTGCCATATAGCTGAAATTTTTTAGATGGCGTAAAACTAAACTCACTCTCACTAACTCACTATATTTAGACTGGATGGATGGATGGATGGATGTACTCACTCTGTCCGTGTATGAAGGGAGAACACAGTTGCATAATGTCCCCAAAAATGTTTTTGAGTTGCTTGGTTCCAAATGAAAATAAGAGGTATCTACTCTACAGTGAGACTACATCAAATTTCAAAACACAGATGGTTCATCTCCTAACTAGAGCTTACGATAACCTGAAGAATATATTCCAAACTGCTTCTTCGCCATGTTCACACAGTTGGTTGTTCTCATATCTCTTCCAGTGGCAAGTCCAGCCTCATCCTGCCATTTGTGTACTACCGTTTCCTGTCACTGAGATATTCCTCCAGGAGAAACCCCTATTGCAGGTAGGTCATGTGCAAGTGCTTGCTATTCCTCCAGGAGAAACCCCTATTGCAGGTAGGTCATGTGCAAGTGCTTGCTATTCCTCCAGGAGAAACCCCTATTGCAGGTAGGTCATGTGCAAGTGCTTGCTATTCCTCCAGGAGAAACCCCTATTGCAGGTAGGTCATGTGCAAGTGCTTGCTATTCCTCCAGAAGAAACCCCTATTGCAGGTAGGTCATGTGCAAGTGCTTGGTATTCCTCCAGAAGAAACCCCTATTGCAGGTAGGTCATGTGCAAGTGCTTGGTATTCCTCCAGAAGAAACCCCTATTGCAGGTAGGTCATGTGCAAGTGCTTGGTATTCCTCCAGGAGAAACCCCTATTGCAGGTAGGTCATGTGCAAGTGCTTGCTATTCCTCCAGGAGAAACCCCTATTGCAGGTAGGTCATGTGCAAGTGCTTGCTATTCCTCCAGAAGAAACCCCTATTGCAGGTAGGTCATGTGCAAGTGCTTGGTATTCCTCCAGAAGAAACCCTATTGCAGGTAGGTCATGTGTAACTGTTTCCTGTGGCTGATGATTAGGTGTCAGACTCTTGAGAGTGTGGATTTGAAACCTGGATGGGACTCAAAATGTACAAGAATCTGTATTTTACTGAGAAAGTGTAATCCCAAATTTAACGCTTGTTACGTTTGATCCCTTTCTAAAAGGCATTGTGTATTAAACTGACTTAAAATCGCTACATGGCTGTAATATTGCTGCTGCAATGTAAAATTTTAACTCACTCAACTCACTTAAATTAACACATTCAACTTAACACATTCGCTTTAACTCATCTATTTCAACACACTCAATTTAACTTTAATTTCACTAACTTTATTCAACAGACTCATTTCAAATCACTCAGTTTCTCATTCATTCATTTTAACTCACTCAATTTAACTCATGCTATTTAACTCATGCTATTTAACTCATGCTATTTAACTCAGTTCAGTTCAGTACAACTCAATTTACATCAGTTTATTTAAATTGTTCTAACTTCCTCTGAATTGGTTGATCTCATGGTTTGTTTCTGTAGGACGCTGTTCACAGAGCTGCGTATGATGGTGGAGTACGTGTGCAACAAGCCCCAGTGCCCAGCATTCTTCCGCAACATCTGCTACAAGGGTATCTCGATTGTCGGCCGCCTCGCACCAGCTGTAGCCCAAGCTCAGTGATGGAGCAGGTGTAGTGGTTGTCAACGGTCAATATCTGTATGTGCTGCGCAGATCTCAGTGAGATTGTGAACTGATTGGGTGTGTTGTGTTGTGGAAGTTGCTTTTGATTGGAAACAAATAAGAAATGGGTCAGTTTGTTCTGTGACCATGGGACCTGATCCCACTATGCTGAACAAAACAAGTTAAGGAACATGAATATTTTGTGTGTTATATTTAAGAAATTGCTAGCTCAGTCTTTGCTTCTAAATATTATCCCCCAAAATATTCATGATCACTAACGTATCCTGCTCAGTATGTGTCAATTCCATTGTTTAGATGAGAGTATAACTTCATTATCTTGAGCCTGGTGAACTATGATATTCAGTCAATTAGGCTTTGGAGGTCAAGGATTCGAAGGAAAACCAGACTGACTCTCCATGCTATAAGGGGGCGGTGGGGTAGCCTAGTGGTTAAAGACCCGGGTTTGATTCCCAACATGGGTGCAATGTGTGAAGCCCATTTCTGGTGTACCCCGCCGTGATATTGCTGGAATATTGCTACAAGCGACTTAAAACTAAACTCACTCACTCCATCCTTCAAAAAAAATTAGTCGAGGTACACAGATGTTCTCTGAATTCTGAAATTCCTTACTTTCACTCTTTGACAAAACTTCCTGAAGTGTATTCATCGTAATGATAGCTTGCAACAGTTTGGTGTATGTACAACAGGGACAGAGGGCACAACCATTGGCCATGCCAGAAAGGTAGTGGAATGCCGAAGCAACAGAAAGATGTCACAGACGGTTTTATTGATTTCTATTTTGACAATGACCTAACTTTAGACCAAAGTTTTTTGCTCAACCTTTCAAATGCGAACTCTAATTCTGGTATAATATTTATCCATTTCAAACTGTCATCACCGACACTGTGTATTCTTATACATGTAACTGCTACATGTCCAATGATTGGAGGGTAGCTCTGTGGATAAAGTGTGTACTCACACCGAAGACCTAGGTTTGATTCTCTACAAAGGTACGAAGTGGGAAGCCCAAGTCTTTTGTACCCTGTCAAAATATTGCTGGAATGTTCCTATAAGCTGTGTAAAACCATACTCACTCTCTCACAAACACCGAGTACTGATGAGACTTAACAACTGATGCAGTCTGACAGGTTCAATGTATTCGAGGGGCAGTGGGGTAGTCTAGTGGTTAAGGCGTTGGCTTGTCACGCTGAAGACCCGGGTTTAAAGCCCATTTCTGGTGTCCCCTACCGTGATAACACTGGAATATTGCTAAAACCTGCATAAAACTATACTTATTGTGTCATGATGTGATACTGTGCGATACTGTATCAGTGCTTGGTGTCATGACATTCGTATCTTGATATATATCCGCCATACTGTATTGTACCACCACTGACCACATGACTATGTACTGTAGAAAAGACACATTGTTGCTTTTTCATTCTGAATAGATCCTTCAAATAAAGTGTACAGACCAAATATGCTTGGTTTTTGTGTGAAATGTAAAAATGTTTGTTCAAAGATCTCCAATATTTAATATTTTTAAGTATGTTAGATATTTGTTTTTACACATCGTTAAACCTGAATGGTTTCTTCTGTACTTCACCAGATCATCTTGGTAGTATATTGATGACATCTTGTCTTATGTTTTCAATAAATTCAAACTAACAAATGTATATATTAAGAGACATAAAAAATAATATGTATAGATGAATTGGATTAATTTTTTTGTGTATATCTGCCTTAATATGTTCTTTAAATTGGGTATGGAATAGGTGTGATGTTTAACTTGCCATATTAAACATATTTAATTAAGTATTATTAAGTTGGGCACTTCCAAGAGGTTCATAATTGCAATGTTTGAAAATAATAGAAATTTGAAATGACATGGAAAGACTTTCCATCTGAAGTATGCCATGCATGATCGCTCTCTCCGTCAAACAGGTTCCCCTATTTCCTAAACCACTGATCAGCCAGCATACATGAGATACAGATTTGTTTATTATGACATATGTACGAAGTTGAAGAGTAAGTTATACTTACTGTTGTGCATGAATTTACAAGAATGACCAGACTTCATATTTACTCAGAGTGAATGTTTTTCATAATATTTGTATGAAAGCTGTTTATGTAAAACTTATAATGTGCAGCAGTGTAAAAGATCGGAGATAAACATATACTCTGTTTTTCTTATGCTGTCTGGAGTCATGTTTGTATGCAGATTCTCTTTGTATTCCACATTTTTGCTTTGTGTTTTACTTATTCTTCACCTTTCCTTTGTGTCTGTGGACTGTATGTTGAACATTTCTTGAAAATGTGACTTGCATTGAATCCGTTAGCTAATCCTAATCCATTGTAATCCATGGTCATCATCTGGATTTATCTTCACTGAGAGGATTATCCCCCATGATGAGGTGTTTGTATGTAAAGTTCTATATTTATTTTGTTGAATCCAACCATTTAAATCCTTGTGTGACTCTATTCACAACTGGAAGGGCTGCTCTATGGCCCCAAATAGTCATACTTCATCCATTAATGCATTTGTTCATAAACCAGTATATCCATCTTATCTCTTTACACATGATTCCTGTAATGTCTTTTATTTGAGAAGGTTTACAAGACCAACCAAGAGAGAAATATTTAGATTTTAAATAGTCATATATATATATATTTTTATATGACTATGACTTTAACAGCAAAAGTTTGGCTCAATTTTTGACAATTAGGTGGAATAGAAACAAACATGGCATTTGTTTTAAAGCTTCTAAAAATCTTTATTTCGAGACACAAAAATACACGAGTTATATTTGGGTATAAGTTTTCTTTCTGTATCAGTTATCAATTGTAATTCTGAAAAAAAAATAATTCCAAACCACCTACTTTAAATTTTAAGCTGAAATTGGGTGAATCACATAATAAAATAAATGTGTTATGATGCTTTAAGAGTGTGACCAATATAAGAATGTGCCCTGTATGTGTGTTGTTGCTAGTATAAGGAGTTCTCATGCCGCTAGTTACTAATGTTCTTGTTACCATGAAGAAAGTAAAACGCAGCTGTAGGCTGAAGCATAGTCAGAATTTCAAGGTGAAGTTTCTATGCCGACTTACCAAAGGAAGACTGATTCAAACATCACTCCAACCAAATGTTATCACTAAGCTTGATGTCACTGCAAGATAGCATCAATCTGGACACACTCAAACTCAGAACATACTCCACCCTTTTGATAATAGTTTTCAGCAAGCCTTTGAATGGCATTTAGAAGTAATACACATGAAGGGGGAACTTTATGGATGTCAATTTCTGTAGTGAAGAACACAACGTTTAAGAGTACACATATATTCTTATTCCATTTGGGTAAGGAACACAGCAGTTTGAAGTATATTCTTGCTCCATCAGTTGAAGAGCGTGACATTTCAGACTGTATTCTGATGAAAGCTGAAGGATTGTATTCCAAAAATGTTATGTTCTTCATATTACATAAGGTGATATTCATTAATTTCATCCTTTAACAATTTTCATGTTGTGCCTATTCGTAAGAAGTATAGATAGAGTTGATGTTTAAACTTCAGTTTAAAAATGTGGCATATTTTTTAATCCAGAAGTTTATTTGTACAAAGTTTAGCAGAAAATGTCTTTGTTGCTTCTTGCTCTTGTATTTCTTTCATATTTCCTTGTCAAGTTTAGATGTATGTATCTGTTAAATTGCTAAGTATACTTCAAGGACAGACAAGCCTTAGTTGCAGATTTGCATTTTGCAAAAGAAAACAGTTATTTGTATCTAAATATTGTTTCAAATTGTCAACCCTGATTGGCTAGAATTTATTGGTCCAACAGTAAACAACAAATACAGAGTTATTAACAATACAGTACACATAAACTAACCAGTCACCACAGGTGTAAATATGTATTGGAATACAAATAATTGCAGCCAGTCCTAAGTATTGCTGGAGTTAACATTAGGTGTCCATCTGGTTGACTATCAGTTTGTGGTAAAAGTTCAAAGATATGGATATTGTGTCAGGGCTCTTCAATACTGATTTGTGAGATTATGTTTATCAATAAAATGGATTCCAAACATTGTGTTGACTTGTGTTATGTTTAGCTCACCTTTACCTTTTCAACATCTTTAAGTGAGTGAGTTTAGTTTTATGCCGCACTCAGCAATATTACAGCTATATGGCGGTTGTGAGTGAGTGAGTGAGTTTAGTTTTATGTCGCACTCAATCTTCCAGCTATATGGCGGCGGTCTGTAAATAATCGAGTCTGGACCAGACAATTCAGTGATGAACAGCATGAGCATCGATCTGCTTCACGGGTAATTGGGAACCGATGACATGTCAGTCAACCAAGTCAGCCGGTGGAGTCTGACGGTCAACCGTCCTGATCCCGATCCCGTTAGTTGCCTCTTACGACAAGCATGGGTTACTGAAGATAAATTCTAACCCAGATCTTCACGGGTCTCAACATCTTTGAAGCCACAAGGCTAACTCTGTCCACTACAAGAACGACTATTACGACTAATTGGATCGATGAATTGCAATCTTGTTCAAAATTGGACTGATGAATTATAACATCAGACCAACTCTGAGGGTTTTGCAGAATTTAACTAACAAACTATCATTACAATATTGACACAGTTCAATTTGTTACGAGGGAGGACACTGATCAGAAAGGTTGGAGACGCAAACATTCATGATCCAACTCTCTGAGGTTTTAACACCTGGCAGAATTTATCCTCCTAAAAATAAAGTTCAAAATCACAGAGTTGATCTGATGTTTTGATTATGATCACAGAGTTGATTGATGTTTTGATTATATGTTTATTAGTTTATATGTTTGAGTTACATTGCAATTCATCGGTCCGCTTTTGAGCCAAACGGACAATACATGTAATGTACAGTAAAATGGAACGAGTGAGTGAGTATTGTTTTACGCCACTTTTAGTAATATTCCAGCAATATCACAGCAGAAATGGGCTTCACACATTGTACCCATGTGGGGAATCAAACCTGGGTCTCTAGCGTGACAAGCGGACGCCTTAACCACTAGGCTACCCCACCGCCCCTCAAACAAATGAATTTTCTCATCACTGTTGTTTCTGCTCTATGGTAACACAACAAGCCACAACACTATGATAGGTCTCGCATAAAATAAAAGCTATAGTGATGACATTAAAACCGTTCTTACCATAGAACTCTGGAGTCAGCTACCTGAAAGGTAGTTAACGCAATAAATATAGAGTAGCAAGGCTAGTAGTAGTATTAATAAGCATACCAACTCAACTCAGATTTCACATACAACATTATCGCTGATTTACCGTCCCTATTCTTCCTGAATATAATGTAACATTAGTCTCTTTTGTTATTGAGGTTATCATTGTATCAAGTAACTCCTGCAAGTAGCTCCGGTTTTCATGGCATGAAGGATACATTCATCATCTTAATGAGGTTTGAGATGCATAGCTAGCCTCATCCTTAAAACCTCTGTGGGCAAGAGGATAAAACATCTGTCCAGAAAACCATGTTATCCTGCTTGCTCTAGTGAGTTGGTACATAGGCACATGCTGAGGGGGGTGCAGGGTCTCTCTCTCTCTTTCTCTTGCCCCCACCCCCAAAAGTTTATTAAATGACCATTGACACTCGGGTGAAAATGAAGTGTGCACCCCTTTCTCCAAAAGCTGTATCCGCCCCTGTTGGTATGCTGCTATGGTGAATGGTTATTCATCATGCACATCTTGGACTGAAGACCTGTTCCAGTGGATCAGTTGATGGTCAACTCTTCATATCACATGGTACCTTACTTTGTCTGTTCACTGTGGGCATCTGTGCACTCCATACATATTCAGCAGCCATTTTGGCCATTTTTAGTGTTCCTAAAACACAGACTTCTCAGAGCCTCTGGTCAGGAATATGTACGTAGAAACAGAACGACAAACAATTTGTTAAATGTTTATTCAATGATATAGAGCATAAATTCAATGGTAGGAAAAAGGCTTTACAAAATGTTGATATTCTGAAAACGGGATGATTTCTACTCAGAACAAAACTGTACAAACAGCATCATGAACTGTACAATATTGATCATGAACTGTACAATATTGAAATTGTTCCCATGAAAGAACATTATCCAACATATTACTTGATACCTGGGTGATACTACAGAACAATATGCCTTCAAAATAGTGCACTACCTATGGCCCCAGTTACAATATACAAACCCTTGATTGCTCTGTATATGTACACACTGTGACATTAAGCAATGCTTCAGGTCTATATAAGTACTGAAGTCAAGTCAGGAATATATCTGGATTCCAAACTACAAGGATTGCAAGCAAATTGTGAAAATGATATTATTTTGTACAAAATTGGAATATTCTAAAATGATTATTTTGTTGAAATCAGCATTTTAAACATAATATTTTATCATTATATTAATAATTTGTTTTTATTCTATTATGAACACCTAACCATTAAAGCCTCTTATTCTTTATGGGTCTTGATATCAGTGACTTACATAACCCAAGACATCACATAGGCAATGCTATAATTCCAGTTTGGGATTTTCTTACTAACATTGGCACAGACTTGCGGCTTGACCCCAGCCTCTTAGAAATCCTAGATAAACCTGTCCTAGTTATCTATAGATATATAACAGGGGACTACTGTATTCCAAACAGCAAGTACCAAACTGCAAGCTCACCCAAGAGAGTGAGTGAGTATGGTTTTACGCCACTTTTAGCAATATTCCAGCATTACCACCAGAAATGGGCCTCACACATTGTACCCATGTGGGGAATCAAACCCAGGTCTTTGGTGTGACGAGCGGATGCTTTAACCACTAGGCTACCCCACCACCCTCCCCGGGGACCACAAGGAACATGCATAATGGTCAATGTCATATTTCCATGGCCTACAATTAGGTTAATCTTGTTTAGAAAAACAAGTCAAGTGTATGTGGTTTAAATGCAGTCATGGACAAAGCCGAATATTTCTAAAAAGAAACCAAAATATCTTTCACATGTATATCTGACCATGCATAAATAACATGTGAATTCTTCAGAAAAAATATTACTCTTAGTTATTATAATATGAAAATCATGTCGTATTACACAAACACAATAACTATGTGACCCTCGTTTTGAGAAATGGGCAACATCAGACAATGATCAAATTCGAATCCTCAGATTCACAGAGAATCTCCTTATTTATCCAGCATAATCGTTTCTAGTTTCTGAAAGCAAATAAAGCTCCTGTGAGAGGCGACACAACATAATACAGAGACAAGCACAGCAACACTACAAGAATCTACAACCAAGCTTCCGTTCCACCCTGAGCCAGTCAACATGTCTGAATTATCACAGATACTAGCTACCACACAACTATGCATAGAAGACTAACTGATCTAAAACTGCCTATGTCTATTCAAACTTATCGCAATAAAAAGAATGTAGAACAATGTAGAATGCATGCATTATCATATTTTATAGCTATGCTGGAGCTATGAATTCCTATCATGAATATTATCAGAAAAATAGGAACAGAATAACAAAATGAGTTTTTAGGAAAATAGTCTTTTAGTAGTTACTATATTGAAACATTGGGCCTAATCATAGGGACCATCAAAGGGTAATAGACCCTTATCACCTTGGTCAGATCCACAAGAACAGTTATGTTGCTGACTGACCAGCCAGAATTTGGGTTTCAAACAAAACTAGCAGATCTAGACATACCAAAGGGACACAACTCTGCAAGGGTCCCATTCAACAGGGATGTAGTAAGGCAGGCTAATATTGTTTTCTAGTATGAAAAGACACAGGCAATGTAAAACACAGACAGGAAATTACTTCCCATAGGAAATTCACAGACAATCAACATCAATGAGGTAAGTGGCATCTTTCATCCAAGCACTTATAGAAAACCGTATCTGACATTTGATTGCACTTGCCTCTCGTGATGACAACATGACTTCATCACAGTTATAAAGTACCAAAAATTCATTCACCCTATATGTCTCAAAGAAAACCTAATTGTATGTTCAAACATGTAAATGAAGTGTTTGATTGTTTGATTGGTATCAAGTGGGTTAAATAAGATGAATTAACACATTATGTTTCCGGACAAACATCAGAGACTTTGTCTTATGACTGATCTAAAAAATTTAAGAAGGTAATTTGCATAAGGAGGATCTATGGAAAGCTTACTTGTAAAATGATGAGAATAGAAAATGCTAAAATAAACTCCTTCTGATGTCTCATGATGTTGTAATGAAAAATCTCTACCTGCGAAATATGACGTTCGGATAACAAGCATAGGGCAATCAAACATGGCAAAATCAAGCAACGATGAAGTAGTGATTAACAAGGTAAATAATTTTCAAGAATAAATACAAGGGAAAAAAATACCCAAAACTTGAAGAAGACTACAGTTTACTTATATGTGTAATGAATAACATTATATAATGGTTGTGAATGACCAACAAACACTCTTAGTTCGTTTGGAAGTAATATTCAAATGATGCAAGTGATGTTTAGAGTAATCTCCCCTTGTTCTGCATACAAAACTGGTCCATCTAAAGTATACAAAGTAAACAAAATACACACCAAACTTATGGAGGAGCTTCCCCAATATATTGATTAATGTTTTCTGTTCTATTTCTTATCATATATTGGCACATTTAAGTCAATGGTGACATCAGATCTCTAATTGGTCTCAAACAACTATAAGCCACAAATAAAGGTATGAAATGCAGTTATTCAAGCACATCAATGCAATAAAAATAAACTTCTGAAATAGCGGGAGATTTGTAAATGGCAAGTTGTCTACAACATGAAGATCTACCAAGCGCAAACTTGATCATCAATGCAGAGACCTTGAAACATGATTTAATGAATATTACCTAAAATCACCAGGAAATCCAACTCAAATACAATCACCATAGCATCATATCTCATAGTGACAGACGCAAAAGAAAAATAAGTATAAGCATAAGATACTATCAGCTTTAGACAGTGTCTGGGTGGATACTGAGCTGAGTATATTCAAAACCTTGATTTCATGTAAGATGTACAAAACATGGGGAAAAGTGTTATATTTTACACAAATATTTCACAATTGTGTCCGTAAGGACAAGCTTGTAACAAAAATAAAACAATACCCTATCCATTCATAATTCAATTTATAGTATACATGAAATGTTGTGTTAGTTTCAAAGTTCAAAGCCCATCGCAGTGAACTAAAAACTCCATATTTATTTATGGAAGTAAAATATTTCTGACTGACTGTATAGATCTGTGGCACTCTGCATACTATATAAAGAAGAAAGTATGGTTACCTGGCTCATCACAAGTACTCCCAACATGGGAAAGAAGCTCATATAGAGTTTCTAGTGAAAATTGTTCAGTTATTCAGTTGGTCCATTCTGGTATGAAGCAATGTCCACCATAGTAAAGCATGTAAATAATGATTTTGCCATTAATTGGATCACTTGTACTGACTTACCATTTATGGCATATTGTCTACACAATCCAGGTGTTCCACATCTTGTATTAAACAAACTGCTGCATCAGCATATCTTTACAGACTCTCAGTTTATGGTCAGTTTGTACATACTGAAAGTGACTTCAACATTTCTGTGTAACAGGTAAACAGATTTGGATCAAGACTTATCAAATAATCAACACTAGGAAGGGTCGTTGGTTTAAAGACTTGGGAATATACAAACTACCAAGTTTCTACCATGCAATAGAGTAGGTGGGGTGTTACAAATATGCTGCTTTCTGAAACAGTCCAGCTATATCAAAGCTGGAACTCCAGAATGGGCTGTGAAATAAACATTGTACTGATAATGGGAATCAAACCCGATGAGCTAACGCTTCATCCACAAGGCTCCCTTGTTTCCAGTGACTCAGTCCAGCTATATCACTGCTGGAACACCAGAATGTGCTGTAAAACACTGACACTGGGAATCAAACCCTATGTGGTAATGAGCTGACGTTTCATCCACTGGGCTCCCCATATTCCAGTGACTCAGATGGTTGTTGCGAGTGACTGGTGGATTGGTGGTGGGAAGCAGCGAACATGTTCCACTGGCATACTCTCTGTGTCACTTGTCTTCATGTATTTGTTGAGAACCGAGAAAATTTGGTTGTTGAGGATCTGGAATTTGCGGATGCGATCTACCATTCTCTTCAGTTGCTGAAACCAAAAATGATTGTGTAAGTGTATGCATCATTTTGAAACCAAGATCACTGATGTCTTGACCAGACTATCAGGTGATAGCATCAGACATAACAACGTAACACTGGAACAACATCACACAATAATACCATGAATCCAGTCTACGTAAACTTAGGCTCAGTATTATTTTTTTACACTGCTATACTAAGTCTAACAAACCCTATAGTCTGTTTGCAGTGAAAACGTACCGATGAATTTCACTTTAAACAAAAACGTAAATCAAATAAAGTGAAATTAGAAGTGCGAATCCTCATGATTATACCTTGCCAATTGAACATTTAAATCTCATAATTTTATTCTACTTAGGATAAAAGTTGTTTAACAAACGATCATAGTTTCAAATCCATATTATTGGTTTGTATTACAAGGGGGTATGCACATTAAATGAAACACCGAAAACAAGTAGGGTTGGTCTAAGTTAACGCTCATCACGTTCTGCACGTGCGTTTGTATCCCTGTTCCAGTTACTGCGTTTACTCCCTTGTAATACAAACCAATAATAGCGATTTGAATCTATGATCATCTGTTAAACAACTTTTATCCTAAGTTGAATAAAATTCTGAATTGGCAAGGTAAAATTATGAGGATTCGCAATCTTAATTTTACTTTATTTGATTTAGTTTTTTGTTTAAAGTGAAATTCATCGGTACGTTTTCATTGCAAACAGACTATAGTAGAAGGTCTTGTCAGCTAAGGTTTGAGCGACCTATGACCGTCAAATCAAATGCAAGGCGGACGAAACAAAACAGATTTTCTCTTCCCCGGTTGGTGACACTAATCTCTCAACACACAAAAATCTGCATAAAACACAGATATTTGACCTGCAGTATATATGCTTAGTGGTTTCTGATGACATTGTTACTATTAGCCTATATTTCCGCAAGATAACATCCTGGGATATTGACAAAAACGCTATTTTCAGTGACTGTTTACTCGCTGTTGTGAATAACTGCGCCTCCATGTGTATCACTCGGAAGTGACCATGCGGAAAATAGCATTCGGAATCGTTCGAGTACAAACGTTTTCGAGGGAACAGGAATATATGTGCGCATGTTAACTTTCGCAATTTGATAAGCTGTGTTCTGATTGGTCAATTCAGAAGGTTAGCTGACACAACCTTCTACTGGGCTGTGTTGGACTAGAATAACATTGAGCCTAAGTTTACTTAGACTTACCATAACTCATAACACAAAAACATTATGAACCATAACACAATAAACCATAAATCATAACACAATAAAGCATAACAATAAACCATAAATCATAACAATAAATCATAATTCACAACACAATAAACCATAGATCATAACACAATAAAACATAACACAATAAAACATAACACAATAAACCATAAGCCATAACACAACACCTTTAACATGATCAAACAAGAGTTATACTTACAATGCCCTTGACATTTTCATCCTTCATGTCGACTCGGTTGACTCGCAGTATGTGATAACAGAAGTCCAGACACTCGAACCTCCGTTGTTGCCCTAGCAACATGATCAGCGTACATCCAGCCCAGTTCAGACCCTCACCAAACAGCTCTCTGGAACCCAGGAGAGACACAATCAACATACTGCTGCCAGTCCACAGAAACTGCACCTGCACTGACCTGCACTGTGCAGACACTACTGTACAACACAGTACCATGGGCTAGGGTGCTTCGGATTCCTAAACTTCCAGACAATTTCCAAAATTTGGTAAAGATAGAGAAGAAAGTCTGATTAAAGATATTAAAATCTGGAAAATGTTTCAATGCCAGCAAACTAAGATGTGGGAAAGCTATTAATTAATTTCTGTGTCTTTACAGGAACCGTTATTTTATTTTTGGCAGTGTTTGGCACAATATTGTCCACCAAGGCATCAACAGGACACAATATCATCAGTCAGGCAAGATATGAATGGTTGAAAGAAATATCTAAAAGGAACCTTAAATCTGGAACAATTTTCCTAAGTATTATTCTTTCTTAATATTAATGATCAGATGTTGAAACAGGATATTTGTCTATTTAGACTATTTTATTTAATTAAATATTGAACGTAATCATAATCTGCCAAATAGCTATTCTTGGTTATATGTTACCACCTTAGTGGTTATGTTACCATAGAAAATGATCAAAGGCCCTTTTTCACAGTCCTGCATTATGAAACTGATATAAATTCTATTAACAGCTGCTTCAGAATATCATGATTCCTTATCTATTAATGTTATAGTTAAGACAGGACCCAAATTTGAAATAGATTACTTGAGGTGTTAAATGTAATGGAATTTGAGGCTAAGACTGACTGACTGAGTTTGGTTTTTACGCCGCTTTTAGCAATATTCCAGCAACATCACGGCGGGGGACACCACAAATGGGCTTCACACATTGTGCCCATGATGGTATTCGAACCCGGGTCTTCGGCGTGACATCGACGCTAAGAAATATCAACATCACAAATTCTATACACAGAGTTTACAAGTCCACACTTACTCCACGGTGAATTCGTTCTCTCCTACAGGCATACAGAACACAAACTGTACAGCTGACCAGAGGCGATGGAATTCGGTGCACTTGTCGACGTTCATGACGCCGTTGACAGGAGGCATGCCATGCCACAGGGGTTCGTTGAGGAAGGACTTGATGCGGTTGAGGACGACCTCGAACATGGACAGTCCACAGCAGAGGCGTTCTCGCGTCAACAGGTCACCCTCCGCAGCAATGTCAGCTTGCTGTAAGCATCATTCAAATATAGGTCAAGGTCAGAGAGAAAATACAGTTAAGCCACAACTTGCAGACTATTTGTGTGTCCAAATTGTGATCACTTTTGTATTCAAACATTTGTCAAAACCTTCAGCACATTTCTAGGTCTTCTACTTTTATTAGCTGGTCTACAAAACTCTAGGCCTAAAGATCAATGAAGGTGAACAAAATATACATTTCCAGGTTCATATTAGTGCAGCAACTAATTAATATATGAATACCAAAAGATAACTGATGGTTTCTCTTTTGTTAGCATAATCAAACATTAGTTATCACTGTGTTCATTTTTCTAAGAATATCACCTCTATTAGCTCTATTAATTGCAAACCAAGAAACGGGATGCAACGGAGTAGTTTACTGTAGGAGGCTGTATGAGGCGATGACAACTGACATGCATCGTGTCGTCGCTTACATTGTGACGTAATGCAAAATTGTTCGATTACGAGGGGGCAGACTAGAATGGCAAAGTATCACCAATGCATTGTGACATAATGCAAAATGTGCACATTATCGTCTGATAAAAGTACTGTCGGTGCCTTTGATCTTTCACCGAAGCATCATAGAATACATAACAGCCATTACATCTGTGTAATGGCTGTGCTATTATTATAACATGCAACCAATCCAATCGAAAGTCTCCAAGAGTCTCGGAGGCAGACTATAACCATGAAACAAGAGATGTTTGTCTGCAAAGTCGTATTGAGAAGATGAATTTTATCACTGCAAACTAAACCTAAATCATCATGCTCTTTGACACAAAACACAATCACTTTGATGTCCTCTCAGCAACATATCAGTTGAGCTGTAAGTCTCGGACAGGAGTATTTCTTATATGCACTCACACTGAGATCATCTTTAGGATTATTTAGTTTCCATGGCGACAGATCAGTTCACTGTCATGGCAGACAAGTGAGGTGAGGTGAGGTGAAATTGGGTTTAACATTGCTTGAGAATATTTCGCTCATATGACGACGTGCATGCGTGTGTATGTGTATGTGTGGCTCCTTGTACTAGCCCAGACTGAAGCTGGTTTTATAGTGCTAGCCCACTGAGATACCATGCCGCAGTGAAGCATGAATACCCCACTCAGACACATTATACTGACTCCGAGCCGACCAGTCCTTGTTGTACCCATGACTGCCGAGCGCCAGGCAGGGACCAACAAGTACCATATTTTAACGTCTTTTGGTATGACGCGGTCGGGGATCGAACCTGCGACCTTCCGCTCTCCGGGCGGACACTCTAACCACTACACCACGAAGGCGGCTGGCAGACAAGTATATCTGTATGGTTACTAGAGTGTGATGGATGTACACAGTGTATGTGGTAAGTAGAGATGTGGTGGAGACAGGGGAAGTGACAATATCTGACCGTCTGGTTCCCCAGTTTCTTGATGACTGATACGATCTGCAGCGCCGCATACTTCTTCTCCAGCTGCTTCATCGCTTGTTTCAGGTCCTCATCACGATTCTTCCGATTGTCAGCTTCTGTAAAACCAGTAGTAGTTCCACGCAGTTATTACCCTTATCTCAGTAATGTAATACCCTGGTAGTTGCACTGATATGACCTATATCTCAGTTATGTAATACCCTGGTAGTTGCACTGATATGACCTATATCTCAGTAATGTAATACCCTGGTAGTTGCACTGATATGACCTATATCTCAGTAATGTAATACCCTGGTAGTTGCACTGATATGACCTATATCTCAGTAATGTAATACCCTGGTAGTTGCACTGATATGACCTATATCTCAGTAATGTAATACCCTGGTAGTTGCACTGATATGACCTATATCTCAGTTATGTAATACCCTGGTAGTTGCTCTGATATGACCTATATCTCAGTAATGTAATACCCTGGTAGTTGCACTGATATGACCTATATCTCAGTAATGTAATACCCTGGTAGTTGCACTGATATGTCAGTAATGTAATACCCTGGTAGCTGTAAACTGATATGACCTATATCTCAGTAATGTAATCACTGATATGACCTATATTGGAATGTAATAGTATCAGGAGCAGGGATATCACAGCCTAACAAGTAAACATGGGTGGTACGTCTAAAGGGAGATGCGGACTAGTGTGTATGATGATAGTGATGCAAAGCTATGTAACATATTGAAAAGATAAGGGAGAGTAGGGTGTGTTCAGGGCCATGGTGCAAGAGAGGAAAACAACTGTATTTACAGTTCGTTTACACTCAGCTGTCGAACATGAGAGAGAGAGTACAGAACGTGAGATAGGATATGTTTAAACATTGACATTATAACAGACCAAGCAATATACTGAGTGATACAAAGTTGCAATTTGATCCCAGGACCAGAGCAAGTGAGTGAGTGAGTGATAAAATGAGTGAGTATGGTTCTATCCTGCTTTTAGCAATATTCCAGCAATATCACGGCAGGGGACACCAGAAATGGGCTTCACACATGTGACCATGTGACAAGTGAGTGAGTTTGGTTTATGCCGCTTTTTGCAATATTCCAGCAATATCATGGCGGGGGACACCAGAAATGGGCTTCACACATTGTACCCAAGTGGGGAATCGAACCGGGTCTTTGACGTGACAAGCAAAAACTTTAACCACTAGGCTACCCCACCACCCCTCAACAGTGTCAAGATCACAATCAGTACAAAGTATGTTTTTAATGTTTGAGGTGTGATAGGTTTGGAGTGAGCACATGCAAGCTAGGACAGTTATGTAAGTCTTGAGCAACTGTCTTTGTGTTGGAGGTGTGTGGTATGAGAGACCATTGCATGTATCTCGGATATAAGCTTGGGTCAATCAAGTTGTGTAATATGGCTTGGGGGTATATAAGAACTGATCTGAAAGGTGAGGGTTTGCAACCAGTGGGAAAATATGTGTGTGTCAGGTTGGCTGTTTCTCCTGTATCTTCGACTGGTGTGAGTATTATAATTTTACATTAGTTATGTTGAACTGTGTGCATATATATATACATATGTAGATTCACCATGAAGTATGTACTGCTTAACTTGAGTGAAATATGTTTAAATGTTATTAATGTAGTTAGTGATATGATGGCAATGTAATTTATGTGAAATCAAGTTTGTTTGTATTTGGTAATGAGTGACTGATCTGTTTGTTTGTTTGTTTTTAATATTCACTATGATGTAAACAATATATTTGTATGAACTGCTTGTAGTTGTTTTAAAGACATTTGTAATGCTATGATATCTGAGTATTTATTTGAGTGTATGTGAACGGTGGGTATTATGTGCATGATTGGGTGAATAATTGGACAGAGAATGCATGATGGGTGATTGTGAGACTGATAGCATGTAGGAACCATTTTAGGTAAGGAGGGATTCGCAAATGAATTATATTTACTTTCAAATTGGGGTTTGTGAATACTCTAGTTTATGACAAACACTACTTCGCCACTATAGGTCCTCATGAACTACTGAACATGGATTACCTTTGACATGGATGAACGGTTTGGGTATGATGTTCTGGAAAGGTGCTGCATGCTTCAAGTCGCACACTTCCTCCTGGGTCTGTGGGAGGAAGACAAGGGCAGAGCATGTCATAAAAAGATGCACAATGCTGGGATAGTATATTCACTTCTTCACAAAAACTGTCTTAGAGATCATATCAGTTGTTTTTTTATTTAAATTCTAGATGACCTTTTGTCAAGATCGATACAGTTGTGTGGTAATACGTCAAATACGCTATGGGATATATCAGGATTCTCATCCACAAATCGATATAAATTAATAATACACCATTGTAAAATATTGCAAACAAAAGAATGCAACATTGTCCTTCCTGAAAATAAAGTTCACACATGTAGACATTTCATAAAACTGTCATTGCACTTCAAACATAGTATATGCCATGTGGTTGCATAAAACTGGAGATCACACATTTTGATATTTCATCAAATTAGTGAAATCTAAATATTTTATCAGTATACTTATCCTGCACTTATTGCTTACAATTCGAAACTTTATACTTGGTGCCTGAGAAGCAATAATCTTAGGAGGCTGACATCACCTTCAGACAGATACACATGCGAGATCGGGAAGTGACCAGTTCATTTTTTCATTGTGACAGCCACGTTTCAAGTCAAAACCAACGAGTGCAGAAAGTGGGTAGTGCAGGATTAGTTAGACATACATCAGTACATCACAAACCTGTCCCGAGTTTACACTGTCAAACTCAGAGTGAAAGAATTAAGTTACCTCAGCTGACAATATTCTAGTGATATCACACAGGCCTACACTCAGTCTGTCAATATTTAAGTCACCAGTCGTTGGCAGCACGACTATACATCCTGATAACAGACTACTGCTACAACTTACCAGTGCCTGTTCAACCAGCAGAGTGAACAGAATGGCATTGCCCATCTCCCTGAAGCTCTGGAACACCTCCGGTCCTCAAGTCAGGATACTGAATGAGGTCTGTCAGCTGGGCCTGGTAGTACCCCATCACACCTGTGGGAATCAGAGATGCTCATTCATCTTGTATCAATAGTCAGGTAACACATTAACACTTTGAATACATGTCAATGGTTACTAGGGGTGACTATTGTGGGGGAAACGACTATTGCAATATCAATAGTCTATTGCAACATACTATTGCGACTGACTATTGCAATACTTTTCTCCTTGAATTGTCTCATTTGAAGTCTTTTCCCATATGAATGTATAGTTTATATGAAATAAAAACAAGTTGAAGTATTTTCAGTCTCTTTTAATAACTGACAAATTTGAAACCCAGATCTAGTAAACAGTTAAACACAAACTTATTATTATTCACAATTTCACACTCGCAAATTTCGAGTCGCATGCCGTGTTTGTTGCCATATTTGTTTAAGAGGTAACAGGGGCGGATAACTCTAAATCAGTGTGAACGAATCTGGTACTTCCTGTATTTTGCGCTGCACAATTATCAATGGAAGGCAATTAATAAACTATCGATAGTCACACATACTATCGATGCTTTTTCGTTTCTACCATCGATTAATTGCTATTGGACACTCCAATCCATCGATAGTTGGATGCATCGCTACAGCCCTAATGGTTACAGTCTGAAACATTAGACCTCTACTGTGGGGTAGGCTGAGACGTAGTGAAATGGGGTTCTATGTGTCTTTCCTGATTACTGCATTTTTTATCAAGTTGTGTGTGTGAGTGTGTGTGTGCGCATGTGCTACTTTCAGTATGAAACTTACAGCACCTTTGGGGGCGGTGGGGTAGCCTAGTGGTTAAAGCGTTTGCTCGTCACACCGAAGACCAGAGTTTGATATTCCTCACATGGGTACAATGTGTGAAGCCCATTTCTGGTGTTCCATTACTGGAATATTGCTAAAAGCAGCGCAAAACTAACTCACTCATTCACTACAGCACCTTTGATGTCCCCCAGGAATTTATGCTGATTCAGCAATGTAGTTAAACTTACTGTATCCCATGTCTACTACAAAGGTATCCCATGGTGATGTTCACCGCATCACTTACACCACTGTACATCATCCTAGTCTGTTGAATCCCTTAGTAAGTCAACTATTGACCACTCACACATATGAACTCTTTGACTTGACCTGACTCACTAAATCTACTCTATCACCATTTCATAATCGTGAGTGGGTCTGTGATTATAATTTAAGAATATTATGGATTCAGGTTTCCTGAAATGGGATAAGTGATTGCTGGACCCTTAGAGTCACTATGACTGACTGAGTTTGGCTTTACGCCGCTTTTAGCAATATTCCAGCAACATCACGGCCGGGGACACCAGAAATGGGCTTCACATGTTGTACCCATGTGGGGATACGAACCCGGGTCTTCGGCGTGCCGAGCCAACGCTTTAACCACTAGACTACCCCACCGCCCCAGAGTCACTATGACAAATTATACCCCTGTATGAAGGAAAGTAGAGTACCTGGAGATCCGTAGTCATATCTGAGCAGCTTGCAGCTCTCGGGCATCACTCGCATCAACGTCCGCACATACTCCATCGTCGTCTCCTTCAGCTGTTGAACACAACATATTACATCTTTAATACTGCGACAAGTGTTTGGGACAACTTATGTTTGCCACAAAGCTGCTGAAGGCTAACATTGGTTTCTATGATGTTACTGCCATCTCACACCTATATAACATGGTATCCTTGATAATTTAGTATATATTACATCTCAATCCATTGATGTGGTATAACCTGGACTTTGCTAAAGATCAGTTACAAAATCATGGAAATGTTGTTTAACAAGACATTGTATACAGGGTATATGAGGGGCAGTGGGGTAGCCCAGTGGTTAAAGCATTGGCTCGTCACGCCGAAGACCTGGGTTCGAATCCCCACATGGGTACAATGTGTGAAGCCCATTTCTGGTGTCCCCCCGCCGTGATGTTGCTGGAATATTGCTAAAAGTGGTGTAAAACCAAAACTCAGTCAGTCAGTCAGGGTATATGACAGGGAGTAAGTGAGAATGGTTTTACAAAATCTTCGCAATATTCCAGCTCTATCGCAGCAGCGGACATCAGAAATTGGCTTCACATTCGGCTCTTGAGAATGATGAGTTCTAACTACAAGGCTAGCAAACTGCCCCCTGTATAATTGTGAACAACTGAACCATATAAGTAACAATACAATACCACGGCATGTAAGCAACTAAGTCAATTGATTTAGTTCCCTCTTATAACCAGCATTAACACCTGTCTACAGCAATCTCATGATCAAACAGGTTGGGCAAGTCAGGTGATCAGTTTCCACACCTCCAAAGCTAATAATGTTCTGCCCATCATTTAGTGTTGACCAAACTTAACACAATAGTCTAAGCTGGATTCCTAACAGAGATTTAAAATATTGGTTACTCACGAAGCCCTCGACAGTTTTGAGCAGTTCTTCAATGACGACTGCAATGCCCTGGTAGCCGAGGAGCCGGCAGATTGCCCTGAAGTGTGGCGGACCGATGAACCCGGAGTACAGGCTGTAGATGGTGTTGTAGGAGGTATTCAACACCTGGAAATACAACACAGGGTAAGTAATGTCAACCTTAGAGTAACTTCTTTCAGTGGCATTTTAGAGTTTGGGAGATACAATATGACTGTGTCCCAGTCCACCCAGCTGTGAATGGGTACCTCGTTAGGATGAGAAAGCCACAATAACTCGGTGCGCCTAGTGGCTGCAAGAGTTGTATACTCCCCAGGGAGTTGAGATTGATAATGCGATGTGCCGTTGAGATTGACATCCAATGATCGAGGGAAAAAATACCAGCGCCTTGAGCATGCACTAGTGCGTGGATATGTGCGCTATATAAATATCTTATAATAAATAATAAAATACAATATTGAACAAACTTTATGGATACAAGATGTGTATCAAAATGTCGCACTCACGTAATCAAAGAAGTTCTTATCCATAAAGTTCATTCAATATAAAACCTTAGTGTAGTGCAATACAACAACTCAGAACCCTGTTCCAAAAAGACACCTTAGAGCTATGACTGTTGTAGGTCTATGTTAAAGAAATGGAGTTACAATTGTGTTGATGCTTCGACTATGATCACTTTGCAGAACAGGGTCATAGACCAGACATACCACTGATCCACAGTCTGAACTTATATATATTTGGGGGGATTAATGGCAATAAAGTTTCGAATCTTGGTCAGCATGGTAAAAGACTTTGCTTAATTCTGTTCAAAACAAATAAATGATTACTGAAACATTCCATAACCGTTGATAATTTTATGAAAATATTTTTTGTGACAAGTAACAGCAACCCTCCTGTATAACGAGAGGCCTGACTGACCTTGGTGCCCCAGATGTAATACTGGGAAGGGTTGAGTGGCTTGTCTCGCTTGGCATCGGTCACAAATGGCAGTCGCGTCTTCACAAACCTGAAACACACGCTCACATGAATACATGTCCTTCCACTGAGTAGCTCAAAAGTACTCCTAATTAACTGATCTTAAATAAGGTACACAACGGATACTTGAGATGAAATTTCTCCTCAGATTTGTACACATCACAGTACAAAGGAACAGGGTAATGGTCATATTTTAAAAGCCACTTGCCACAGTGCAAGTGACTTTAAGAAAGTAACTTGTCCTGACTAATTTTCCACTTGCCCTGAGTTTTATGACATAATCAGGATGATGTAATTATGAAAGAATAAATCAACATGGTATTTGATGTTAATGTTCACTGGACTATATATCGAGAAGTGATAAATAGCAAAGAAAGATAACTCTAGTTTATTATCATTGCGAAAATTACTTCATTTCATTCTCGTAACGTGGCAAATTTTCATAGCTACATTTTGAGCAGGTATGAAATGAAATCCAATTTATTTGCAGTTTGAAACCGTAAGCAGAAATTATCTAGCAGCCCACAGACAAGTAAGATACCATTGTTTGATCGCCCGAAATGAAAACTGACTTGCCCCGGGTCAGGAAATGGGATTTTTGAACCCCTGATATGTTACATATCTCTGTGAGTGAGTATGTTTTTACGACGCTTTTAGCAATATTCCAGCAATATAACAGTTGGGGACACCAGAAATCGGCTTTACACATTGTACCCATGTGGGGAATCTAACCCAGGTCTCCGTGTGACTAGCAAACACCTTAACCACTAGCCTACCCCACGGCCCCTATACACAGACAGACTGGCCTGAACATCTGGACAGTTTTCTCTCCACAACATAGCAGTTTTAATCTCTGTGATATTTATTTGTGTATAAAAATCGTAATTTGGGTGAGGTGAGGTGAAATTGGGTTTATTGTCGTGCTAGAGAAATATTTCGCTCATATGACGACGTACATGCGTGTGTATGTGTATGTGCGGCTGCTTGTACTAGCCCAGACTGAAGCTGGTTTTATAGTGCTAGCTCACTGAGATACCATGCCGCAGTGAAGCATGAATACCCCACTCAGACAACATTATACTGACTCCGAGCCGACCAGTCCTTGTTGTACCCATTAATGCCGAGAGCCAGGCAGGGACCAACAAGTACCATATTTTAACGTCTTTTGGTATGACGCGGTCGGGGATCGAACCCGCGACCTTCCACTCTCCAGGCGGACGCTCTAACCACTACACCATGGAGGCGGTTTCGTAATTTGGGGGATGTGCAGAACTTTTCACTGACTGTCACAATGGTTGACATCTCTGCAAGTTATACTGAGGAAATGTTCTGTATAAACCCATATGGAGACAAACAGTCTCATGGGGACGTACCTGTTTGTGGCAGCGTTGTAACAATAGTTTGGCAAGAAGTCATAGTTGAGTTCCCAGAAGACATGCAGAGTTATCCGCCCATAAGGAGCTGACACATTATGGTTGGCCTCGCTCAGCATGGCATCGAAGTTGTTGAGTACGACCAGTTCTGACAGGAGTTTGTGACAAAGTCGGTTGACCTCTATCAAACCTTCTAGTTCCTAAAAAATGTATACAATACATCAGCCGTCTAGTTCCTGAATAAATTTACGATACATCAGTGTTTGTGTACGGACTGAACATTCTGTCACATCAGTGTTGAACAAGTGGAGAACCTTGAGTTCATGATAAGCAGATCCTGGCACAGGTAAGGAATACAACCTTGAGATTATGTAGTCAAAGAGAACTAAGTAATCTGTACCCAAACATCTAACGCGACGTGAGGTGAGGTGAAATTGGGTTTAACGTCGTGCTTGAGAATATTTCGCTCATATGACGACGTACATCTAACGTGAGTTGTCAAAGGACCTACAGAGGTGCAAAAATATCTAAACCGTGAACTTGTTACTAGACCAGTTAACAGTAGATATTCATGTGTCCGAAGACAAGTCTGTTTGATATTGACCCAAATTTTGTTTTCATTACAAGATGTATCTGAACTGAAGAAAATTTCTTCTGTCTACAGCAATGTTACAAGTCAAGCAGGTTTGGCAAGTCAGGTGCTGAGTTTCCATACATGTAGCACAAATATCACAGCAGGGCTTACTAGAAACAGGTTTTACACACTGTCCCCATGTGGGGTATTGGTGTTGCTGCTAGAGAATGCTTTAACCTCTAGGCTACCTCACTGTTCCAGAAACACATAAAATATCAGCTGTAAACTGTATCCATCCTGTTCTCTCACCATAACACCAGTGATGTCCTGGGACTCGAATCGTGAGATGGCAACATCCAGGGCCTTCTGTAGTGCTGCATTCAGTCGCTGACTCACTAGACGGTTCAAGTCAAATGAACGACCCAGTATCTGAAAAAATAGGTGTCATGGTATTACGTTATGCCTTTTTAATTTCAAAAGTCAGTGAACAAACATGTAAAAGAATAATCTAAAAGCTAAAGACATAAACTAAACACAACTTGTCCTGAAACACGAAACAGTTCTGAAATGTGCAAATGAGAGATCTGTCTTGCCTTCAACAATATTCCCCTGTATCATGAGATGAGTTCAACACTGCTTTGAACAATATTATGCTTATCACTTTACCTTTCACAGGTATGTGCTGACACACAAGGAATGCTGAGCAAATCAGGCAATATCGCGATGTTCACAGGACACATCTCTGCACAGCAAACTGTGGTGTCTTAGAGAAGGCCATCTTGTCCCTTGAAAGTATGAGTATCTGCCTGGTGCTGACACTCCATACCGACAAGCCTGGGATTCAAACCCATGATAAAGGTTCTCACATGGCCAATGTATGTAACTATCACGGTGGATAACACCAGGAATGGGCAGCCTACATTCGACCCATGTTGGGATTGACACCACTGAGAGGAGCAGGAACTTCTGGGATACGTGACAACAACAGACACGACTCCTGTTATCGGTTTACCTGGACATGTCTCTGTTTGAGCAGCGTTGAGTAGCGGTTAGCCACAGGGTAGAATATCTTGGCCCCTTGACTGGCACACTCGGCTCGGAACCGCTTGTCCAGCATAATGCTGCAAGGATAAGACAACAGTTGATCACTAAAGAATTGACATTCTCTTTGTGTGAGGCCATTGGAATATGAACATTCACGGCAGGGGCGGATACAGCTTTTTGAGAAAGGGGGGGTGCACACTATTGATTAAAGGAGGGGTGCACACTTCATTTTCACCCGAGTTTCAATGGTCATTTAACACACTTTCAGCACAAAAGGGGGGTGTACACCCCTGCACCCCAACCCCCACCCACTGGATCCGCCTATGCACAGTGAGGGCGGAACTGTATGAATGTTGAGGCTTGCATAGATACTGTTAATTATACCATCAAGTAAGTATGTCACAATGACACTGCACCGTAATACATTTACATCCAATACAGGATGTCTAAAGGGCCAACATGATAGACTTGATGGGCAGAGGCTTCCGAAATAGTTTATGAACCTGTGTTAGTCTGTGGTACATCATTTATCAGGTAATTCAAAATGTGTGACACTAGCACTTGGCCATCTGTACATGAATTTGTCAGCCTATCTCATCAACTTTGCAACACCATTACTAACAGACTTAGCGTTGTAGATTCAGATGTTGGTACAGCTACAATTATCAGGAAAACATGCAGTGTCATTTGCCTGCATATTTGATACTGTTGTAATCAATATTAGATTTCATTCTTACAGTACTTTGACCACAAGACTACCCCACCTGTCCTTGCAGTGGGCCAAAGGTACTGAAGTAGGAACATGTATCCTGGTACTCACCTTCCAGCTAGATGCTTGTAGTAGGAGAAGATCTGGTCACTCAGCTTGAACACAAACTGGTCAAAACACAGATTCACCTGGCCAACAAACACAATATTACAGAATTTTGTATGCACACAGTATCATAAGGTGATGAGATTTTACAGTTTCAAAAGACATACCCTTCTTTGTCTTGAGATTTGCATAGAAGGCTGTATTTCTTGCAGTTTTAAACTAATCTTCAATGTAGACAAATCAAACTGCACATTATGAAAGAAATGTATACTTGATATAGCCATATAAAACATGTGCCAATGGAAAGTGCAATATAATCTTTATGTAGACATGCGCCAAAAGCATTCAAATTTGTGTCTGATTAACCCTTGCATTTCCACATAACAATCTTTGATAGGGCGTCATCAAGTTTCCCGATTAACCCTTGTGTCTGATTAGCCCTTGCATATCCACATAACAATCTTTGATAGGGCGTCATCAAGTTTCCCGATTAACCCTTGTGTCTGATTAATCCTTGCATTTCCACATAACAATCTTTGACAGGGCGTCATCAAGTTTCCCAATTAACCCTTGTGTCTGATTAACCCTTGCATTTCCACATAACAATCTTTAAACACACTCAATCCATGTATGCTTTCTGATTTATATGTGACATGGAACTTTAATCTGCTTCCTAAAACACGGGATATTCTGGCACAGGGCATGTGTTCCTGCACACCTTCACTTGCTTGGTCAGTTTGTAGTCCAAGTCCAGGGATACAGACTAAGTCAGCTCAGTGACTCTCAAGCAAAATAATTCAGGTCTATACATTATCATCATCATCCATCCCTCATCAACATACAGGATCATCATCATCATCACACTCCCAGGATCATCATCATCATCATCACTGGATCATTCATCATCACCCTCCCAGGATCATCATCATAATCACACACTCACAGGACATCATCATCACACTCACAGGATCATCATCATCACACTCACAGTAGTGGATCATCATCATCACACTCTCGCAGGATCATCATTGATCATCATCATACAGGAGTCACAGGGGATACAGGATCATCATCATCACACTCACAGGTATCATCATACATACAACATATCATCATCAGTGATCATCATCATCATCACAAATCATCATCATTCAGGATCATCATCATCACATCATCATCATCATCATCATCACACTCAGGATCATCATCATCACTCTCCCAGGATCATCACTCACACTCCAGGGATCATCATCATCTCACAGGATCATCATCACACTCCAGGATCATCATCATCATCATCACTCTCCCAGGATCATATAATCATCACAGGATCATCATCATCATCATCATCATCACACTCCCAGGATCATCATCACAGGATCATCATCATCATCATCATCATCATCATCATCAGGATCATCAATCACACTCCCAGGATCATCATCATCATCATCATCATCACACTCCCAGGATCATCATCATCATCATCATCACTCTCCCAGGATCATCATCATCATCATCATCACTCTCCCAGGATCATCCAAACACTTTATTTACCTGGGTGTTTTAATCTTTAGATGATGATGATCACATTTATCATGCAATGAATCCACATCCTCACATGCTTAAAGTACTACATTTATTCTACAGTCCAAGGATTTTTATTTTCAGCTCCCTGGGGAGGAAGTCGAACGTCAAAAGTTATTACCATCTCGGCCCATACTCCTTTGATATTTATCAGTAACTGATTGATAACAAGAAGACAAAGTCATCAATATCCCCCGCAATGGCAAAATACTCTTCATGATTATGTCTACGAGTTATGATTATGTCAAATATTTAGGTGTGTATATAGAAAAGTGGAAGGAGAGTATTGAAAGGTTTTTAAGGTTCTGCTCCGGAAAGCAGCACTATCACCAATTTCAGGCTAAGTCAAACTTGTTGCCATGGAAACGCCAAAAATATTTTATTCAGAATTCCAAAACTACCAAAAGGCACCAGTACACCACCAGATCTATCTATGTGCCAAGTTTGGTGAAGAAATATTGAACAGTTTTAGAGTTCTGCTCCGGAAAAGAGCACTACCACCAATTTCAGTCTAAGTCAAACTTGTTGCCATGGAAACACCAAAAATATTTTATTCAGAATTCCAAAACCACCAAAAAGCACCAGTACACCACCAGATCTATCTATGTGCCAAGTTTGGTGAAGAAATATTGAACGGTTTTAGAGTTCTGCTCCGGAAAAGACAAATGTGCACGGACAGACGGACGGACGGAGTCCATTTTAATACCCCCCAAAACGCGTTGCGGGGGATAATAATGAACTGAATATCAATCCCTATGGCCTGTACCTACAGCCAGCCCCAATGTAACACACTGGTATGCATTATAACGAAGAGAATGAGCAGCTCGGTGAGTTGGAGAGTACAGTAGTCTACTCACTCCATCATGGATGGTTCCTTGGTCTCCAGGATGTGATCGGTGAGAATCCAGGGCATCGACATCTCAATCGGGAACTAGGCAAGAGATAACAAGTTATTTAAACAATCCACATGAGAGAAATAATCATGTCCAGGCAAAACAAAGCTGTAAATGTACAACCACAAGCACTCGCATCACTTCAACTTCCACCATGATCTGCGATTCTTCATCTTTAACAGTACTGATTTACAGTATCCCCCTCCCTCTATCAAATGAACTTACAAAACAAACCTAAACATATAGACAAAATAATGCTGCAATGTTCCAAATCATGTGGGGACGAACCCGGTCTTCCTAACATCATAACAATTGCCCTGTCTGTAATCAGGGCTAACTATATGAGGAGATCATAAGGAAAGAAGAAAAATGACAGAACTAACACAATCATTACAAGATATGTGAGGCCACAATGGCACAGGTAACACCCAGGGTTTACGAAATGAAATTAAGTGTTGATTTGAACCCATGTCCTGTTACATGTAAGGAGATGTCATTTAAAGTGTTGATCCTAGTTGTGGAATGATTGCCAATAAAGTTCCCTTCAGTACAGAAGATGAGTCCGACCCACCTGTATTCTCTTGCCCATGGTCAGCTCCAGGAAGAACTCTCGGTACCACAGTTGGGACAGATCGCAGCAGTTGAACAGGGACTCTGACAAAAACAGTTTTGTACAAATAGTGTCATGTCTTCATGAGAATTTCAACACTTATGGAAACTGTTGATAATGGTGTATTAACAAAGAGCAGTGGTTGAGTGGTAAGGGCACATTCAAATTGTATTATCAGCTCCTTGGCAGTGTTTAAAACTCCCAAAATTCCAAGCCAGACAGCCGGACTGGTAACTTTAAAAAATTACCAGTCCGGATACAAACTTGCCTGTCCGGTTTTCAAGAATGAATTTTTTTTCTAAAAAACATCAGGTTTCTGAATACTTTACTGTTTGTAGGCATCGCAATGAACAAGATAGCACTAACAGGCAATACACCGAGTTCAGGTAAACTGAAAGTACGTGTATAGTGATTGGTTATTGTAAAATGAACTGTCCAATCATAAATAGTTTAACATAATTATCATAATACCTTAAACACCTCAAACTAACGACAAGAGAACCTGTCTGATATTATGGAATATTTACTGTTAGGGGTAAAAACGTCTACCAGACCACCGGACAGGCTACTTTTGAAATCTGACCGTCCGAGATGAAAATAGACCGTTCCAGACGGTGGGGCAGGCGGGAATTTTAAACGCTGTCCTTGGGGAGAACGACCTAAACACGACGTATGAGTATCATATTTTCCTTATATTCGTGTTCATGTCTGCGGCACCTACTGTTGAAGTTGAGAACATAGTTCCAGAAGAAGGAAGTCTTGTGGAAGTTGTCAATAGCCTGCAGGTGCTGGATGTCGATGTCCTTCCTCAGCGTCTTCTTGCCGCCACTCTTGTCTGCGATCAGTGACTCCAGCATGGTTCGTACCATATACAGCTGTTAAACAACAGACAGGAGGCAGTCAGTGAATGAATACAATGTAATTAAAAGAAATCTCTGGTGAAAGCAAAGTTCATTCTAAATGAATACTATATCATGAGCACGGTTTATGAATCACTATGAACAAGTGACAATAGCAGGTGTTCACGAAAAGGTGATCATACCCTGTCCTACACACCACCTGTCACAAACACATGCAAAGGCAAATCAATTGTTCACATGAAACTCTGGCAAACACTCACCGAATTTAGCTAATCTGGCTAAAACAGTTTACAGTCACTGAGGAAACTGGCACAATGGTAATACCCACAGAAATGAGCACATCACATGAACAACATGAATCTGATATTCAAGTCTGTTCCAGGAGATGTTTTCCCAAACTTATGACATATCCATGTATTACTGCTGCCTTGGTAAATATTACATCTTTCACAACAACATCATATCTATGCAGCATTATTAAACGTGATGGTTAATATCACATGTCATGTAAGAACATGAGTGGAAACAGACCCAGCAAAACATCAAATTGTTTACCTGTGTGGTGGAGGGCCCCACATTCCTCCTGGGGACTTTGATGTGGAATCCTTCCTCCGGGTCCTTCTTTCCCCGCAAGGCGGGATCTTCCTGGGGCTCCACGCCTCTCAGCCAATCAGCACACGTGTCTCTCACAGACATGATGATCCTGTCAACACACAGAGGTCAACATATGACTGTCACAGAAATATCACAAAATGACATACATTTTGACTTCAAACATGTATCATAAATAGGACAAGCTGTTATCGGACAGATTCAAATATATTTTTGTTTAATACCACACACCAATATCCTAGCTATATGGTGGTGGTCTGTAAATAATCCAGTGATCAACAACATGAGCATCGATCTGCGCAACTGGGATACACGGACATGTGTCAACCCAGTGAGCAAGATTGATCATCCAATGCCATTGGTCGCCTCTCATGACAAGGAAAGGGTGCTGAAGTGGGTCAATTTTGCGTGTGCATCATTTTCAGTCCTAATCACAAGAACTGGATCATTTTTACACATCTTACTTTCTGATACAAAACAACTTCATCCTTTACATCTGGTTTCATGGTTTCATACTGGATCCGTTTCAAGGATAATGACTCCTTATTAACAACAATATCTTTAAGATCCTTCCCAGTAAGTTAAGGTGAGGTGAGGTGAGGTGAGGTGAGGTGAGGTGAGGTGAGATGAGGTGAGGTGAGGTGAGGTGAGATGAGGTGAGGTGAGGTGAGGTGAAATTGGGTTTAACGTCGTGCTTGAGAATATTTCACTCATATGAAGGTGTGCATGCGTGTGTATGTGTATGTGCGGCTGCTTGTACTAGCCCAGACTGAAGCTGGCTTTATAGTGCTAGCCCACTGAGATACCATGCCGCAGTGAAGCATGAATACCCCACTCAGACACATTATACTGACTCCGAGCTGACCAGTCCTTTTTGTACGCATTAATGCCGAGCGCCAGGCAGGGACCAACAAGTACCATGTTTTAACGTCTTTTGGTATGTATGACGCGGCCGGGGATCGAACCCGCAACCTTCTGCTCTCCGGGCGGACGCTTTAACCACTACACCACGGAGGCGGTCTCCAAGTAAGTTCATGAATGAGTATGGTTCTATGCTGCTTTTAGCAATATTCCAGCAATATTCCAGCAATATTCCAGCAAATATCACAGCAGGGTACACCAGACATGGGATTTACACATCGCATCCATGTGGGGAATCGAACCCGGGTGTTCGGTGTGACAAGTGAACGCTTTACCACATGAATACCCCATCACCCCCAGTAAGTTAAAGATATAAGTAAGACAAGAGAAGTCAAGACCCGCTCTCCAAAGCGGACACGGAATATTTTTTTATTACTAATTGTTGTAAGAATGTCTTTGGAATGTGAGCCAAAATACAATTTACCAAATGTACACAATTAACACCATCATCTCCTCATCGCTTGATGATGCCATTTTGCTTGAAAATAAGGATATTATCGCGAGAGATTCCAAGTCGTATCAACTCATTTATATGCGATTCTTAAATCTACACATAGATACTACAGGTTGTTACTACAAGTCGCACCGTGAGAACGCACCTTTAGTAATTATGTTTGGACCAGACAAACCAGTGACTGGCATCACGAACCATCAATCCATACGGTATATGATCACATCAAGGTATATCGCAAGCCTGACCATGTAATCCAATAAATTACTGCTTTCAACCATCATATGTTACAAGGTACTATTCTTACACCATGTATTATAAAGAACTAATTATCTCCATGTATTATAAAGAACTAATTATCTCCATGTATTATAAAGAACTAATTATCTCCATGTATCATAAAGAACTAATTATCTCCATGTATTATAAAGAACTAATTATCTCCATGTATTATAAAGAACTAATTATCTCCATGTATTATAAAGAACTAATTATCTCCATGTATTATAAAGAACTAATTATCTCCATGTATTATAAAGAACTAATGATCTCCATGTATCATAAGTACTAATTATCTCCATGTATTATAAAGAACTAATTATCTCTATGTATTATAAAGAACTAATTATCTCCATGTATTATAAAGAACTAATTATCTCCATGTATTATAAAGAACTAATTATCTCCATGTATTATAAAGAACTAATTCCATGTATTATAAAGAACTAACAGATATGCATTACCTAGTACCCCAATATTATCTATTATCCAAGCAGTTACTCACACTTTGATGACATCATTCTTCTTCTTGATGGACTTCCTGAGTGGCTCCCTGAGTACCATCTGTACAAAGTCCTGCAACTCTGTATAGATGTGGCGCCGAATGGCATCCATGAACACCGACTCCATCCTGGCCATCAGGAGTTGCAGCCCTTTGATCATGGCTATCACTTCAATTAGGGCAAATTTCTCATCCTTGCTGTAGTTGTACCGAGTAGACTGAAAAACAACACATTCTGCTCAGGATTGCATCACAGAGTGAGTATATACAGATATTTATCTCGAACTGATCAGAGGACATTTTCTCCTGCAGCAAAAAACAATAAAACTTCCCGAACTAGAATAAAACATTTAACAATTTTTTCCCAATTTGACTGTCAAGGGCACTAAGGTTCTCTGGAGAAATCGACAACACAACTGTTTAATTGTGAAAAATCTTGTTAATATGATTCATGTAAAAATATTTCTGGACTTTTTGCTGAATATCAATACCTATCCCTTAAAAAGACTGCCTATTTACCTGTCTAAAATCTGAAAACTAAGGCATCTTGAGAGCATTATCAGTCATTATGCAATATCAAAAAGAGAGAGAGAACAGGAGAGCATTGTCGTGAGATGACAATCGTAAGTCTATGTTAAAATATGGGAGTTACGATCAAGCCACACGCTTTTATGTGTGGAGAACAATGGTTATGGCAAAATGAAACAATGGATGGCATTCTGTATGGCTGAAACACTGGACTTCTTGTGTCACTTCTTGTGTCATTCTCTTTTCATATGCCACAGACCCTTGAAGGTCCGGGTTAGAATATTGATCTTCAGTAACCCATGCTTGTCGTAAGAGGCGACTAACGGGATCGGGTGGTCAGGCTCGCTGGCTTGGTTGACACATGTCATCAGTTCCCAATTGCGCAGATTGATGCTCATGATGTTGATCACTGGATTGTCTGGTCCAGACTCGATTATTTACAGACTGCCGCCATATAGCAGGATTTGATCAACTCACTCACTCATATGCCACAAGTTTTTTGTACTTCAGGAACAAATCATTATCAATACTATCTGAAAATGTAAAGCCGAAAGTGGGGTAAGGTGAGGTGAGATATGGCGAGATGAGATAGGGATCATAGGTGAGGTATGGGATAGGTGAGTTGGGCGAAATAGGGACAAATGATTTGAGGTGAGGTAAGCTGAGGAATGTTCAAGTGCAGTAGGGGTAGTTGAGGTAAGGTGAGGCTATACAGGGAATAGGTGACGTGAGGTGAAGTTAGACAGGGAATAGGTGAAGTTAGGGAATAGATTAAGCAAGGTGAGGTTAGGCAGGGAATAGGTGAAGTAAGGAGAGGTTAGGCAGGGAAAAGGTGAGGTAAGGAGAGGTTAGGTGAGGGTAAGACAGGAAATAGGTGAAGTAAGGTGAGGTATAGTGAGGTGAAGAGAAATAATAACAGCATTCTATGAACAGTAACTTCACTTGAACTGTAGACAGAAGACAACTTACCCTCTCGTACTCTTCCGCATCTTGTGGGCACAAAGGATTCTGACGAGGATCAGTCGGGTTGAGCAGCTTCCATGAATACTGGAGACAAGTGGCAAGTATTAAAACACAGTGAATTGAGCCACATCGAACCAGTATCACACTTACATTACACCTACAGCATGTACACTGCAGATCACAGTTACATTACACCTACATGATGTACACTGCAGATCAGTTACATTACACCTACACTATGTACACTGCAGATCACAGTTACATTACACCTACATGATGTACACTGCAGATCACAGTTACATTACACCTACACCATGTACACTGCAGATCACAGTTACATTACACCTACACCATGTACACTGCAGATCACAGTTACATTACACCTACACCATGTACACTGCAGATCACAGTTACATTACACCTACAGTTACATGTACACTGCAGATCACAGTTACATTACACCTACATCATGTACACTGCAGATCACAGTTACATTACACCTACATGCATGTACACTGCAGATCACAGTTACATTACACCTACATCATGTACACTGCAGATCACAGTTACATTACACCTACACCATGTACACTGCAGATCACAGTTACATTACACCTACACCACATACACTGCAGATCACAGTTACATTACACCTACATCATGTACACTGCAGATCACAGTTACATTACACCTACATCATGTACACTGCAGATCACAGTTACATTACACTGCAGATACACCATGTACACTGCAGATCACAGTTACATTACACCTACATCATATACACTGCAGATCACAGTTACATTACACCTACATCATGTACACTGCAGATCACAGTTACATTACACCTACATCATGTACACTGCAGATCACAGTTACATTACACCTACATCATGTACACTGCAGATCACAGTTACATTACACCTACATCATGTACACTGCAGATCACAGTTACTCACGTACACTGCAGATCACATCATGTACACTGCAGATCACAGTTACATTACACCTACATCATGTACACTGCAGATCACAGTTACATTACACCTACATCATGTACACTGCAGATCACAGTTACATTACACCTACATCATGTACACTGCAGATCACAGTTACATTACACCTACATCATGTACACTGCAGATCACAGTTACATTACACCTACATCATGTACACTGCAGATCACAGTTACATTACACCTACATCATGTACACACTGCAGATCACAGTTACATTACACCTACACCATGTACACTGCAGATCACAGTTACATTTACACATACACTGCAGATCACAGTTACATTACACCTACATCATGTACACTGCAGATCACAGTTACATTACACCTACATCATATACACTGCAGATCACAGTTACATTACACCTACACTATGTACACTGCAGATCACAGTTACATTACACCTACACCTACACTGCAGATCATGTTACATTACACATCATGTACACTGCATCACAGTTACATTACACAGTTGCACACAGTTACATTACACCTACATCATGTACACTGCAGATCACAGTTACATTACACCTACACCATGTACACTGCAGATCACAGTTACATTACACCTACACCACGTACACTGCAGATCACAGTTACATTACACCTACATCATATACACTGCAGATGACTTTCACGTCAGAGTCAGGCTGAAATCATCTTCCCTTATTTTAATGCGAGACAAATGGCACTGCTAGTGATGTTGACTGACTACAAAGTACTGCCACTGACCAGTTCCATGACCTGCTGTGTCCAGGCTGATAGCAGCTGCAGTCCGCGGAGCGCCAAGTCTGTCAGTTCCTTGTTCTCCGCATCCTTCCGCGGTTTCTCCCTAGTGGTAGTGATGGCCTGGAACAATCACACAGTCTGAGTTATACGTAACGGACTGGGTCAGTTAATACCACAAGTTTGATTAGATTTGATTTTTTTTCACAAATAAACAGGAAAACAATGTCTACAGTAGTACTTAGCAACAGTCTCCACATATGTAGAGGGAAAGGTAACTTTCTGAAAGAATCCTAAAACGCGACTGAAGGCAAGGTCAGGATAAGGGCTCTTACAAATGCTTTGGTTGGTTGGTTGGTTGTTGTTTAACACACTCAGCAATATTCCAGCTATATGGTGGCAGTCTGTAAATAATCAAGTCTGGACCAGACAATCCAGTGATCAACAGCATGAGCATCAATCTACGCAACTGGGATATGATGACATGTATCCTGTTAGTCGCCTCTTATGACAAGCATGGGTTTCTGAAGACCAGTTATAACCCAGATCTTCATGTGGTGCAAAACTTGAACAACCTGAACTGAATTAGATGCAATAAATAGATCATGGACATCCACAACAATATTATCAACCAGTTTCAATCCTGAATGCTACAGTTCTGTCTGTAAGGTGACAGTGCTGACCTCGTTGCTGTGACGAGACAGCTGGCTAATGAACTGCATGTGGTCTTCGGATGGCCTCTAGGTTGACCAGCAGGTTGGACTGTGGGCTGGGCTGGCTGGACTCACAACACGGCCACTTCGACGGCTCGAACACCGCAGCATTCTTGATGAAGTGGAATGGAGCTATCTGCATATCTCCATACAGTGGCACAACCTCCAGTTGCTGGAAATAAGATCATTACAGCGTTGGTATAAATATGTAAATATTTGTAATACTGGCATCTGCATTGCAATATGTATTTGGAGCGATGTTTTGTAGTGATGGTTTCAAGGATACAGTTGGAAGGTCATCATATAAGGAGATAAGGTCAACATGAAGGAGATAAAGTGATAAAGTCAACATGTAAGGTCATAATATAAGGAGATAAGGACATCATGAGAGGAGATAAGATCATCACATATGGAGATAAGGAGATCATGTAAGGAGATAAGGTCATCACATTAGGAGATAAGGTCATCACATAAGGAGATAAGGTCATCACATGAGGAGATAATGTAATTATGAAAGATAAGGTCAACATGTAAGGAGATAAGGTCATCACACAAGGAGATCAGGACATCACATAAGGAGATAACGTCATCACATGAGGAGATAAGGTCATCACATAAGGATATAAGTACAACACATATGGAGATAAGGTCATCATGTGAGGAGATAAGATCATCACATATGGAGATAAGGTCATCATGTAAGGAGATAAGATCATCACATATGGAGATAAGGTCATGTAAGGAGATTAGGTCATCTTGTAAGGAGATAAGGTCATCACATGAGGAGATAAGGTCATCACATGTAAGGAGATAAGGTCATCACATATGGATATGAGGACAGATAAGGTGATAATGTCATGACAGAAGATAAGTACATCACATAAGGAGATAAGGACATCATGTGAGGAGATAAGGTCATCATGTAAGGAGATAAGGACATCACGTAAGGAGATAAGGACATCATGTAAGGAGATATCAGGTCATCACATGTGAAAGGAGATAAGGTCATCATGTAGGAGATAAGATCATCACATATAAGAGATAAGGTCATCATGTAAGGAGATAAGGTCATCACATATGGAGATAAGGTCATCATGTAAGGAGATAAGGTCATCATGGAGGAGATAAGGTCATCATGTAAGGAGATAAGGTCATCATGTAAGGAGATAAGGTCATCATGTAAGGAGATAAGGTCATCATGTAAGGAGATAAGGTCATCACATAAGGAGATAAGGTCATCATGTAAGGAGATAAGATCATCACATATGGAGATAAGGTCATCATGTAAGGAGATAAGATCATCACATATGGAGATAAGGTCATCATGTAAGGAGATAAGATCATCACATATGGAGATAAGGTCATCATGTAAGGAGATAAGATCATCACATAAGGAGATAAGGTCATCATGTAAGGAGATAAGGATCATCATATAAGGAGATAAGGTCATCATGTAAGGAGATAAGATCATCATGTAAGGAGATAAGGTCATCATGTAAGGAGATAAGGTCATCACATAAGGAGATAAGGTCATCATGTAAGGAGATAAGATCATCACATATGGAGATAAGGTCATCATGTAAGGAGATAAGATCATCACATATGGAGATAAGGATAATCATCACATAAGGAGATAAGGTCATCATGTAAGGAGATAAGGTCATCATGTGACATAAGGAGATAAGGTCATCATGTAAGGAGATAAGATCATCACATAAGGAGATAAGGTCATCATGTAAGGAGATAAGGTCATCACATAAGGAGATAAGGTCATCATGTAAGGAGATAAGATCATCACATAAGGAGATAAGGTCATCATGTAAGGAGATAAGGTCATCATGTAAGGAGATAAGGTCATCATAAGGAGATAAGTCATCATAAGGAGATAAGATCATCATCATGTAAGGAGATAAGGTCATCATGTAAGGAGATAAGGTCATCACATATAAGGAGATAAGGTCATCATGTAAGGAGATAAGGTCATCATGTAAGGAGATAAGGTCATCACATAAGGAGATAAGGTCATCATGTAAGGAGATAAGGTCATCACATAAGGAGATAAGGTCATCATGTAAGGAGATAAGGTCATCATGTAAGGAGATAAGGTCATCATGTAAGGAGATAAGGTCATCACATGTAAGGAGATAAGGTCATCACATAAGGAGATAAGGTCATCATGTAAGGAGATAAGGTCATCACATGAGGAGATAAGGTCATCATGTAAGGAGATAAGGTCATCAAGCATAAGGAGATAAGGAGATAAGATCATCATAAGGAGATAATCATCAGGAGATAAGGTCATGAGGAGATAAGGTCATCATAAGGAGATATAAGGACATCATGTAAGGAGATAAGGTCATCACATGAGGAGATAAGGTCATCACGAGGAGAGGAGATAAGTCATCATGACAGGAGATAAGGTCATCATCATAAGGAGATAAGATCATCACATAAGGAGAGATAAGGTCATCATGTGAGGAGATAATGTCATCACATGAGGAGAGATAAGGTCATCATAAGGAGATAAGGAGATAAGGTCATCACATGAGGAGATAAGGTCATCACGTGAGGAGATAATGTAATTATGACAGAAGATAAGGACATCATAAGGAGATAAGTCATAACATGAGGAGATAAGGTCATCACGTGAGGAGATAATGTAATTATGACAGAAGATAAGGACATCATAAGGAGATAAGTCATAACATGAGGAGATAAGGTCATCATCACATAATGAGGAGATACATCATGTAAGGAGATAAGATCATCACATAGGGAGGAGATAAGGTTATGACAGAAGATAAGGACATCATAAGGAGATAAGTCATAACATGAGGAGATAAGGTCATCACGTGAGGAGATAATGTAATTATGACAGAAGATAAGGACATCATAAGGAGATAAGTCATAACATGAGGAGATAAGGTCATCACGTGAGGAGATAATGTAATTATGACAGAAGATAAGGACATCATAGGGAGATAAGGACATCATAAGGAGATAAGTCATAACATAAGGGATCATCATCATAGGAGGAGATAAGCACATCATAAGGAGATAACGTCATCACTTGTGGAGATCAAGTCATCATATATGGAGATAAACTAATTATGTAAGGAGATATGGTCAACATGTGAGTGAGTGAGTTTGGTTTTATGCCACTTTTAGCAATATTCCAACAATATCACGGCACCAGAAATGGGCTTCACACATTGAACCCATTGAACCCATGTAGGGACGAGCGAACGCTTTAACCACTAGACTACCCCACCACCCAGACAAAGAAGGACGCTTAAACTTTCCTTACTTGAAGGGACTGGGTCCGTCAAGTGGAGCGGCATAACGAGCCCTGTCAGCAACACGACGAGCATAAGCCTGAGTGTAGTCACCGAACGCCTCGAAGGCAAGAACCTTGCATTTATCGCAACAAGACTCTCATTTACACTGTCCCATACACTCAACACAATACCCATGTGGATCACTCGCGGAGAACATTTTATTACATCTGGGAGCATTTTTCCCTCTTCTTTGGATGGTCAACTTTCCCCATGTTGTAGACTAAGTTGAAAACGTTAAGCAAAGCAAAATACGTCCACACTTGTGTGCGACAAGAAAGAGAATGATGATTCGGAGATAGTCACGTGGGCAGCTAGTGGTGCATGCCGCATGCTTTGCATGAGAGCTAGGAAGTTGTCTTATAATGAGGGTAGCATGAAGTGCTTGGGCGGATGGACAAGAGGGCCTAGGAAAAAAGTTTAACATCGTTCCACTCAGTGTCGAATCAAGAGAGAGAAGTGCATACCGTGAGATAGGATAAGTTTAAAAATATGAAACAAAAACTAAGACTAAGACTGCCCCACACTCATTTTTTTAAACACAGTAAACTTGAGCAACCTGCTTCATTAGTACTGAGAGACCAGGAGCTAGCATCTCCCTGCTCACCTTCAGAATCTTGTCTATTTTGCTGATGTTGATTCTCTTCTTGGCATCCATCTTGTAGATGTTGATGCCTTCTTTGGAGTTCATCAGAAACAGCCCAAAGGCCATCACCTGAAACAACATTACACAAATACAAAATGATGTGCAGGTGTTCTTCTACAACACTGGTCAAACTCTTGACCAGCACTTACCTACTGATCTACAGGACTTCTACTAGAATGCACTTGTGAAGGTCTGGGCTTGAATTGATCTTCAGCAACCCATGCTTGTCGAAAGAAGTGACTAACAGGATCGGGTGGTCAGACTTGGTTGACACATGTCATCGGTTCCCATGCTGTTGATCACTGGATTGTCTGGTCCAGACTTTATTATTTACAGACCGCCGCCATATAGCTGGAATATTGCTGAGTGCGGCGTAAAACTAAACTCACTCACTTACTAGAATGCTGAGCAATCAGTTTCAACTCTTGCCAACCAGTTACACGAGTTTATATAGAACACTGGGCAAAAATATCCACTCCACGTCCTAAACATTGACTCCACTGCACCATACACAAATTCTACATTAAATGTGGAGAATACTAGACTCAATCTGGTCAGTTAGTGACATCACAGATCAGATTTATTGCACATTTTATATCATGTTCACTTTGTTGTTGCACACCACTCAGCAATAGCCCAGCTATATGATGGTGGGATGTAAACAGTCTTGACCAGATAATCCAGTGATTGATATTATGAGCCATGATGGAGATGTCAGTATGATGACAAAGTCAAGCCAGTCACTGAACCTGACCACCTGATCGATCACGTCACCTCTAACAACAAGCACAGGTTACTGGAGAAACATTCAAACATGAAACCCAACAGGGAAGCCACAGTCCCTGAATCAAGATATAACCTAGCTAACATGACCACGACCACCTACATTCACCAGCATGTACTTCTCACTGGGCTCCAGGAACATCTGGGCTTTGTACAGCCACAGACAACAGGCACTGGGAACTCCCTGTATCTAGACATAACATAGCTAACATGACCACCACCTACCTTGACCCCCACTGGGCTCCAGGAACATCTAGGCTTCGTACAGTCACAGACGACAGGCACTGGGAACTCACTGTATCTAGACATAACCTAGCTAACATGACCACGACGACCTACCTTGACCCCACTGGGCTCCAGGAACATCTGGGCTTCGTACAGTCACAGACGAACTCCCTGTATCTAGACATTACCTAGCTAACATGACCACGACCTACCTTGACCCCCACTGGGCTCCAGGAACATCTGGGCTTCGTACAGCCACAGACAACAGGCACTGGGAACTCCCTGTATCTAGACATAACCTAGCTAACATGACCACGACGACCTACCTTGACCCCTACTGGGCTCCAGGAACATCTAGGCTTCGTACAGCCACAGACAACAGGCACTGGGAACTCCCTGTATCTAGACATAACCTAGCTAACATGACCACGACCTACCTTGACCCCCATTGGTCTCCAGGAACATCTAGGACTTCAGACAGCCACAGAGGACAGGCACTGGGAACTCCCCTGTATCTAGACATAACCTAGCTAACATGACCATCTAATCGACCTACCTTGGACCCCAACTGGGCTCCAGGAACATCTGGGCTTCATTACAGCCACAGACAACAGGCACTGGGAACTCCCTGTATCTAGACATAACCTAGCTAACATGACCACGACGACCTACCTTGACCCCCATTGGGCTCCAGGAACATCTAGGCTTCGTACAGCCACAGACAACAGGCACTGGGTACTCCCTGTATCTAAACATAACCTAGCTAACATGACCACGACGACCTACCTTGACCCCCATTGGGCTCCAGGAACATCTAGGCTTCGTACAGTCACAAACAACAGGCACTGGGAACTCCCTGTATCTAGACATAACCTAGCTAACATGACCACGACCTACCTTGACACCCACTGGGCTCCAGGAACATCTAGGCTTCGTACAGTCACAGACAACAGGCACTGGGAACTCCCTGAATCTAGACATAACCTAGCTAACATGACCACGACGACCTACCTTGACGCCCATTGGGCTCCAGGAACATCTGGGCTTCGTACAGCCACAGACAACAGGCACTGGGAACTCCCTGTATCTAGACATAACCTAGCTAACATGACCACGACGACCTGCCTTGACCCCTACTGGGCTCCAGGAACATCTAGGCTTCGTACAGCCACAGACAACAGGCACTGGGAACTCCCTGTATCTAGACATAACCTAGCTAACATGACCACACGACCTACCTTGACCCCCACTGGGCTCCAGGAACATCTGGGCTTCTTACAGTCACAGACAACAGGCACTGGGAACTCCCTGTATCTAGACATAACCTAGCTAACATGACCACGACCTGCCTTGACCCCCACTGGGCTCCAGGAACATCTGGGCTTCATTACAGCCACAGACAACAGGCACTGGGAACTCCCCTGTATCTAGACATAACCTAGCTAACATGACCACGACCTGCCTTGACCCCACTGGGCTCCAGGAACATCTAGGGCTTCAGACAGCCACAGACAACAGGCACTGGGGCTCCCTGTATCTAGACATAACCTAGCTAACATGACCACGACCTACCTTTGACCCCCACTGGGCTCCAGGAACATCTAGGCTTCAGACAGCCACAGACAACAGGCACTGGGAACTCCCTGTATCTAGACATAACCTAGCTAACATGACCACTCACGACCTACCTTGACCCCCACTGGGCTCCAGGAACATCTAGGCTTTCAGACAGCCACAGACAACAGGCACTGGGAACTCCCTGTATCTAGACATAACCTAGCTAACATGACTATTTTACCTACCTTGACCCCCACTGGGCTCCAGGAACATCTAGGCTTCGTACAGCCACAGACAACAGGCACTGGGAACTCCCTGTATCTAGACATAACCTAGCTAACATGACCACGACCTACCTTGACCCCCACTGGGCTCCAGGAACATCTAGGCTTCGTACAGCCACAGACAACAGGCACTGGGAACTCCCTGTATCTAGACATAACCTAGCTAACATGACCACGACCTACCTTGACCCCCACTGGGCTCCAGGAACATCTAGGCTTCGTACAGCCACAGACAACAGGCACTGGGAACTCCCTGTATCTAGACATAACCTAGCTAACATGACCACGTACCTACCTTGACTCCCACTGGGCTCCAGGAACATCTAGGGCTTCACAGCCACAGACAACAGGCACTGGGAACTCCCTGTATCTAGACATAACCTAGCTAACATGACCACGACCTACCTTGACCCCACTGGGCTCCAGGAACATCTGGGCTTCATACAGCCACAGACAACAGGCACTGGGAGCTCCCTGTATCTAGACATAACCTAGCTAACATGACCACGACGACCTACCTTGACCGCCACTGGGCTCCAGGAACATCTAGGCTTCGTACAACCACAGACAACAGGCACTGGGAACTCCCTGTATCTAGACATAACCTAGCTAACATGACCACGACGACCTACCTTGACTGCCACTGGGCTCCAGGAACATCTTGGCTTCGTACAACCACAGACAACAGGCACTGGGAACTCCCTGTATCTAGGCATAACCTAGCTAACATGACCACGACGACCTACCTTGACCAGCATGTACTTCTCACTGGGTTCCAGGAACATCTGAGCTTCATACAGCTGCAGACACAGGTTGACGATGTCTGCCAGCAGGTCTTCATGGCCGGGGATCTGGGCCAAGTTTTCCTTCACTGTGGACCGGATCTTGTTCTGGGTGGCCAGGTTAATGGACAGGTTCTGAGACTCCTGTAGAACATTTGGGTCGGCCATAACCTTGAGGAACTGGGCAGCTCTGCAATATTGGAGAAATCACATGTGGTCATCTATTGAATCTGTTTGTCTGTTTCCTGTTGTTGTTATGGAACATCTTGCTCAACAATATTGAAGCAATATAACAGCAGTCTGTAAATAAATCAAGTCTGGACCAGATAATGTGATTGTGATGATAAGCATCCGTCTATCCATCAGGATACGAAATGCAGCAACCAAATCAGCAAGCCCGACCATACGATCCCATAAGATGCCTCTAACAACCAGGAGGCTTTCATCATCATCATCATCATCATCATCATCATCATCATCAACCTGTGAAGGTCCGGGTTAGAATATTGATCTTCAGTAACCAATGCTTGTTGTAAGAGGCGACTAACGGGATCGGGTGGTCAGGCTCGCTGACTTGGTTGACACATGTCATCGGTTCCCAATTGCGCAGATCAATGCTCATGCTGCATCATCTGGATCTGTGTCCTGGAAAACTGTACAATAGAATTTAGATACCTCCATCACTTTAGGCTCTCTCTCAGCCTCAGCTGACACTTGGTGATGTAATGGGAATACTGTAAAAAGTGGCGTTGGGACCGTGGCGTTAAACCCATCTCACTCACTTCTGTTGCAGCTCATGGGATCATCATCACCACCACCACCACCATCACAATCATCAGCAGCATCAGCATGATAAGGCATATTCATCAAAGATGCATCTAACCATGACACCATCTTCTAACTGCTGAATATGATCACAAGCCTGTTATACATGATCTACAGGACATGCATGATGTATTTACCTCCTGTATGCAGAGTAGTCATTCTTCACACTAGCCTTCATGTTCTTAAGCTCGTCCAGTTCAGCAAACATGTTAATGAACTTCCCAAGTGTCAGCAGATATGCTTCAGACACAAAATCATTCTTCTTTTCCTTGTGGCACAAACGGCGAACCTCATCAGAAAATCTTTCAATGGCTCTTTTCTGAAAGTACAATGAAAATTGTTGATTATAAGATTAACATTTGCATGTTATTTATACTCCCACTAGAAGTGGGAGATTACTATCCTGTCGCTCCACAAGTAACCTATATGTCTGGAAATGCATGTTTACACACCTGTGGCTCCACACTGTACATACTTTGAAGTTAACACACCTGTGGCTCCACACTGTACATACTCAGCCGTTTACACACCTTTGGCTCCACAATCCTACATACTTTGAAGTCCATACACCTGTGGCTCCACATCCTACATACTTTGAAGTTTACACACCTGTGGCTCCTCATCCTACATACTTTGAAGTCCATACACCTGTGGCTCCACATCCTACATACTTTGCAGTTTACACACCTGTGGCTCCAAATCCTACATACTTTGAAGTTTACACACCTCATCCTACACACTTTACACACCTGTGGCTCCTCATCCTACATACTTTGAAGTTTACACACCTGTGGCTCCACACTGTACATACTCAGCCATTTACACACCTGTGGCTCCACATCCTACATACTTTGAAGTTTACACACCTGTGGCTCCTCATTGTACATAATCAGCAATTTACAAACCTGTGGCTCCACATCCTACATACTTGGAAGTTTACACACCTCAGGCTCTCATTGTACATACTCAGACGTTTACACACCTGTGGTTTCACATCCTACATAATTTGAAGTTTACACACCTGTGGCTCCTCATTGTACATAATCAGCAGTTTACAAACCTGTGGCTCCACATCCTACATACTTTGAAGTTCACACACCTGTGGCTCCTCATTGTACATACTCAGACGTTTACACACCTGTGGTTCCACATCCCACATACTTTGAAGTTTACACACCTGTGTCTCCTCATTGTACATACTCAGCTGTTTACAAACCTGTGGCTCTGCATCCTACATACTTTGAAGTCCATACACCTGTGGCTCCTCATTGTACATACTCAGACGTTTACACACCTGTGGTTCCACATCCTACATACTTTGAAGTTTACACACCTGTGGCTCCTCATTGTACATACTCAGCTGTTTACAAACCTGTGGCTCTGCATCCTACATACTTTGAAGTCCATACACCTGTGGCTCCTCATTGTACATACTCAGACGTTTACACACCTGTGGTTCCACATCCTTCATGCTTTGAAGTTTACACACCTGTGGCTGCACATCCTACATACTTTGAAGTTTACACACCAGTGGCTCTATATCCTACACACCAGCAACACCACAAACTACATACCTGGAAGTGCATGAAGTCAGTCAGTCTAGACACCTGCGGCTCCAGAACCTCCACAATCTTCTGGTAAATCTGTGTCCGATTCTGCTGGTCATTGCTTTTTACCTGGATAACAACAAACATGATTCACACACAACACAAAATATTAACTTTAGATTAGGAGTGTACCACAGATGTAGCCTGTGATGATCAGGTTTAGAATTCGTCTTTAGCAAAACGTGACTGTCGTAACAGGCAACATTCATTATTTGAAAGTACTGACTGACCATAAGAGAGAAAAAGTGTTGTATTATACATATGTTTAGTATGAATATTTCGTTCCAGTCAGAGGTTGTGATTTGAAACCTCTATTTGCAAACTCATTCTGTGAGTTCTGTTACAAATTCAATCTATAAAATCTACAGTAAACAGCCCTATGTTATCTCCTGAGGAAGTGGAGATGTTCAAGCCATGATTACCAAACGAATGTTCAACATTTGTACTGCTCAAACAATTACCCATATTATACAAATTCAATTATCTTACCTCACACATAAATGTCGTTTTCTGATAGGCTGAGCCAATCAAAGTACCCGCTTACAAGCGACTAACATTTTCTATGTTACCCCCTGAGAATGCCAAACTGTGGGCATTCATTTGGTGTATCGTGTTAGCAGTGTTTGGGTTGTTACCTAACTCCGGCTCTCTGTATTATGATCCAATACACATGCTTCAAACAGTTCAAACTTAACACTGAGGTGTTCCGTAAGAAAACTATGTTGTTAAGTGGTCCCTCTGGGCCCATGGGTTGATGTAACCTCTATGTTAGAGGGTACATCAACCCATACCCCCTCGTGACGAATGAACAACTTATATTAGCACCATTCTGACCAGGTTAAAAAGCTGTCGTGGTTGCGTAGTTTATGTGACATGTAACATAAAGCTCCAGCAGCTTGTTCTGAAACATTGGTTGCAGTGATGGTGAAGGAGACGTTACCTGTGGCAGTGCTCGGGAGCAGCACCTCCAGGTGTACAACATGGCGGCATACTCCTGCCCCTCCTCCAGCAGCTTGTTCTGAAACATGGTAGGTACATGACAGTGTTACAATAAAACATGGGTAGTATTTATTTTTCATATTCATTACAGGATATTTATATAGCCCACATATCCAGTACTTTGTCCAAGTTTACTGCACGTTGCTGTACCCGCAACTAGGTGTTTGCACGTATTTATGTGGCCACCATCTGGTTATACACCATATAGTACATGGGTGGTACATTATAGTGCCATAATAAAACATGGGTTGCACACAATAGTACTACCCTAAAACATGGGCGGGACATGATGGTGCTGGAATTAAACATAAGAGTGAGTGAGTGAGTGAGTCTAGGTTTATGCCGCTTTTAGCAATATTCCAGCAATATCACGACGGAGGACATCAGAAATGGGCTTCACACATTATACCCATGTGGGGAATCGAACCCGGGCCATCGGCATGACCAGCGAACGCTTTAATCACAAAGCTACCCCCACCACCCCTAAAACATGAGAGGAACAGACAATGCAGCAATCAGTATGGTGACCAACAATCCACACAGTTGGTGCACAAAGGTACACAATCCGCTAAGTAACCAAACCTGACCACCCAATCCCCAAAGTTGTCTCTAATGACAAGCACAGGCTAGGGGGGCCCAGTTCTAACCAGGAATCTGCACAGGAAGACACCCTTACCAGATCAGCATGAACTGTTGCCTCTTCAATGTATTTGGCAACACCAGTAACGTAGGCGTTCTTTTCCTCGAAGTTGGTGTCGAAGTCTGCACGGTAGTGTACAGACTGCGGCATGGCTTCGATGCATGGCTGTTGGTCTGGCAGGTGGAGCTCGTCCAGCACATCCACGTTCTGTAGAGCATCAGTCAAGGTGATCTTCTCACCTGCCCCCACAGACATTGTGCTTGGTGTGCCTGGAATGTGATACAGAAGATTTATCGGAGTGTTGGACCTTCAGGACATTGATAGTGAATATGACCTCCAATTTCCACGTCAAGTATTGCAACAACTTTTCAATGGGCTATCCAGCAAATATACCAAACATGATGTCCATAGTGAAATTCAAGTAACAACAAACAACAGCATATGCTTTATACTCATTGAAAGTAGGTCACAGTGACCTACTACAGATTTAAAAAGAGTGTCATCGCTGGTCATTCCTAAGAATACAGGCATAAGATTTTTAGCAAGTGCAGAAAAATGCATGTTAGTGAAAAGTGGAAACATACTTATCGAACGGGCGGGGCCTTCAATCTGACTTTGACTCAGGGACCGTTCATATTTATGGCTATAGTCTGTTTGCAGTGAAAACGTACCGATGAATTTCACTTTAAACAAAAAAGTAAATCAAATAAAGTGATATTAAGATTGCGAATCTTCATAATTTTACCTTGCCAAATGAACATTTAAATCTCAGAATATTATTCAACTTAGGATAAAAGTTGTTTAACAAACAATCATAGATTCAAATCACTATTATTGGTTTGTATTACAAGGGGGTAAGCGCAGTAGATGGAACAGTGAAACAAATGCACGTGCGGTACGTGATGAGCATTAACTTAGACAAGCCCTACTTGCTGAAGGCCAATTCTAACCCGGATTTTAATGGGTCTTGATAATCTTAGACTGTTGATACTTAACATGCTTAATAAAGTTTAACAAACCTCAATAAATCATAACCCAGTATAAAATATTAATCAGGACAACACAACTGGAATTACTGAGAGCTATACCTGATTGCACAGTGGGTAAATATGGCTTACCTTGCTAAAGCCATGAAAATATCATATCGATTTTGAGCTTAAGCATGTTATACAATCATAAATCATTGTAAATGATCAAATCCCAAAACCTTCCTTCTACAGCAGACCAAAGCAGTATATTGTGAGGTTTTACAGAACAGGAAGTAGCCTCTTGATCTACATCCTGCTATGGCATGTTAATGGCCACACCAATCTGGACCTCAATCTTTCACATGCTATGTGGACATTTACATTTCTGTTACTGGTAGTGTTAGTACAGTAGAGCCACACCAAATCTTTCACCTGGTACATGTACATATACACTACTGTTAGCATACTGTAATACACTACTGTTAGCATACAGTAATACACTGTTGTTAGCATACAGTAATACACTACTGTTAGCATACAGTAATACACTGTTGTTAGCATACAGTAATACACTACTGCTAGCATACAGTAATACACTACTGTTAGCAAACAGTAATATACTACTGTTAGCATACAGTAATATACTACTGTTTAGCATACAGTAATACACTACTGTTAGCAGTAATACAGTAATACACTGCTGTTAGCATACAGTAATACACTGTTAGCATAGCATACTGTAGCATACAGTAATACTGTTAGCATACAGTAATACACTGTTGTTAGCATACAGTAATACACTTCTGTTAGCATACAGTAATACACTACTGTTAGCATACAGTAATACACTACTGTTAGCATACAGTAATACACTACTGTTAGCATACAGTAATACACTGTTGTTAGCATACAGTAATACACTACTGTTAGCAAACAGTAATATACTACTGTTAGCATACAGTAATACACTACTGTTTAGCATACAGTAATACACTTCTGTTAGCATACAGTAATACACTACTGTTAGCATACAGTAATACACTACTGTTAGCATACAGCAATACACCACTGTTAGCATACAGCAATACACTACTGTTTAGCATGCAGTAATACACTACTGTTAGCATACAGTAATACACTACTGTTAGCATACAGTAATACACCACTGTGAGCATACAGTAATACACTGCTGTTAGCGTACAGTAATATACTACTGTTAGCATACAGTAATACACTACTGTTAGCATACAGTAATAAACTACTGTTAGCATATACAGTAATACACCACTGTTAGCATACAGCAATACACTGCTGTTAGCATACAGTAATACACTACTGTTAGCATACAGTAATATACTACTGTTAGCATACAGTAATATACTACTGCTAGCATACAGTAATACACTACTGTTAGCGTACAGTAATATACTACTGTTAGTGTACAGTAATATACTACTGTTAGCATACAGCAATACACTACTGTTAGCATACAGTAATACACTACTGTTAGCATATACAGTAATACACTACTGTTAGCATACAGCAATACACTACTGTTAGCATACAGCAATACACTACTGTTAGCATACAGTAATACACTACTGTTAGCATACAGTAATACACTACTGTTAGCATATACAGTAATACACTACTGTTAGCATACAGCAATACATTGCTGTTAGCATACAGTAATACACTACTGTTAGCATACAGTAATACACTACTGTTAGCATACAGTAATGTTGATATTTTGGACAAGAATCCACACCGTCAATGCACTGGCACGTGAGCGAGACGGAAACCATGTCTGACCACCTGACCCATTAACATGATAATGTATCAAGAATTCATTGACATTAAAGATAGCTTTATTCTGGATAGGTTTTTCAGCATAGTTTTACTTCAGGGCATTGAATAAACATTTTTCTCAACAATTGTTAAAATACTGTTTCACACGACTTCTAAGTTCTATTGGTTGGTTGGTTGATCACATTTGTATAATGCCACACTCAGCAATGTTCCAGCTATTTGGCAGCGGTCTGTAAATAATCGAGTTAGGACCAGACAATCAAGTGATCAAGAACATGAGCATCTATCTACACAATGGGGATACGATGACATGTGTCAATCAAGTCAGCGAGCCTGACCACCCAATCCCGTTAGTCGCCTCTTACGACAAGCATGGGTTACTGAAGATCAATTCTAACCCGGATCTCCACGGGTAACACAACTTCCAATCATGTGCTGTCCGAAGTATCTAACTTGTTGCATAAACCTACAAAAGTGAGATGAATAAACAATACTAAAGATATAGTCCCTTTTATGCATTAATTCACTCTGCTAGTGTTCATGTATATGAAATGCCTGCTCTCTATCAGTAAATAAAGCTTTGTAAACAAATACATTTATGCAAGTTGAAGTGGACACATAAGGTAATTATGTACAGCTTTGTGTACTATAAGTTTGGGGCTGGCTTTCAAAATAGATCATAAAGATTGATAACCGTTACCTGAATATTGATCGATTATTGATAAATATCAGAGAATTAAAAAGCTGAGATCAACATACTAAGGCTTGGATTACTAAAAAATACCATCCCGAACATAATTCTAAAGTAGCCCATGAATTAAAAACCTAATTTTGTGTATTGTCTGAATACATTCAAATGTTATGTCATCACCATACTTTATGTGTGATATCATCATGATCAGCTTTATCAATACAATTTGAAATGTACATATATGATGCAACAAATAGTAAAACAAATTCATCATTGATACTTTCATACTGATAATCATTTTACCCATTGACAATATTTCCATTTATAGATCTTGTTAGCCAGCCATAATAAAAAATTTAAATATGTTTTTGTGCACATGACAAATATCCAGCTTATCTAGACGTTTGTGCAACATGTCAATGTACATGATGAATACAAGGAAAAGCTAGAATTCACAAACAACATTTTTCATGGGCGTAACAAAAAGTTCCCAACACCATGGCTACACTGACAATGCCTGAAAACATGTACACATGCCTAAAACATACTTCCTTGATTGTGTCGATGGAACACAACTTGTCTCCACTGCATGATAAGCAGAGAAGGAAGCAATCGTTGGGGTGAACACACTGAATTGTCTCAAGTAGAACTGATGTCACGCAAACCCAGGAAACAAGCCATTTACAAACTTGTCTTTCATCTTGAGATACAATACAGTACTATTTCAAATAAGGCACTTCATTACAGACACTGACAGACATGGATTCATTTAGTTATCATGCATTCCAAACTAGGAATATGTGAAAATTGTGTAATATAATTTCTTACATTTCGAGTGAGCAAATACGGCATTACACTACTTTTAGCACTATTCCTACCTCACAACTGGGGACTCCCAAAAAGGGCTTCACATACTGTAGTCATGGGGGATTTTAATCAGGTTCTTGGTGTGACAAGAAAACAACTTAATCACTATGTTACCCATTCATCCCAATATCTTCATGGACATGATAAACTACAAATTAGTACAATATTTGTAATTTCCATCTGGATATTTCTACTATGTTTACTGACATTTACTGCCAGTTATAACTCAATATCACATCTGAACATGCCTAAATAAACCCCTTTATTACATGACAAGTCAGTCTACTCCATCCATAACCATACAACTAAAAAATAATCATGCTGATACGCAAAATATCCAAAATATATAATCTTCTTCACATAAACCCACAAATCTCAGACACTTTTGTTTGCTTGTTTATTGTTTTACACCACACAAAGCAATAATCAATCTACACGATGGCAAGTTGTAAATATTCAACTCTGGACTGGACAATCCTGTGATGGAGATTCAGTGTGCGAAATAGTTTCCAAATTTTGCTTGCCAGTCGGGCCAGCTATGCCTGAAAGTGACTAGACCACAAAATAATTCACTTGTCCGAAATTTGAATGTAGACACAGGTTTCATCATTAAGCTGCTGATAGGATGAACATTTTTATCACTATACCGGTATATCAGGCCATAATCTTGCATGATTTAAAAGTGTATTATAACTGAACAAGTCGGAGAGAGTGATATATTTACAAAATGACCCCATGAAAAATCACTAAACATTTGGGCCAGTGACTGTGGAGATTTACTAACCCAAATGGATTTTTTCTAGCCATGGGCTAACAGGCCAGTGGGTATTTTGCACACTGGACATTAATGAAAGTATTGATCTATGCTATATTGAAATGACATAATTCAACCAAGTCTTTGAGCCTTACTGTTCTCATCTGCTATAGTTTCCAATAAGACAAGCATGGGTTCCTCAAATAATTCCACCCAAATCTTCACATGATACCCCTTAACAGAACAGAACAGAACAGAACAGAACAGAACAGAATAGAATAGAATAATACTTTAATGCCTTTTCAGGAATTTGTGTTACATCAGCAAACCTACTGACACATTAGAGAGATACCAAACATATTTACATAAATTCTTTGATTTAGGTATATTCACATTTGTTTAAGAGAGATATGTTACTTGGAATAAAGAATGTACGGGCTCTCTTAGTTTTCACAATTGGAACTTTGTAGCGGCAGCCTGAAGGGAGGAGGTTGTATTCCGAATTTAAGTAGTGAGTAGGGTCAGATATTATTTTGACAGCTTGATGCACGATGTGCCGCTCATATAGTGATGATAAACATAATGGTACATTAGCATCATACTGAAATGGGATTACCTGACATAAATAGTTGAAAAATGTTAAAATAAAGTCAAATAATGACTGTTAATAGCGGGGCTTCATCATAGTACTTATTTGCTATTGTTATTATCACAGTTATTTGTGTAAATATACTTTAAAATGATTAAGTGACAACTATACACGACACATAAACATGTACTAGGGGCAGTCTACATGGTAATGTGTGACAGAGGGAACTGACTGACTCATGATTTGGACTGGCGATGGGTGGGTACTGAACGAGTATATTTGGACTACAAGATCACTTCTGAAACTTTAACTAACAAAGAGGCGTTTGGGGACAGACACCAAGTAGATTACGAGTATCTGTGGGACAGCATATGATTGCTTACTGAATCAGAAGCAGCATCATCATGACCATAAGAATATTTCTTCCATGCATATAGTTTCTTGAAAATAACAATTCTGCTTAAAAATGACTTCCAGACTTTTAATGCTTTGAGTACAGTTAAATATAAAGTATACCCAAATCAAACACGACTGTCCAATTAGTCACGTCAAATGTACTGTGACAGGACGCCTGTGTCAAAATATGAAATATAGTAACTATTTAACAAAGGCGAAGCTCGTCTGCATTTCCCGCTAAGTAATACATCTAATGTGCTCCTAATAAACACTACATACCTCTTAGAACTATCTTCTGAAACCGTGCACTAGTCCGCAATTACGATAGTAACATTTCTATACGCAAATTAGAACGAATTCCGATAAAATTATTATAAATATGGAGACACTTCCGCTTTGGTAAGGGGAGGTAATTCTAGAATGAGTCATTCAACTATGTCACTTCGACATGATATTTCTGTTCATTTGGTACTGTAAAAAGTAGCCGTAAAATCATAGCTTTACTTCCGCGTCAATTTCCTAATTTGCTACTATGCAAGCCACATGTCCTGTGCACAAAATATATGCAGCGTATTTGTGGCAACAGCTAGACTATCACTTAGTCTGTGAATTTATATAATTTTGATTGTAACAAATAAACTCATTTAAATTGAAAAGGAGCCCAAAGGAGACCAGCGGAAATCTAGACTTGCTTCATTTATGGCTTTAGCATTGCTGGGAGGGCTATGCTGTGGGGAAAATAAGTGGTTCAGGAACTCTGAGGCAGACTAGGCGACAGCAAGAATGATGGAATATGTGATGCTTCTTCTTTACTGTAATACAGATATTTACCGACACTGATAATGAGCTTTGTTTTAGTAGTTGATAAACATAATAAACTTATGGCCTTTGGGTGTTAATAATTTTGTAAAGGAATATAGTGAGTGAGTGAGTTTAGTTTTACGCCGCACTCAGCAATATTCCGGCTATATGGCGGCGGTCTGTAAATAATCGAGTCTGGACCAGACAATCCAGTGATCAACAGCATGAGCATCGATCTGCGCAATTTGGAACCGATGACATGTGTCAACCAATTCAGCGAGCCTGACCACCCGATCCCGTTAGTCGCCTCTTACGACAAGCATAGTCGCCTTTTGTGGCAAGCATGGGTTGCTGAAGACCTATTCCACCCCGGATCTTCACGGGTCTTAAAGGAATACAGAGATGGTGTAGGTGAGTATATACAGGGCACACGAGCATAGGTTCCCAAATATCTGTGTTTGCCAGTAATGTTAGAATTTTTATCAGTTTGTATTTCCAACCAGTTTACGCTGCATCTAAACCTTACTTCACATACGTGAACGGGGTTTACTAAAGGTTAACCAGTACAAATATTCTTTACACTTTAACGTTTGCTTAAAATGGGATCAGAAGGAAACATTGAGCCATTATTAGTTGGCAATTGTCATTGAAACGTTGCAATACCATTGTAGTAAATAACCACATTTATGTTTGAGACAACCAAAAATGTCCGAGTCCAAGAAAAATAACGTTGCTCTAATATTAGTTACTCACATTCATCTTTCCTTGATTATCATATGGCAGCGTTCGAAATACCTGCCTGCCCGACCTCCCGGGACGGGTTATTTTCAACACGGACTGCTAGATTCTCAAATTCACCTGCCCGAAGGTCGGGTTACAATTTAGATATCGATGTATCTTAGTATTTTCTGTGGGCAGGTAAGTTTTGGCCAGGGCTGGCAAGTTTTACATCTAACCAGCCCTGTAGTCTGGCTGATTTTTTGGGGAGTTTCATACCCTGCATATGGATACAACATATCGTAACACTATTAGGTACACGGACACACGGTATGCGCATTAAACGTAGCCAATATTTCTAAACTGTCATCACTGCACTGATATATATATAGAGTGTGTGTGAGTGAGTATGGTTTTACGCCGCTTTAGCAATATCACGGCGGGGGACACTAGAAATATATAGACAGAATCTGCCACATACACCCAGTACAGCACTACTTGTACATTGTTTAACATTGCATAACAAATTACAGTCATATAAATGAACTTGCTCAACTTCTTTCATTTACAGTAATGCCCATATACAGATTCTTGGAACAAATTACTAGTCATATAAGTGGATTATGCTTCTAATCATATTGAGCAATGCCCATATTGAGAGTTAGAATACGAAGTACTACTGAATAAGTGGATTATCGCCAAGAGAGTAATCGTATTGAGCATATGATCCTTGAAAACAGATAGAATACAAAACACGTCAAACCCAGAAACCCACAACATCGAATTTATCTTTTTGTATGACATATTATTATACATTTATTAGATCGGCTGTAAAAACAAACTATCTATATGACATTTGACTTCTGACGGACGTGCAGTGATACCAGTTCATTTCCTCTGAGCTATGCTGCTGGACAAGAGCAGATATAGATCCATTTGCCGCCAAATCCCTTTACTTACGTCAAAAGCCGGTTTCTATGGTATTCCAATACGATGGAAGTCATGAAATATTTGAAATATGAAATTTAAGTTTCCCTTTGTCTTGCAATGAGTGACAAATCAATACAACATTTAGCAACAAGTTTATGGGCATGATTGGTCATGCATTTCATGTGAATATATCTGTTTAAATTAATTACATGAATCACGGATGTGAAGTACAAGTTCTAGAATTGTTGGCGAATCCTGTAAACCCCGAGGTTCCACTCAGTCCCTTTTAATATTCATTGTTTGAAGTCAATATATATTTTTTTATAAAACACTAAAAATTCAATGTTTGATTGCTGCTGTTTTTATCATCTGTAAATGAGCTAATGGAGGCAGTCTGCACGCCGTTCATATATAATTACTTTTTTTACCAGTGGAATCATTTACCAGCGTATTTACTCCCTAACCTGATTATTTCCTTTAAACAATACAAAGAGAACAATATCATACTGATGATACTCTACCATACCAAATGACAACTCAGAATATTATGTCTGTATCTTTGCCTTCAGGGCTACACTTAACAATATTGCAACTATTTAGTCGGTCTGTATGTTTTATCGTGTCTAGACCAATCAGTCTTTCATCTAGGCAATCAACAAGTCATCTACAGCTTTTTCAGCTTGACCTGATCAAGTGAATACTAATGCATTGCGTGACCGTGTCACAACTGGTTGGGTCTATTATTGTGAAGGGGTGCACCTTTGTCAGTTGATTGTGAACATGCCCGAACAGCCGAGACAAGGTCGCCGTTTAACGTCTTAGTGTCGAGAAATCGTCCGCAATGCCCTAACTTTCTTTCAACAAGAAGCTACAGATGGTTTAATGTTTCCGATTCGTGCTTTTAGGCAGTGAGCAGCAACATAAATAACATTCTCTGCTCCCCTATTTAATGAAGTTAACTCGACCTGCCGTTTGTGCCATTTGACCTCCCGGGTCATGCATATGTAGAGTAGCTCAGGTCAAGCTGAACAAGCTGTAGTCTGACCATTAGATCCAGCTACAACATGTATAGAATGCTGATGAATTATTCAAGCTCATAATCATTAGGAAGAGCATGGTAGTGTCACGCATACAATTTTTTGTCAATTTTGTATAATCAATGCTTTACAACGAAGGCTAGTGTGAGGTGCTTTTCACTCAACCCAAAGAGTAACGTTTATGAATCTTGAAAACCATACTCTTTTCTGACTAATGTATAAGAAATATTAAACAAAAGGTTTCATCATGTAACAGTGTGAAATTTGCACAAACGTTAAAGCCATGACATTGCGTGACCCCGTGACCCTAAATGAAAGACAAGGACTATTTTCCGTTGGAACCAACCTGACGTCAGATGGAGGCTATCATTCCAGATCTGAATTAGTGAGTCGCCGATTTCGCGGTGCTAAGATTTTCTGGCGCTACTTACAGACGACAGACAATCTCATCTCGCTCTGCTCAGTTGGGGAACAGTCAGGAAATTACACCATTCAGCAAGATATTCAATATGAGCTAAGTGTGATCTGGCGTTGAAACGCCAAACCATGGGATTTTGATTAAATGATTAAAGGTTAAATGATTTCATTACGGTAAAGGTGAGCATCCAGATTTCCGTCAAGGCCCAGATATTGTTATACCATCACAACAATACACACACAGGTTTGTTGCCTACTATGCCCGAGGCACCAAATTGTGTTTCTGTTTGCTTGCGAGTCATGACCCGTTTTGATCATATTTCAGTCACTCCGACTGAATAGTTCTAGTAGAACTTCTACGATGTGCATGTTGGTGGAGTATGTTCAGAATTAGTGTTGACTGTCCCGCCACCCTCCAACTGGCGTGGAGTATGTTCAGAATTAGTGTTGACTGTCCCGCCACCCTCCAACTGGCGTGGAGTATGTTCAGAATTAGTGTTGACTGTCCCGCCACCCTCCAACTGGCGTGGAGTATGTTCAGAATTAGTGTTGACTGTCCCGCCACCCTCCAACTGGCGTGGAGTATGTTCAGAATTAGTGTTGACTGTCCCGCCACCCTCCAACTGGCTGGAGTGGAGTATGTTCAGAATTAGTGTTGACTGTCCGCCACCCTCCAACTGGCGTGGAGTATGTTCAGAATTAGTGTTGACTGTCCGACTGTGTCTCCGCCACCCTCCAACTGGCGTGGAGTATGTTCAGAATTAGTGGAGTATGTCCGCCACCCTCACTGGCGTGGGTATGTTCAGAATTAGTGTTGACTGTCCCGCCACCTCTCCAACTGGCGTGGAGTATGTTCAGAATTAGTGTGTTACTGTCCGTGGCGTGGTATGTTCCAGAATTAGTGTGACTGTCCGCCACCCTCCAACTGGCGTGGAGTATGTTCAGAATTAGTGTTGACTGTCCTGCCACCCTCCAACTGGCGTGGAGTATGTTCAGAATTAGTGTTGACTGTCCCGCCACCCTCCAACTGGCGTGGAGTATGTTCAGAATTAGTGTTGACTGTCCGCCACCCTCCAACTGGCGTGGAGTATGTTCAGAATTAGTGTTGACTGTCCCGCCACCCTCCAACTGGCGTGGAGTATGTTCAGAATTAGTGTTCACTGTCAGGAATTAGTGTTGACTGCCACCCTCCAACTGGCGTGGAGTATGTTCAGAATTAGTGTTGACTGTCCGCCACCCTCCAACTGGCGTGGAGTATGTTCAGAATTAGTGTTGACTGTCCCGCCACCCTCCAACTGGCGTGGAGTATGTTCAGAATTAGTGTTCACTGTCCCGCCACCCTCCAACTGGCGTGGAGTATGTTCAGAATTAGTGTTGACTGTCCGCCACCCTCCAACTGGCGTGGAGTATGTTCAGAATTAGTGTTGACTGTCCGCCACCCTCCAACTGGCGTGGAGTATGTTCAGAATTAGTGTTCACTGTCCGCCACCCTCCAACTGGCGTGGGTATGAGTAGTGTTGACTGTCCCGCCACCCTCCAACTGGCGTGGAGTATGTTCAGAATTAGTGTTGACTGTCCCGCCACCCTCCAACTGGCGTGGAGTATGTTCAGAATTAGTGTTGACTGTCCCGCCACCCTCCAACTGGCGTGGAGTATGTTCAGAATTAGTGTTCACTGTCCCGCCACCCTCCAACTGGCGTGGAAGTCTTCCCCATTGTAGTGTGAACATTCTTCCACGTCAGAAGTGACGTCACCATTTTACTAAAGCTTGCCAGAGAGTTTCTTCTTGAAGGTTGGACAGTGGTGTGAATATGTTGGTACCAAATCTGCCGAATACGGTGGATGCTCTGTGGGATCAAAGCTACATCCATGCACTGCGGGCTGTACATGTGCATTGTACTGATTGAACAACACACCTTACTGAGTTTTCATGGACGTTTGGCCTTCATGTCGTCACGAAACTGTCTAAGCAGATTAGCAGATTTGCCATTAAAGGGGCACTGATTTAGAGAAAGTTATTTTTCGTGTCAACAATCTAATTACGTCAGTTGGTCAACCCCTGCTCCCTCCACCGTGACGCACTCGGGAACTGGGCAGCTGTCCATCTTGGCAGAATTTCTTCAACCTAAACAATGTGACAATAAGAACGGTGGATGCCCACAGATGCCGTTTTTTGAAAATATCCCTGGTAGTTCTTGTCAAATTGTAAAAAAGTATCCCAACACTGTAGGCTTTTTCGGATTTTTTTAAGCGTGGGTGGTATGATGACTGATCCAATTTGATTTGTGTTTTACCTGGATATTTAATCATGTCATGGAACCATGTTAAGTCTTTTGACCTATGATATTTAAAACACACATTTGATATATTTGATCAACTAAATCAAACCCCTCTTTGCAATTGATAGAAAAATCTGAAAGTTACTTAGGTAAATAGGTATAAAGAGTTTTTAACTTTAGTACACAGCAAATGCGTATATGTATTTCTTATGCAACAAGTTCCATTGGTATCCTCAGCATCGACCCATAACATTTTCGGAAATCAAATTTGCATGCAATACAGCAATACTACTCCATTGTTGTAACCCATGTTTGGTGGTATAAACCTACACCCACAGGGGCGTGTCACGCTTAGAAACAGAGATAGAAAGACATATAGGTATATAGACCATATCCTAGTACTATATAAAAGGAAAGGGATGTAACGACGGAACCACCCCCTACTCAATCAAAGTTAGATTTCACCATGTTGACTATCTTTAAGGCCCCGTCGAGGCCTACGGATCGAAAGCGAGATAATTTCCCTACAAAATGAGCTATAAATAGTCACAATCGGATCATTATTTCAAAAGTTATACGCCACGACTCACCGAAAACAGCTACCTCCACAATTCCAAGCCAAAATCATGGATCACCCAAGACAGCGAAAACTCACCTTTTAAATTCGTTTATTAGTTCCAGCCACGTTGACAGCACCTATGTAGGGCTAGATTCGATCGGCAGCGGCATTCCACGGGTCTAAAAACTTATTGCAACATCTACAAATCATTTCCTCGACAGTAAGCAGATATTTTTTCCAAAACCATCGGCAATCATACTCTCTTGTCGGCCATAGATGGCCATCGACGGGGCCTTAAAAATAGTTTACGTTGTGAAGTCTAACTTTGATTGAGGAGGTGGTGGTTCCGTACATCCCTTTCCTTTTATATAGTACTAGGGTAGGGTCTATATACCTATATGTCTTTCTAACGCTGTTTCCAAGCGTGACACGCCCCTGTGCCTACACCTGTTTGTCATCATTCTGACTATGACCTTTCCTTGGGAGTCCACCAGCAGGATTTGGAATCCCAGCAAACGGAAGCCAGCATCTTGCCAGCTGAAGGAACAGGCTTTATCTTCTTCTTCTGAGAAGGAGTATGAGTAGAAATAGTTGGATGTTACATTGACCTTAGGGTCGTTTAGTCACTAGTTGGTAGTGGGGAACCAACCACACCATGGTTACAAATTGCTCAGCAAAATCAGATTGGCCTGCATAAAAATGGCATTAATTCTCATGGTATGATGAACCAGTATGTTCCTGATCAAGAATCAGACATATTGGAACCCGGGATGCAAAAACATTTGTCATGCTAAGTTCACTTGATGTTTCATATCATTTGTCTGGACATCCTATAAAATCACTGTCATACTGTTAAACATTTTCCTTACAGTAACTACAATGTGTGTTCATAAAAAGGACCATATTAAAGTTTATGACGACAGTCTGAATGTGAACCAGAACATCCAGTGACTGACATCATGAGCACTGATCTATACACACTGACATGCATCAACCAATTCAGCAAGGCCATAAGTTGCCTCTTAACACAAGCAAGAGATGCTGAAGAACAAACCTTTATAAGTGTACACGGAATGGCTAAACAGAAAAGAGAAATGGCTTAACAAGTTTTAGTTTGACAAACATTTGGATGAGCAATGTCATTTTGGCTGTTCTGTATCAGCCTTGCAGCCATGGCCTGGACAATGCTGAAACACCAGTCTCTTTGACCATCTAGGCAGGAACAAGGGAACTCTGGATGGTCAAGGTGGAACTGGCAGCACTGACTGACCATCAGATAATGTACCATTAGTAAAGAAGGAGGTGAGGTGAAATTGGATTTAACGTCGTGCTTGAGAATATTTCGCTCATATGACGACGTGCATGCGTGTGTATGTGTCTGGGTGGCTGCTTGTACTAGCCCAGACTTAAGCTGGTTTTATAGTGCTAGCTCACTGAGATACCATGCTGCAGTGAAGCATGAATACCCCACTCAGACACATTATACTGACTCCGAGCCGACCAGTCCTTGTTGTACCCAATAATGCCGAGAGCCAGGCAGGGACCAACAAGTACCATATTTTAACGTCTTTTGGTATGACGTGGTCGGGATCGAACCCGTGACCTTCCGCTCTCCGGGCGGTAGCTCTAACCACTACACCACGGAGGCGGTCAGTAAAGAAGGAGCATTACTAACAGCTGAATTGTACTACTTTAGCCAATGTAACAAACGTATATTGATACACAGGCCATGGTAAAGTTATTTACAGAAACAAACTACAAGAGTCTTGGGAATATGTAATTGTTTTACTCACATAGACATAAAAATATACTTGAAATTAAACATCTAAATGTTCTTCAATAACAACTACAAAAGTATGAAATGTGTAGAATGTTACCCGAAAAGACACTAACATAACAAATACAGTTTATATATATAATGTGTTAAATGGGGTACAATGATTTCCTTAAATATTGTAAAAACTGTCAACAGTCATTTCACTAAAGAACATTTAACTTGTATGTGAACACATATCAAAATCGTTTTCAGCATAGTACATTATAATCTGTATATTGTCATCATCATCATCATCATCATCATCATCATCATCCATCGATATATTTTAGAAGATGCAATTTCAAACCATCTTGCATAATAACATTGTTTGTATTAAATTCAAATCACATTCCTGAGATTGAGATAATTTTGTTATATAAGCATTAAAAGAGAAAACTAAACACACAAAGCATGAGTACATTTGTTGACATTTTTTGGTACCAAAATCATTATTCATTCTTTCTTAATTTGGAATGATCCTTTAGCCCAAGAACGTAGTGAAACCCTATGATACATAGCAGCAATCAAAGAGCAAGTACAAAAACAGTAAATTGGTGCATCAACTAGTGAACACATGATAATTAGTTCTAGCTCTTCAAACAGACATATTTCTTGATGTGGCTAGGCTTGTGTTATATTTGTTGTCATATGTGCTCTATAGATCATGAATAATGTTTATATTTCTCTGTATATTTATCAAGATGTATATTTCATATTATTATATGACGGGTATATTTCCGCCCTACTGATTGGCCCACTTGGTCACATGACAGCTGTGACGCTAAGCGATGTCAACCTCGCCACGTTGCGAGAGGTTGATATAACAATCCAAGCACCTCCTGTGGCTAAAAATAGATTTGGGAAATTCCAGCTGTGAACTCCGCACTGCTGAAATTGAGACTTGAAATATTTGAACTGTGATGTTTTAAAGATGGTGAAATGTTATTGACTGTTGAAAGATATCTAAAAGATTGTGATAATAAACAAGTTGAATTTTAAAGAAAATGCTTTCATTTACTAATACTGCCTCTGAAAGCTGCAAGCCTATTCCAGCTTATATTGAGTCTCTCCTATGTCACAGAAGAACAAGTATTCAGTACTTTTCGGTTGATCCAATGATTTATCAACCTTGGACATGTGATATTCGCCTCGGTGAATATGACATGTCCAAGGTCAATAAATCATTGGATCAACCTCACTAGAAGTCAATAATTGTATAAAATATGTTTAATCAAGTTATATGGCTTGTTTGATTGTGGGAATGTTTCAGCATTGATCCAATGTTTCCTGGACATACAACTTGTAGACCTGATGATGTGTTCATGCTCATCATAGGATCTAAGGAGACATTTCCCTGATGACTGGCTATTGTTCACCATCTATTTTATATTCACCTAAGGTGTACTCATGCTCAATGCTCATCATGATATAAGGGATTATTTCCCTGAAAACGGGCTTGAAGCAGTTATTTCCCTGGATCTTAGTAGATATTTCCCTGATGACAGGTTCATCATTGGATCTAAGCAGATATCTCCCTAATGACAGGTTCATCATTGGATCTAAGTAGATATTTCCCTAATGACAGGTTCATCATTGGATCTAAGTAGATATTTCCCTGATGACAGGTTCATCATTGGATCTAAGTAGATATCTCCCTAATGACAGGTTCAACATTGGGTCTAAGTAGATATTTCCCTAAAGACAGGTTCATCATTGGGTCTAAGTAGATATTTCCCTAATGACAGGTTCAACATTGGGTCTAAGTAGATATTTCCCTAATGACAGGTTCATCATTTGATCTAAGTAGATATTTCCCTCATGACAGGTTCATCATTGGATCTAAGTAGATATTTCCCTCATGACAGGTACATCATTGGATCTAAGTAGATATTTCCCTAATGACAGGTTCATCATTGGATCTAAGGAGATATTTCCCTAATGACAGGTTCATCATTGGATCTAAATAGATATTTCCCTAATGACAGGTACATCATTGGATCTAAGTATATATATTTTCATGGGTATCATGAAGTGAGCTAGTGACAACCTTGTTATCATGACTTTGTATGTAATCATGCAGCTATCCAACAATTAGTGATCACAGTAAAGATTTTACTGTAATTCAGATTTGGGAACACTTGCTACTGAACTGGGGCCCAATTACACAGAGATAATATACATGTATTCAACAGATGGAATGCACTAAAATACTACTACTTTAGAACGAGTTACCCATTTGTTTAAAGGATGATGACAATAAGTCTTTCCAACATTAGCAAACATGTTAGACTAGAGGTCTGTAAACATGAGTTGTGTCCCTTGGTGTCAAGGTCATGTATGTTAATCTTGCTTACTAAGAATTTGCTAACAATACCAAGGTAATATGTACTGTGTTGTAAGTATCTCTCTCAAGTTATAAGTTTTCAATGTGGCAAGAAGGCACTGAGTATTGTATCTGATTCATAATAATTCTTTTAAGAATAAATCAACACCCTTGCCTTCAAGGTGTAAAACACTTTAACTGTTCAATAAGGTCCTTGAAGTTGAACACCCTGCCTTCATGCACATTGTAGAATACTGAAACATTCTTTCAGTTCATCATCTCTCCCTTGAAGGACCTTTTTGAACACTGGAACACTTTTCAAAGGACCTTGTGGAACACTCAACAGTTCAAAACATTTGCCATCAGGACCTGGTGGAAAACTTTGCTAGTTCAAAACCTTTGCCTTCAATTTAGGTGCAGGATCTGGTCTCATAGTGATTCTTTGTCGCTTCTTGTAAATCTGGTCTGGGTTTGAGAGTTTATGGTCAAACTCTCGGAACAGGATTGCCAGAATTACCTTCATCTCCATCAGGGCAAACTTGTAGCCAATGCACATCCTGGGGCCAGCCACAAAGGGCAGCCAGGAATACGGATGGACCTTACTGTCATCCATGAAACGTTCTGGTTTGAACTCTTCGGGATCTGTCCAGTAGGCCGGGTTCCTGGGGAATGGAAATGTATATCTGATTTGATGGTGATGAACTTGAGCAATTTGGTGGTGGGGTAGCCTGGTGGTTAAAGCGTTTGCGAGTCACGCCGAAGACTTGGGTTCAATTCCCCACATGGGTACAATGTGTGAAGCCCATTTCTTGTCTCCCCCACCGTGATATTGCTGAAATATTGCTAAAAGCGGCGTAAAACTTAACTCACTCACTCACTATCAGCTATTTCCCAGATATTTAAATGATTTCTGGTGTTTGATCATTTGAGGCTTGATTAGGGTATTCTGATGTTGCGTCTGTGTTGCAGGCTACAAGTTATTATCACAAACTGCACTGCGAGCATGCACCTTAAGTAACCTCACTTCAGAGGGAAGAATATTGCCAATGTGACGTTAAATAATAACTCACTCACTCCCTCAGAGGGAAGGGCAGAGTAATAAACATCTGAAACTTCCTTCACTTGCAGCTTCTCTCCTGCATGAGCGAGTGAGTTGGTTTTAAGACGGCTATTAACAGTAATCTAGTTCTATCACAACAAGTGAGCTCATTGTAGGAGGAAAGTCAGATGAGTCTATTGTGCTGGCAGACCATAGCCCTATCTGTGATAAACCCCTTACAAGATATTACTGGAATGCTGTTAACAGTGGCATCATACCAAGCTCACACTGGTTACATCTCATAGACCCTGAACTTTCCCTCCTTCACCCTGCTAGTACCTGAAGATCCCCTTACCTGTGCAAGGCTCCCACTTGGATGTTGATGATGGTGCCAGCGGGGATGAAGTAACCGTTCAGGACATCATCATTTACAGCAGTCCGGAATGTCATAGGTGCAGCTGGGTACAACCTGCCATGGAAACATGTGCTAAGGAAATCAGTTTGAGTGAGTGAGTGAATTGGTCGGTCAGTTTGGGTTTAATGCTGCTTGATATGGGAGGGAGGTGCAGGTGCAGGTTTGTGACATTTACCAATTTAGTGAAACCACAAGCCATCTGATCTAAACAACCCAGTGTATCATGGCATCTACCCACTAAAAGAGACAGGGAATCAAACCGTCCATTTTCACGCTTCTTTGTGTTGACACTCAATCCACTAGACCACAGAGGGAGTCCAGGTATCTCTCTATCCACATAGACATGACCCCCATGCCCCCAGGACACACTGTAGCTCACTTTAAGAATCATAGGGTTCTAAGAACTAATTCTGTGGGTCAATCATCAGGCATTAGTACCATCACTGCTACTCACCGCAACGTTTCCTTGACAACACACGCCAAATATGGCATCTTCTCCAGGTGTTCTATGGTGATTGGTTGACCTTTTGGGGGCAAGATTGCAGTGACTTCATCACAAAGCCGTTTCTGAATCTCGGCACATTGAGACAGTTTCAGGAGGCACCATGTCATTGAAGTTGCTGTCGTCTGGTTAAAAAAGTGACAAGAAATACATAAATAATACGGTGTAAATTTGAATTTGTCACTCAATCCATCCCTTGTATGATTTTCCCAATTTCAGCATAACTGTCGGCTATAACACTTAACTAATGATCACAGTTTTCACTTCGTATACCATCCTCCTTACCTGAATTGTTGCCACCCTGATTTTGCTTACACAGTTAACTTTGTAGATTTGTTCCATGTTGTTTGTATCCTGGTTTGGGACACAAGGACACCAGTAATGGGTGTCACTTCATTGCACCCATGTGGGGAATCAAACTGTGACTTCAGCAGGACATGTGGATGCTTTAACCACTGGGCTACCCCAACTCCCCTACAGTACAGCACTCTCTGACCATCTCACCTCATGACCTGACTGGGCTACCCCAACTCCCCTACAGTTCAGCACTCTCTGACCATCTCACCTCATGACCTTGCTAACATGAAGGTCATCACATGATCTCTCAGCTGTTGCCGTGACAACCCTTCCCCTGACTCTGTATCCCGTGCCAGCAGCAGCATGCTAAGAAGGTCCGAGAGTTTACTCTCATCTGTAATGATAAAAATCACATGGGTCATTTCACACTGGTCTGATCAGTACTTCAGTCACATCATGACATGACGGCGTAATCTATGACGGGGCCAAGTTGGCACAGGTCCTCATTTGTTTACCACTTTCATAAACTGTCAGCACAAGTATGGTGCGGAGAACGTCCAAAGTTGATGCAGCAGGACAAGAAAGTTCTGATGGGATTTGTGTCTGAGGTCTCTAATGACAGGTTCATCATTGGATCTAAGTAGATATTTCCCCAATGACACATTCATAATTGGATCTAAGTAGATATCTCCCTAATGACAGGTTCATCATTGGATCTAAGTAGATATCTCCCTAATGACAGGTACATCATTGGATCTAAGTAGATATTTCCCTAATGACAGGTACATCATTGGATCTAAGTAGATATTTCCCCAATGACAGGTTCATCATTGATCTAAAGTAGATATCTCCCTAATGACAGGTTCATCATTGGATCTAAGTAGATATCTCCCTAATGACAGGTTCATCATTGGATCTAAGTAGATATTTCCCTAATGACAGGTTCATCATTGGATCTAAGTAGATATCTCCCTAATGACAGGTTCATCATTGGATCTAAGTAGATATTTCCTAATGACAGGTTCATCATTGGATCTAAGTAGATATTTCCCTCATGACGATTCATAATTGGATCTAAGTAGATATTTCCCAATGACAGGTTCATCATTGATCTAAGTAGATATCTCCCTAATGACAGGTTCATCATTGGATCTAAGTAGATATCTCCCTAATGACAGGTTCATCATTGGATCTAAGTAGATATTTCCCCAATGACAGGTTCATCATTGGATCTAAGTAGATATTTCCCTAATGACAGGTTCATCATTGGATATAGGTATATATTTCCAGGACAAGAAAGTTCTGACGGGATTTTTGTCCGAGGTCTGACAGCCTGTCAACATGACCAAGAGATTAACCTTGCTTGCAAGCTGACAATGTCAGGATGTCATCTGTTAATTTCATGCACTACAACATAGATCATGGACCTTTTTGGTGAATCCTGTGCGTGTAACAGAGGACTTTCTTCTGGTAAATTCTTCTGCTGGAATCATGTAACTATAGGTTGTTGCTTCTTTCCAGAAAAAGGGGCAGTTGCGTAGCCCAGTGGTTAAAGCATTCACTCGTTATGCCAAAGACCGGGTTTGAATGGGTACAATGTGTGAAGCCCATTTCTGAAGGCCCCTACTGTGATATTGCTGGAATATTGCCAAAAGCGGCATAAAACTAAACTCACACTCACCTTCAAGGAAATGTAATCTAGATTATCTAGTTTACACCTAAATTAAATTCCCCCGCCCACACCTCCACCCTTATTTCTCACCCTTTCCTCCACAAAATATCATCCCAAAAACATCATAAAAAAGGTCTAAACCATTGACCTGGAATGTCTTGAATTATTGTCTGTTTTGATTGTCTGAACACCAGGGTGATATTTCTTCTTTGTATTGTAGTCAACAAGTTTGTCATAGTCTGACTGCTTCATGGCAACTGACAGATCACTTTGTCGTCTTACTGATTGTGCGGCATTATGTTTCTCAAATATCAACAATAACCTGATGTCGATGATATGTCCTAGATATTGGACATCAGATCTAGTCCTCTGTATTCTGATCTTCAGCAATCCAGGTTTGTCATAAGAGGTGATAAACAGGTTTGGTAGGTCAGGCTTGGTGACTTAGTTGATGTTTGTCATCTTTTATCCCAACATACTATACAATCACTGGATTGTCTGGTCCAGGCTTGACTATTTACAGACTGCCATCATTGACTATCGCTATCGCAATTATGATCAGCATTTCATTAAGTATTATATTTTAAGTAGTTTTCTAGTTAGATTGCACCATCGGTTCGCTTTTGAGCTAAACAGACTATACCAAGGTGCCAGACATCTGATGCTCCAGCTAATATAACCTGTCATCACTGTGCACGCACTCTAAGGCTTTCTGCTTGTTGCCAATGTAACCTGTCATCACTGTGCACTTCTAAGGCTTTCTGCTTGTTGCTAATGTAACCTGTCATCACTGTGCACGCCTCTAAGGCTTTCTGCTTGTTGCTACGTAACCTGTCATCACTGTGCACCTCTAAGGCTTTCTGTTTGTTGCTAATGTAACCTGTCATCACTGTGCACTCCTGCTGGGCTTTCTGCTTGTTGCTAATGTAACCTGTCATCACTGTGCACTCCTCTAAGGCTTTCTGCGTTGCTAATGTAACCTGTCATCACTGTGCACCTCTTCAAGGCTTTCTGCTTGTTGCTAATGTAACCTGTCATCACCGTGCACCTCTAAGGCTTTCTGCTTGTTGCCAATGTAACCTGTCATCATCTGTGCACCTCTCTAAAGCTTTCTGCTTGTTGCTACGTAACCTGTCATCACTGTGCACTCCTCTAAAGCTTTCTGCTTGTTGCTAATGTACCCTGTCATCACTGTGCACCTCTAAAGCTTTCTGCTTGTTGCCACGTAACCTCATCACTGTGCACTCCTCTAAAAGCTTTCTGCTTGTTGCTAAATGTAACCTGTCATCACTGTGCACCTCTAAAGCTTTCTGCTTGTTGCTAATGTAACCCGTCATCACTGTGCACCTCTAAAGCTTTCTGCTTGCCATACTGTAACCCGTCATCACCTGTGCACTCCTAAAGCTTTCTGTTTGTTAGCCAGCGCAACCTGTCATCACTGTGCACTTCAAAGCTTTCTGCTTGTTGCTACGTAACCTGTCATCACTGGTGCACCTCTAAAGCTTTCTTCTGTTGCTCACGTAACTTGTTATCACCCGTGCACCTCTTGTTGGCTTTCTGTTTGTTGCTAATGTAACCTGTCATCACTGTGCACTCCTCTAAAGCTTTCTGCTTGTTGCTAATGTAACCTGTCATCACCTGTGCACTCCTCTAAGGCTTCTCTGTTTGTTAACGTAACCTGTCATCACTGTGCACTCCTCTAAGGCTTTCTGCTTGTTGCCAATGTAACCTGTCATCACTGTGCACGCCTCTAAGGCTTGTTTGTTGCCACGTAACCCATCACTCGCACGCCTCTAAGCTTTCTGCTTGTTGCTAATGTAACCCTGTCATCACTGTGCACCTCTCTGCTTTCTATGTGTTAACGTAACCTGTCATCACTGTACTCTTCTAGCGGCTTTCGTCTGTTGCAATGTAACCTGTCATCATCTGTGCACTCTCTAAAGCTTTCTGCTTGTTGCAATGTAACCCGTCATCACTGTGCACCTCTAAAGCTTTCTGCTTCGTTGCTAATGTAACCTGTCATCACCTGTGCACCCTCTAAAGCTTTCTGCTTCTGTTGCTAATGTAACCTTGTCATCACCAGTGCACTCCTCTAAAGCTTTCTGCTTTGTTGCTAATGTAACCTGTCATCACTGTGCACTCCTCTAAAGCTTTCTGCTTGTTGCTAATGTAACCTGTCACCACTGTGCACTCCTAAAGCTTTCTGCTTGTTGCTAATGTAACCTGTCATCACTGTGCACTCCTCAAAGCTTTCTGTTTGTTGCCACGTAACTTGTTATCACCTGCGCACTCCTCTAAGGCTTTTCTGCGGTTGTTGCTAATGTAACCTGTCATCACTGTGCACCCTCTAAAGCTTTCTGCTTCTGTTGCCAATGTAACCTGTCATCACCGTGCACCCCTCTAAGGCTTTCGTTTGTTGCTAATGTAACCTGTCATCACTGTGCACCCTCTAAAGCTTTCTGCTTGTTGCTAATGTAACCTGTCATCACCTGTGCACTCCTCTAAGGCTTTCTGCTTGCGAGTGCTAATGTAACCCGTCATCACCCAGCACTCTCTAAAGCTTCTCGTTTGTTGTTAATGTAACCCGTCATCACTGCGCACCTCTAAAGCTTCTGCTTTGTTGCCAACGTAACCCGTCATCACCTCGTTCACCCTCTAAGGCTTCTGCTTGCTGCTAATGTAACCCGTCATCACCTGTGCCCTCCTCTGTGCTTTCTGTTTGTTGCTAATGTAACCTGTCATCACTGTGCACTTCTAAGGCTTTCTGCTTGTTGCTAATGTAACCCGTCATCACTCGTGCACTCTCTAAGGCTTTCTGCTTTTGTTGTTAATGTAACCTGTCATCACTGTGCACCTTCTGGCTTTCTGCTTGTTAACCGTAACCTGTCATCACCAGTGCACTCCTCAAAGCTTCGTTTTGTTGCCAATGTAACCTGTCATCACCGTGCACCCTGGCTTTCTGCTTCGTTGCTACTGTAACCTGTCATCACTGTGCACTCTTTCTAAGGCTTTCGTTTGTTGCTAATGTAACCTGTCATCACTCGTGTGCACTTCTAAGGTTTCTGCTTGTTGGTTAATGTAACCCGTCATCATCTGTGCACCTTCTAAGGCTTTCTGCTTTGTTATATAATGTAACCTGTCATCACTGTGCACCTCTAAAGCTTTCTGCTTGTTGCTAATGTAACCCGTCATCACTTGTGCACTCCTCTAAGGCTTTCTCATAGATTGTTGCAAATGTAACCTGTCATCACTGTGCACTCCTCTAAGGCTTTCTGGCGTATTATTAACGTAACCCGTCATCACCTGTGCACTCCTCTAAAGCTTTCGTTGCTTGTTGACACAATGTAACCCGTCATCATCCAGCACCTCTAAAGCTTTCTGCTTGTCGCTACACGTAACCCGTCAATCACCTCAGCACCTCCTCTAAAGCTTTGCTGCTTGTTGCGTACCCTGTCATCACTGTGCACTCTCTAAAGCTTTCTAAGTTTTGTTGCTAATGTAACCTGTCATCACTCGTGCACTCTCTAAAGCTTCTGCTTTTGTTGCTAATGTAACCTGTCATCACTGTGCACCTCTAAAGCTTTCTGCTTGTTAAGCAACGTAACCCGTCATCACTGTGCACCTCTAAAGCTTTCTGCTTGTTGCCACGTAACCCGTCATCACCAGCATCTCCTCTAAAGCTTTCTGCTTGTTGCTGTGTAACCTGTCATCACTGTGTGCACTCCTCTAAAGCTTTCTGTTTGTTGCTAATGTAACCTGTCATCACCTGCACCTCTCTCAAAGCTTCTGTTTGTTGTTAATGTAACTTTGTTATCACCTGTGCACCTCTAAGGCTTTCTGCTTGTTACACGTAACCTGTCATCACTGTGCACTCCTCTAAAGCTTTCTGCTTGTTGCTAATGTAACCTGTCATCACCTGTGCACTCCTCTAAGGCTTTCTGCTTTTGTTGCTATGATGTAACCTGTCATCACTCGTGCACCTCTAAGGCTTTCTGCTTGCTGCCAATGTAACCTGTCATCACCGTGCACTTCTGCTGGCTTTCTGTTTGTTGCCAATGTAACCTGTCATCACTGTGCACGCTTCTGCTGCTTCTGCTTGTTGCTAATGTAACCTGTCATCACTGTGCACTCCCTCTAAGGCTTCTGCGTTGTTAATGTAACCTGTCATCACGTGCACCCTCTAAGGCTTTCTGTTTGTTGCTTAATGTAACCCGTCATCATCTGTGCACCTCTAAAGCTTTCTGCTTGTTGCTAATGTAACCTGTCATCACTGTGCACCCTCTAAAGCTTTCTTGCTTGTTGCTAATGTAACCTGTCATCACTGTGCACCTCTAAAGCTTTCTGCTTGTTGCTAATGTAACCTGTCATCACTGTGCACTCCTCTAAGGCTTTCTGCTTGTTGCTAATGTAACCTGTCATCACCTGTACACTCTAAAGCTTCTGCTTGTTGTTAATGTAACCTGTCATCACTGTGCACCCTCTAAAGCTTTCTGCTTGTTGCTAATGTAACCTGTCATCACCTGTTCAATTCTCTAAGGCTTTCTGCTTGTTGCTAATGTAACCTGTCATCACCTTGTGCCTCCTCTAAAGCTTTCTGTTTGTTGCTAATGTAACCTCATCACTGTGCACGCCTTCAAGGCTTTCTGCTTGTTGCTAATGTAACCTGTCATCACTGTGCACTCCTCTAAGGCTTTCTGTTTGTTGCTAATGTAACCTGTCATCACTGTGCACCTCTAAGGCTTTCTGGGCGCGGTTGCTAATGTAACCTGTCATCACCTGTGCACCTCTAAAAGCTTTCTGTTTGTTGCTAATGTAACCTGTCATCACTGTGCACTCCTCTAAGGCTTTCGTTTGTTGCTAATGTAACCTGTCATCACTGTGCACTCTTCTAAGGCTTTCTGCTTGTTGTTAATGTAACCCGTCATCACTGTGCACGCCTCTAAAGCTTTCTGCTTGTTGTTAATGTAACCTGTCATCATCTGTGCACTCTCTAAGGCTTTCTGTTTGTTGCTACTGTAACCCGTCATCACTGTGCACTCCTCTAAAGCTTTCTGCTTGTTGCTAATGTAACCTGTCATCACTGTGCACCTCTCTAAAGCTTTCTGCTTTGTTGCTAATGTAACCTGTCATCACTGTGCACCTCTCCTGAAAGCTTTCTGCTTGTTGCTAATGTAACCTTGTCATCACTGTGCACTCCTCTAAAGCTTTCTGTTTGTTGCTAATGTAACCTGTCATCACCTGTGCACCTCTAAAGCTTTCTGCTTTGTTGCTAAAGTAACCTGTCATCACTGTGCACCTCTAAAGCTTTCTGCTTGTTGCCAATGTAACCCGTCATCACTGCACTCCTCTAAAGCTTTCTGTTTGTTGCTAATGTAACTTGTTATCACCTGTGCACCTCTGCTGGGCTTTCTGCTTGTTGCTGTTAATGTAACCTGTCATCACTGTGCACCTCTAAAGCTTCTGCTTGTTGCCAATGTAACCTGTCATCACCTGTGCACCCTCTCAAGGCTTTCTGTTTGTTGCTAATGTAACCCGTCATCACTGTGCACTCCTCTAAGGCTTTCTGCTTGCTGCTAATGTAACCTGTCATCACTGTGCACGCCTCTTAAGGCTTTCTGCTTGTTGCTAATGTAACCTGTCATCACTGTGCACTTCCTAAGGCTTTCTGCTTGTTGCCACCGTAACCCGTCATCACTGTGCACCTCCTCTAAGGCTTTCTGCGCGTTGCTACGTGTAACCTGTCATCACTGTGCACCCTCTAAGGCTTTCTGTTTGTTGCTAATGTAACCTGTCATCATCTCAGCACTCCTCTAAAGCTTCAAGCTTTGTTGCTAATGTAACCTGTCATCACTGTGCACCTCCTAAAGCTTTCTGCTTGTTGCTAATGTAACCTGTCATCACTGTGCACTCCTCTAAAGCTTTCTGCTTGTTGCTAATGTAACCTGTCATCACTGTGCACTCCTCTAAAGCTTTCTGCTTGTTGCTAATGTAACCTGTCATCACTGTGCACTCCTCTAAAGCTTTCTGCTTGTTGCTAATGTAACCTGTCATCACTGTGCACTCCTCTAAAGCTTTCTGCTTGTTGCTAATGTAACCTGTCATCACTGTGCACTCCTCTAAAGCTTTCTGTTTGTTGCTAATGTAACTTGTTATCACCTGTGCACTCCTCTAAGGCTTTCTGCTTGTTGCTAATGTAACCTGTCATCACTGTGCACTCCTCTAAAGCTTTCTGCTTGTTGCTAATGTAACCTGTCATCACCTGTGCACTCCTCTAAGGCTTTCTGCTTGTTGCTAATGTAACCTGTCATCACTGTGCACTCCTCTAAAGCTTTCTGCTTGTTGCTAATGTAACCTGTCATCACTGTGCACTCCTCTAAGGCTTTCTGCTTGTTGCTAATGTAACCTGTCATCACCTGTGCACTCCTCTAAAGCTTTCTGCTTGTTGTTAATGTAACCTGTCATCACTGTGCACTCCTCTAAAGCTTTCTGCTTGTTGCTAATGTAACCTGTCATCACCTGTTCACTCCTCTAAGGCTTTCTGCTTGTTGCTAATGTAACCTGTCATCACCTGTGCCCTCCTCTAAAGCTTTCTGCTTGTTGCTAATGTAACCTGTCATCACTGTGCACTCCTTAAGGCTTTCTGCTTGTTGCTAATGTAACCTGTCATCACTGTGCACCTCTCTGGGACTTTCTGCTTGTTGCTAATGTAACCTGTCATCACTGTGCACTCCCTCTAAGGCTTTCATGCGTTGCTAATGTAACCTGTCATCACCTGTGCACCTCTCTAAAGCTTTCTGCTTGTTGCTAATGTAACCTGTCATCACTGTGCACTCCTCTAAGGCTTTCTGCTTGTTGCTAATGTAACCTGTCATCACTGTGCACTCTTCTAAGGCTTTCTGCTTGTTGCTAATGTAACCTGTCATCACTGTGCACTCCTCTAAAGCTTTCTGCTTGTTGCTAATGTAACCTGTCATCATCTGTGCACTCCTCTAAGGCTTTCTGCTTGTTGCTAATGTAACCTGTCATCACTGTGCACTCCTCTAAAGCTTTCTGCTTGTTGCTAATGTAACCTGTCATCACTGTGCACTCCTCTAAGGCTTTCTGCGTGTTGCTAATGTAACCTGTCATCACCTGTGCACTCCTCTAAGGCTTTCTGCTTGTTGCTAATGACGTCGTGGATCATCTTGTTCGTCACAGACAGATTCCTGGCAAACTTTCTGTTTTCTTCAGATGGCAGGTGGCTGTTTAACCATGGGAAAAACACCCGCATAATACTAAATAAAAGATGAAAACATTTAAATTAATGCAGGCATTATATAGTGGCATATTTTACTATGTACATCATGTTCAGTAATAGAAGATTATCAAATAATGAATTGTTTGGGGCTCTTATTGTTCTGCAACATCTTCATAATAAGGGATGATCTATGTGTGTATGATCTATGATCTATGTGTGTTCTTGTGCATAGAGCGAAGGTTGCACAACAGTTAAGCAAGGTAGATAATGATCGCGAAGTCCTTGGATGGGTGACCATGTTTGGCAACTTGACCCTGAGTGTTTCTAGGACTTCAGTCCTGCTCTGCAACAACTGCATTTCTTCACCCCACAGAAAATGGGTACCCGGTGGGATACATCACATGACTATTAACTTTCTAGCATCTTACAGGCAGCTTGGGTTATCCAGGGTAAAAAGGTCTGTTGTGTTGTATGCACTTAGAGCATGCCCCCCACAGAGTTGAGTTAGCGCTATATAAGTGGCCTTTTCATTATACTTGTATTCAGAAGGCCTTTTTGTTTCAATACCTGATGTGCAGTATTTTGGGATTATTGTTGTACAGTATTACATCGTATTCAACCGAAAATATGCACGCAAAAATATGGTTGCAAAGCTGTGCACCTCACCAGCACCTCACCTCACCAGCACCTCACCTCACCAGCACCTCACCTCACCAGCACCTCACCGGGTTATGATTGATCTTCAGTAACGCATGCTTGTCGTAAGAGGGAACTAACATCATGGTCAGGCTCTCGGTTGACATATGTCATCGTATCCCAAATATTGCATAGATCGATGCTCATGCTGTTGATCTCTGGATTGTCTGGCCCAGACCCGATTATTTACAGACCACCACCATACAGCTGGAATATTGTTGAATGTGGTGTATAACTAACCTCACTCACTCACTGTCACAAATCAGACATTCACGAATCTTTGATTGTAGAAAGTCTGCACAGTGAAAATTCATGGACAGTGACAAATAACATATGTTCACAAATCACACACATAGTTTATACTACAGACAACACCCAGGTCTGTTTGAGTTGATTATTTTCAGTACATCTGTGGTCCTACTCACAGCGAAGAGAAATGTGGGTAAAAGTTGTGCTCAACAATCATGCAGATATAGTGACGCGTGTGTGTATGTCTATGTGGGCACATGAGAAGAGTTTGTGTGAGTGTGTGTTTATGTAAGTCTCTTTGTGTGCATGCATGTGTGCATCTGTTTGTCTGTGTAGGGATGGGAGTGTGTGATATTGAAAGTATTTGTGTGCGTGAGTTTGTGTGTTAGTTTGAGTGAGTGAGTGAGGTTTTCAGCAATATTAATATTAATAATAATAATAATGTGTCCATTTATATAGCACCAAACTCCACACTAGGTATGCTCATAGCACTAACAATCAAGGCACAGCACATTATTCCAGCACTATCACGACAGGGGACACCTGAAATAGAGAATCGAACCCAGGTCCTCGGCATGAAAAGCAAACGCTTTAACCACTAGGCTACCCTACTGCCTTGTGTTTGTAGGTCTGTGTGATTGTAAGTATGTGTGTGTAGTTCCATAGTGCTACTCCTCTGAGATGCAACCACAAGCCATCAGTCTCCAGGCAAACACTCCCTCTATCCCCCCAAATACAGAGGTGGTCATGGAATCAAACCACAGACCACACTCTCCATCAGACCCTCTGTCCACTTGACCACAGAGACAGTTAGGCTGAAGGGGTCGTTGTCGGCACAGGTACTACAGATACGTACCCCAGGTACCTTTCTGTATACAGATATGTACCCTAAAGAAAGTCAAATACAGAAACGCATTACCGCACCCTAAAAGGCGGAGGAGTCCATATTCGCAATCCAAAAGCAAAACCGTATGTAAGTTGTTCCCGTTCAACTGACTCGAGTGGTATTCATATGCATCAGCGAAATATCTGTTACTGTGTATTCTCATTATTTACATAACGCAATCAAATGTATCTAATACAACAGTATGACAGTTCCGGTCAAGAATACGGCACAATGGGAATGGAATCGTCCTAGGGTACGTTTCTGTATTCTCATTATGGCCAAGGTACGTTTCTGTATACAGAAACGTACCTGGGGTACATATCTGTAGTACCCGTGCCGACAACGACCCCTTCAGCGACAGTGAGGGAACTGAATCCCCAACATTCCATTCTCCATCAGACGCTCTGTCCACTTGACCACAGAGACAGTTAGGGTACTGAATCCCCAACATTCCACTGTCCAGTCAGGCACTCTATGCACTACATGACAGAGACAGTTAGGGTACTGAATCCCCAACATTCCATTCTCCATCAGACGCTCTGTCCACTTGACCACATGACAGACGCAGTTAGGGTACTGAATCCCCAACATTCCACTCTCAGTCAGGCACTCTATGCACTACATGACAGAGAGCAGTTAGGGTACTGAATCCCCAACATTCCACTCTCCAGTCAGGCACTCTATGCACTACATGACAGAGAGACACAGTTAGGGTACTGAATCCCCAACATTCCACTCTCCAGTCAGGCACTCTATGCACTACATGACAGAGACAGTTAGGGTACTGAATCCCCAACATTCCACTGTCCAGTCAGGCACTCTATGCACTACATGACAGAGGCAGTTAGGGTACTGAATCCCCAACATTCCACTCTCCAGTCAGGCACTCTATGCACTACATGACAGAGACAGTTAGGGTACTGAATCCCCAACATTCCATTCTCCAGTCAGGCACTCTATGCACTACATGACAGAGACAGTTAGGGTACTGAATCCCCAACATTCCACTCTCCAGTCAGGCACTCTATGCACTACATGACAGAGACAGTTAGGGTACTGAATCCCCAACATTCCATTCTCCATCAGACGCTCTGTCCACTTGACCACAGAGACAGTTAGGGTACTGAATCCCCAACATTCCACTCTCCAGTCAGGCACTCTATGCACTACATGACAGAGACAGTTAGGGTACTGAATCCCCAACATTCCACTCTCCAGTCAGGCACTCTATGCACTACATGACAGAGACAGTTAGGGTACTGAATCCCCAACATTCCACTCTCCAGTCAGGCACTCTATGCACTACATGACAGAGACAGTTAGGGTACTGAATCCCCAACATTCCACTGTCCAGTCAGGCACTCTATGCACTACATGACAGAGACAGTTAGGGTACTGAATCCCCAACATTCCACTCTCCAGTCAGGCACTCTATGCACTACATGACAGAGACAGTTAGGGTACTGAATCCCCAACATTCCTTCTCTCCAGTCAGGCACTCTATGCACTACATGACAGAGGCAGTTAGGGTACTGAATCCCCAACATTCCACTCTCCAGTCAGGCACTCTATGCACTACATGACAGAGACAGTTAGGGTACTGAATCCCCAACATTCCACTCTCCAGTCAGGCACTCTATGCACTACATGACAGAGGCAGTTAGGGTACTGAATCCCCAACATTCCACTTCTCAGTCAGGCACTCTATGCACTACATGACAGAGACAGTTAGGGTACTGAATCCCAACATTCCACTGTCCAGTCAGGTACTCTATGCACTACATGACAGAGACAGTTAGGGTACTGAATCCCAACATTCCCACTCTCCAGTCAGGCACTCTATGCACTACATGACAGAGACAGTTAGGGTACTGAATCCCCAACATTCCACTGTCCAGTCAGGCACTCTATGCACTACATGACAGAGACAGTTAGGGTACTGAATCCCCAACATTCCACTCTCCAGTCAGGCACTCTATGCACTACATGACAGAGACAGTTAGGGTACTGAATCCCCAACATTCCACTGTCCAGTCAGGTACTCTATGCACTACATGACAGAGACAGTTAGGGTACTGAATCCCCAACATTCCACTTTCCAGTCAGGCACTCTATGCACTACATGACAGAGACAGTTAGGGTACTGAATCCCCAACATTCCACTCTCCAGTCAGGCACTCTATGCACTACATGACAGAGGCAGTTAGGGTACTGAATCCCCAACATTCCATTCTCCATCAGACGCTCTGTCCACTTGACCACAGAGACAGTTAGTGTACTGAATCCCCAACATTCCACTGTCCAGTCAGGCACTCTATGCACTACATAACAGAGACAGTTAGGGTACTGAATCACCAACATTCCACTGTCCAGTCAGGTACTCTATGCACTACATGACAGAGACAGTCAGGGTACTGAATCCCCAACATTCCATTCTCCATCAGACGCTCTGTCCACTTGACCACAGAGACAGTTAGGGTACTGAATCCCCAACATTCTACTCTCCAGTCAGGCACTCTATGCACTACATGACAGAGACAGTTAGGGTACTGAATCCCCAACATTCCACTCTCCAGTCAGGCACTCTATGCACTACATGACAGAGACAGTTAGGGTACTGAATCCCCAACATTCCATTCTCCATCAGACGCTCTGTCCACTTGACCACAGAGACAGTTAGGGTACTGAATCCCCAACATTCCACTGTCCAGTCAGGCACTCTATGCACTACATGACAGAGACAGTTAGGGTACTGAATCCCCAACATTCCACTCTCCAGTCAGGCACTCTATGCACTACATGACAGAGACAGTTAGGTACTGAACATCCCCAACATTCCTATGCCTCTCCAGTCAACATTCCACTCTCCAGTCAGGCACTCTATGCACTACATGACAGAGACAGTTAGGGTACTTCGAATCCCAACATTCCACTCTCCAGTCAGGCACTCTATGCACTACATGACAGAGACAGTTAGGGTACTGAATCCCCAACATTCCATTCTCCATCAGACGCTCTGTCCACTACATGACCACAGAGACAGTTAGGGGTACTGAATCCCCAACATTCCACTCTCCAGTCAGGCACTCTATGCACTACATGACAGAGGCAGTTAGGGTACTGAATCCCAACATTCCACTCTCCAGTCAGGCACTCTATGCACTACATGACAGAGACAGTTAGGGTACTGAATCCCCAACATTCCACTCTCCAGTCAGGCACTCTATGCACTACATGACAGAGACAGTTAGGGTACTGAATCACCAACATTCCACACTCCAGTCAGGCACTCTATGCACTACATGACAGAGACAGTTAGGGTACTGAATCCCCAACATTCCACACTCCAGTCAGGCACTCTTAGGGTTACTGATGCACTACATGACAGAAGCAGTTAGGGTACTGAATCACCAACATTCCACTCTCCATCAGACACTCTATGCACTACATGACAGAGACAGTTAGGGGTACTGAATCACCAACATTCCACTCTCCAGTCAGGCACTCTATGCACTACATGACAGAGACAGTTAGGGTACTGAATCCCCAACATTCCACTCTCCAGTCAGGCACTCTATGCACTACATGACAGAGGCAGTTAGGGTACTGAATCACCAACATTCCACTCTCCAGTCAGGCACTCTATGCACTACATGACAGAGACAGTTAGGGTACTGAATCCCCAACATTCCACACTCCAGTCAGGCACTCTATGCACTACATGACAGAGACAGTTAGGGTACTGAATCCCCAACATTCCACACTCCAGTCAGGCACTCTATGCACTACATGACAGAGGCAGTTAGGGTACTGAATCACCAACATTCCACTCTCCATCAGACACTCTATGCACTACATGACAGAGACAGTTAGGGTACTGAATCACCAACATTCCACTCTCCAGTCAGGCACTCTATGCACTACATGACAGAGACAGTTAGGGTACTGAATCCCCAACATTCCACACTCCAGTCAGGCACTCTATGCACTACATGACAGAGACAGTTAGGGTACTGAATCCCCAACATTCCACTCTCCAGTCAGGCACTCTATGCACTACAGAGGCCATCCTGATCTACACTCACTTGGGTTTGAAGCCATATAACAGGTCTGTAAAGGCCCGGCATCCCTTCTGCTCTGGTTTATGAAGTGCCTCAGTGTTGTATCCAAACCCGCACTCTGAGATGATGTCCATTGTCTGTCAACAACAAACTTGTTATAATATTTGTTTCCGTGTCATGCTAGTGTCTGCAGCCATCTGGATGCAGGAGCTCTAAAGATACAATGTATCACACAAATGTTCAACTGAAACTAACCTGCTTTTCTACTTAACTGTGCTTCAATGTTCTCTTCTCAAATACTGAACTGTGCTTCTATTTTTAGATGCTTGTGATCAAGTGAACTGTACTTCGTTATTTAGATACTGTTGTTCTACTGAGCTGTGCTTCAATATTTAGATATTTTTGTTGTGCTGAACTGTGCTTCAATGTCCAGGACTCACCATTCTACTCATGTCAACCCAACATCAAGGACTCACCATTGTACTCATGTCAACCCGATGTCCAGGACTCACCATTCTACTCATGTCAACCCAATGTCCAGGACTCACCATTCTACTCATGTCAACCCAATGTCCAGGACTCACCATTCTACTCATGTCAACCCCAACATCCAGGACTCACCATTCTACTCATGTCATCCCCAACATCCAGGACTCACCATTCTACTCATGTCATCCCCAACATCCAGGACTCACCATTCTACTCATGTTATCCCCAACATCCAGAACTCCCCATTGTACTCATGTCAACCCGATGTCCAGGACTCACCATTCTACTCATGTCAACCCAATGTCCAGGACTCACCATTCTACTCACGTCATCTCCAATGTCCGGGAATCACCATTCTACTCATGTCATCCCCTACATCCAGGACTCACCATTCTACTCATGTCAACCCAATGTCCAGGACTCACCATTCTACTCATGTCAACCCAATGTCCAGGACTCACCATTCTACTCATGTCAACCCAATGTCCAGGACTCACCATTCTACTCATGTCATCCCCTACATCCAGGACTCACCATTCTACTCATGTCAACCCAACATCCAGGACTCACCATTCTATTCATGTCAACCCAATGTCCAGGACTCACCATTCTACTCACGTCATCTCCAATGTCCAGGACTCACCATTCTACTCATGTCAACCCAATGTCCAGGACTCACCATTCTACTCATGTCAACCCAACATCCAGGACTCACCATTCTACTCATGTCAACCCAATGTCCAGGACTCACCATTGTACTCATGTCAACCAAACATCCAGAACTCACCATTCTACTCATGTCATCCCCAACATCCAGGACTCACCATTCTACTCATGTCAACCCAATGTCCAGGACTCACCATTCTACTCACATCATCTCCAATGTCCGGGACTCACCATTCTACTCATGTCAACCCAATGTCCAGGACTCACCATTCTACTCATGTCATCCCCAACATCCAGGACTCACCATTCTACTCATGTCAACCCAATGTCCAGGACTCACCATTCTACTCATGTCATCCCAACATCCAGGACTCACCATTCTACTCATGTCATCCCCAACATCCAGGACTCACCATTCTACTCATGTCATCCCCAACATCCAGGACTCACCATTCTACTCATGTCATCCCCAACATCCAGGACTCACCATTCTACTCATGTCATCCCCAACATCCAGGACTCACCATTCTACTCATGTCATCCCCAACATCCAGGACTCACCATTCTACTCATGTCATCCCCAACATCCAGGACTCACCATTCTACTCATGTCATCCCCAACATCCAGGACTCACCATTCTACTCATGTCATCACCAACATCCAGATCTGTATCTTCGTTTTCCGTCAACTTCTGGGCCCAGAAGTCCACCAGCTCCTCGCCATGTTTCTGTATGGCCGGAATCATGTCTGAAACAGCAACAATGTTTACAAACCCTCAGACGGTGGGAGGACTTCACTACAACATGGTGACAACTTCCTGGTAGTGTCTGCCAACAGGCTCTCCTGTCCATGAGGAGATGTGTTGCTGTCACTGCCTGCCTTCGATGTCACACTCATTACTGACTTCTCTTCTTCCATTGTGATATTCAATTTAACAAATGTCAAGTTTATAATTTAGTTGAGTATAGTTGAAACAGTACATTGAAGTGTACATTTAGCAGATATTTCTTACGATTATGGAAAAGGATTTGTCTAGTTTTATCAAGCAACACTTCTCTAAAATATCTGAGAAAATTAAACAATTTTCGTTAAACAATGGCCCATTGAAGAGATTAGATAAATCTGTGAAAGTACTGCTTTGTCATCTCTGGCTAAGTTAAGTGAGGCCAGAGTGATCTTGCTGACATATTGCCAATATCAGCATATAAATCCCATTTGCTCCACTCAGTCTGATAGCTACCTTTCCAGCTGAGTCTGCATTGTCTGTGATGTAGTCTATCTGACACAATGTCCTCTGTACTCACTTTTTAGAAATGAACTCTTGAATGCTCCAAGGCAAAGTTTTCTCTGAGTCAGATGCTGTTCACCATTCAAGCTGATCAAACCATCACCTGTGACTCTTGTGAACAGCCTGCAAGACAAACAAAGATACGCTAGTTGTGTCTAAACAAAGATACGCTAGATGTGTCTAAACAAAGATACACTAGTTGTGTTTAAACAAAGATACGCTAGTTGTGTCTAAACAAAGATATGCTAGTTGTGTTTAAACAAAGATACGCTAGTTGTGTCTAAACAAAGATACGCTAGTTGTGTCTAAACAAAGATACGCTAGTTGTTGTCTAAACAAAGATACGCTAGTTATGTGTCTAAACAAAGATACGCTAGTTGTGTCTAAACAAAGATACGCTAGTTGTGTCTAAACAAAGATACGCTAGTTGTGTCTAAACAAAGATACTAGATAGTTGTGTCTAAACAAAGATCGCTAGTTGTGTCTAAACAAAGATACGCTTAGTTGTGTCTAAACAAAGATACGCTTAGTTGTGTTTAAACAAAGATACGTTGTGTTTAAACAAAAGATCGCTGGTTGTATCTAAACAAAGATACGCCAGTTGTGTCTAAACAAAATATGCTAGTTGTGTCTAAACAAAGATACGCTTAGATGTGTCTAAACAAAGATATGCTAGTTGTGTCTAAAACAAAGATAATAAGCTTAGTTGTGTCTAAACAAAGATACAAAGATACGCTTAGTTGTGTCTAAACAAAGATAAATGCTTAGTTGTGTCTAAACAAAGATACGCTTAGTTGTGTCTAAACAAAAGATACGCTTACTTATGTCTAAACAAAGATACGCTTACTTGTGTCTAAACAAAGATAGTCGCTAGTTGTGTCTAAACAAAGATACGCTTAGTTGTGTTTAAACAAAGATACTGCTTAGTTGTGTCTAAACAAAGATAAGCTTAGTTGTGTCCTAAACAAAGATACGCTTAGTTGTGTTTAAACAAAGATACGCTAGTTGTGTCTAAACAAAGATACGCTAGTCGTGTCTAAACAAAATACGCTAGTTGTGTCTAAACAAAGATACGCTAGATGTGTCTAAACAAAGATATGCTAGTTGTGTCTAAACAAAGATACGCTAGTTGTGTCTAAACAAAGATACAAAGATACGCTAGTTGTGTCTAAACAAAGATACGCTAGTTGTGTCTAAACAAAGATACACTAGTTGTGTCTAAACAAAGATACGCTAGTTGTGTCTAAACAAAGATACGCTACTTGTGTCTAAACAAAGATACGCTAGTTGTATCTAAACAAAGATACGCTAGTTGTGTCTAAACAAAGATACACTAGTTGTGTCTAAACAAATATACGCTAGTTGTGTCTAAACAAAGATACGCTAGTTGTGTTTAAACAAAGATAATGCTTAGTTGTGTCTAAACAAAGCTACGCTTAGTTGTGTCTAAACAAAGATACTAGTTGTGTCTAAACAAAGATACGCTAGTTGTGTTTAAACAAAGATACGCTAGTTGTGTCTAAACAAAGATACACTAGTTGTGTTTAAACAAAGATACAATTGTTGTGTCTAAACAAAGATATGCTAGTTGTGTTTAAACAAAGATACGCTAGTTGTGTTTAAACAAAGATACGCTAGTTGTGTCTAAACAAAGATACGCTAGTTGTGTCTAAACAAAGATACGCTAGTTGTGTCTAAACAAAGATACGCTAGTTGTGTCTAAACAAAGATACACTAGTTGTGTTTAAACAAAGAAACGCTAGTTGTGCCTAAACAAATATACGCCAGTTGTGTCTAAACTAAGATACGCTAGTTGTGTCTAAACAAAGATACGCTAGTTGTGTTTAAACAAAGATACGCTAGTTGTGTCTAAACAAAGATACACTAGTTGTGTTTAAACAAAGATACGCTTGTTGTGTCTAAACAAAGATATGCTAGTTGTGTTTAAACAAAGATACGCTAGTTGTGTTTAAACAAAGATACGCTAGTTGTGTCTAAACAAACATACGCTAGTTGTGTCTAAACAAAGATACGCTAGTTGTGTCTAAACAAAGATACGCTAGTTGTGTCTAAACAAAGATACGCTAGTTGTGTCTAAACAAAGATACACTAGTTGTGTTTAAACAAAGATACGCTTGTTGTGTCTAAACAAAGATATGCTAGTTGTGTTTAAACAAAGATATGCTAGTTGTGTTTAAACAAAGATACGCTAGTTGTGTCTAAACAAAGATACGCTAGTTGTGTCTAAACAAAGATACGCTAGTTGTGTCTAAACAAAGATACGCTAGTTGTGTCTAAACAAAGATACGCTTGTTGTGTCTGAACAAAGATACGCTAGTTGTGTCTAAACAAAGATACGCTAGTTGTGTTTAAACAAAGATACGCTAGTTGTGTTTAAACAAAGATACGCTTAGTTGTGTCTAAACAAAGATAACAAAGCTAGTTGTGTTTAAACAAAGATACTCAGCTAAACAAAGATACGCTTGTGTCTAACAGGCCTATCTGACACTGAGTGAATTGTATTTAGCAAATCAAAACGACCACGCTATTTGGGGAGTGATTTAACACCAGAAGTGTATGGTTGCTACCGTTTCAACACCAAAGTCTGCAAGACAGAATTCCAGATATCCAGGTATTCAGTTATCCGGACGATTTACTTAAAAAACAGAATGTGTCCAGGTATTCAGGATCTCACTGTATTCGTGTACCATTATGGATTCAGGACACACTGACCTGAAGAGGAACGTTGGCTTGACATAGTTCTTGCTGTGAGTGACCATTATGTGCTTCATGGCATCAGCCTCTGCCACCAGCAATCTCTGCTGGCCCAGAATATGGTTGTACCTGATCATGCCTGTCTTCATCTCCTTCACCCATCTTAAACACAAACATGTCACATATATACATCTTTGGAATGAAAAGTCCACTGATAAATCTAAAACAAGCAAACAGTTATTTACTTAGGAAGGTAATAACGAAATATTTCTGTGGTTTCCATTGCAATATCTCCCAAATATCCATAGTGAAAACCAGTAACCATGGCAACACTGAGTTCCTTATCTAACATCAAAGGATCATGGGGTCCAATCGCAATTTGTTTTCGAGATCCTTGGTCTGTCATCATCATACTAAGTAGCATGAAGGTAGAAATAGTACCTCAAGTTGGTTGGTTGGTTGGTTGGTTGTTTAACGCCTCACTCAGCAATATTCCCCCTATTGTGGCGGTCAGTAAATTATCGTGTCTGGACCAGACAATCAAGTGATCAACAACAGGAGCATCGATCTATGCAACTGGGATTTGATGACATGTGTCAACCAAGCCAGCGAGCCTAACCACCCGATCCCATTAGTTGCCTCTAATGACAAGCATGGGTTACTGAAGATCAACTTTAACCCAGATCTCCAGGGGTCAGTAATTTAAGTACAGGGTGGAAATAACTTTAAAATTGCTAGTGTACTCGTACAGTGGCACATGTAAAATCACTTGCCCTGATAATTTTTCACACAGAAAAAAACACTGGACTCGGCTGCCTGGCAATGGGTTATTTCCACCCCTGAAGTACCATGTGTCCCTAGCTGGATGGACACACGTGAAGATATAGGACCAGAGGTGGTCATCCACAATCCATGCTATTCATAAAAGGTGACTGACAGGATTGGATGGTCATGCTTGCTGGTCGGTTCAAGTCACCATATCCCAATTACGTAGATAATGCTCATGATGTCAATCACAGTATTTTATTATTTTCAGACTGCTGTCATATTATTATTATTGTATCCAAATGCTTTTGGGCTGCAATTTTACATGAGACATAGATTTTTGATTCACTCACTATCACTAACTTAAAGGCATAATGTCACACAACATTTCTCTAAAAATAAATAATGCATTTCTCTCAATAAAATTAACTATCAGCCCTCATGGAAGCTACCAAATAATTTATTTAAAACAATTATGTACTAAGATTACAATATCAAATTAAAATGTTCGAATGAATTAATGCAACGTTGCATTAACTGACTCTCGTGCCATCTTCCGGCCGAACATTATTTCAAGCGAACCCAATAGATTTATGTCCCTTTGGAGCACTTCTCTACAAATATCCTAAACGCTAACATGTGATTGAAACCAGTTCAGCAAACACCGACAATACCGCGTGCGACATTTTTCAATGTAAGGAGCAATTGTTTACATGCCATATATGGCAAGTGTTCTCTGTATGGAAGCTGTTCGCCTCGAAGTTTCAATTATCGATATCAGGCAAGTCATAAGGGATAATAAATCTTTATTGCATCAATAGGAAGCTAAAGTGAGTGCATATGTCCCAATATATAAAATATAGGCCAAAATATTGTAGGAAATGTGTGACATTGTGCCTTTAATGACAAATTTGAATGTTACTTACTTGACATAGACATCAATGCTTTCACCACCAAATATCTCTCGTAAATTTCCAAGGAAAATGTTGCCGATCGGTCGTCCTGGTATCTGAAAAGAATAGATTTTGTTTTGTTGCTTAACACTGAACTCAGCAATATTCCAGCTATATGATGACAGTCAGCGAGCCTGACCACCCGATCCTGTTAGTCGCCTCTTATTACAAGCATGTGTTGATGAAGGCCAATTCTAATCCTGACCTTCATGGGTCTGGAAAGAATAGACGTTGATAAGGACACACTAAACATAAAGAAAATATATAGATATAATTTAGAGCCCACCATTTCAAATTTTCATTATTTGTTGGTCCACTAAGATTTTATCTGCTGAATTTCTATCTGCACACTTCTTCACCTGCCTACTGGATGTATTTCCGCATCAGGTGCTTCAATAAGCAGAGGTACAGATAAGCTGTGCGTCTGCATAAATGATGCAAATATTTACATGAGAACTCAATTCCTATTAAGTCTATTGCGTACAAGTACGCTTGTACTTTTGTAAATACTCAATAAATTTGATCTTACATGCGTACACACAAAAATGTGATAGAGATTACCGAGGACAGATCAAATAACTGAGGTATACTGAGAGATTCTATTTCCGCACATGAGCTTGGCAACTTGCAGTCTTTCTTACTGTTTCTCATTACAGACCAAATACAAATAACAAACACGTAAACCAACATTTAATCTTGATTATATGTTTACAATTAATGGAAAATGGCAAAATACCCAAATGAGTTTGAGTGAGGTGGGTACAATATATTTGGTTACTCAAAGAAAAATTAGGATACCCAATTGAGATGAACACAAGCTAGTACATAACTCAATGACCCAAAACATTATCTGTAGCTCTGAAATAAGGTAGCCTTGACCTTAACTCCGATTGCTAAAAGTGTCACAAAACCCCACCTGCCAATAGGGCTGGCTGAAATAATAGATAATCGGAAATATTGTCGACAGGAAAATTATTAATGATCATCGATTTGAAAATTGTGTCATCGATATTATCTCATATCTTTTGTGGTTGAAATATAGTTTATTTTCTCACACAATATGCAATTTTATGACTTTGTTAAATTATGTTCAGGGCACTGTTTTGTTAATAATCCATACATAAACATGTCACAACTCACCAGTGATGTGAAATATATTAATTTCTTTCAGACATTTTTGCTTAAAGTTACGTCTCTGATATTTATCAACAATCGATCAACATTTAATTAACAAATATCAATCTCTTTGATCTATATCAATAGCCAGCCCCACTTGCCAATCCTTACCTTTCGGAGTGGGGTTAGATATGGCCTCAGGATGACCTTGTAGAACCCATACGACAGGCCGAATATGATTCCATAGACCAGAACTGAGCTCCACGTCACTGCCTGGCTGAGAGAGGAGTACACTCCCATCACGCTACTGATACCAGCTTCCGACATATTGTTGTGTCAGCACTAAAACACAGACCAATGTACATGAATGGCAAAAACTGTTTTATTATTTGAAAACATAAAATAACATATCATATATCTTCCATATTACATTCTTAAATTGGGTTTTAGCAAATGAAACATTATCAGCTGAATGAGTGAGTGAGTGAGTTGGGTTTTATGCAGTGTTTAGAATATTCCAGCAATATCACGGCAGGGGACACCAGAAATGGGCTTCACACATTGTACCCATGTTGGGAATCAAACCCGGGTCCTCAGGTGTGATGAGTAAAAGCTTTAACCACTAGGCTACCCCACTGTCCCATTTTCAGTTTAATACCTTTTCTTTAATCCTTGAAAAAAAAATCATAACAAGAGTATTGCAGATAAAAACATAATCTTTTAACATTGTCATTTTTTGGTCTACCTTAGGGCATGTGAACTTTGTATTGCACTACGGCTGTACGGGGCAATCAAACTAACTTTGTCCATACACACATGCCTGTATATTCATTTAAAATTATTTTTTACTTTTCTTTGACCTATGAGATACTATTTTTTTGGATTAATTATCGCCTTTTTCATACATATATATATTTGGTCTGAAATTGCTACCTCATGATATAGAGTATGTATGTATGTATGTATGTATGTGTGTGTGTGTGTGTGCGTGCGTGCAAGCGTGCGTGCGTGCGTGCGTGTGTCTGTATGTGTGTATGTATGTATGTATGTATGTATCATTTGTATGCACTATCTGGATGTTCAATCTCAAAAGTCTCACAAGAAACAAATGACTAGACACATTAATCACATTAAGGTTTGAATTTGAACAAAATGTTAAATAGATTGTTACCATATTCAGAGACATAATTTCAACTCATTTACTTTTTGGTCAAAGATAATGAGCTTGTGGATCATGTATTGCAGATCATATCAGCTGTAACCATGGAAACAGTGAACAATTCCTGTAATCAAAGCATAAAAACACAACTTTCAAAATCAGCTTCCTTTTTTCCCCAAATTGCACAATTTCAGCATATTGGGGGATCATCCATTATAACTGCAGGAGGATTACATTTTGGGGGGAACAATCTTTTTGAATTGCGTTATCCAACAAACTGTTTACCCTGTTTATGTGGCAGATGAGGGAGGTAGGATAGCCTAGTGGTTAAACCGTTCACTCATCATGCAGAAGGCCTGGGTTTGATTCTACACATGGGTACAATGTGTTAAGCCCATTTCTGGTGTCCCTCGATCGCCATGATATTGCTGGAATATTGCTAAAAGCGGTGTAAAACCAAACTTACTCTCTACTCCTTGGCAGATATGACTCTTGTCCATATTTATTTAATTATGCTTCAGTTTTTCCTATTGTCTATAAATAATTAAGTTGTCAGGATGATTTAAATGCTTTTTAAACCAAAGCAAGGATGTGCTTGACTGACCAGCCGGCCGGCCAAGCTGACCCTCCAAGTTAAGCCTTTGTTTCACTGCATGTTCTCAGCCAGCAAACACTCCGCCCATGGACAGGTTGCCAGCATGCTATTTGACTCAGGTTACTTTAAGAAGTTTCTATACATTTATACTGCATGTTATTGCATTTAAATGTCACACTACATGTTATATTAAAGTAACTTAATAAGTGTTTAATATTGTGCATTACATGTAGTAAAGTTGGCTTATAAATTGTAAACTTTTGTAATTACCAATACATAGCTTTTCTATCTGTTTATTCCTGTGTGAAAAGAAAAGATTGTCTGTGTTTTACAAAAGTAAATGTTTTACCCTGATAATACTCTGGATAGTTGCATCACTGTGGTCGAAAATGTAATCGAGTCTAGACCAGACAATCCAGTGATCAACAGCCTGATCATTGATCTACACAATTGGGATACGATAACATGTGTCAACCAAGTCAGCGAGCCTGAACTGAAGATCAAGGGTAGGCATACAATTGCATGTATACAGTCAGACCTCGTTTATCAAAACACTTTGTTTTTTTATTGAATTGCTCGGACAAACGAATCATTTGGATATCCGAACCAGGACCTAGGTGGTCGGCTGCACATGAATACAAAACAACTAAAAATAACATTGAAACATAACTACATCTTTATTTAACATAACATCTTGCATAACATAACATAACATAAATTAAATCGGCTTGAAAAAGTCTTTGATTGATGATTGTTGACGGACAGAGTTGTTATTCGCTGCTTGGATTTTTTAACAAAGCCGACATTTTCAATTGTTTCTTCTCTAATTAACCTACAGGTCTACTCCCATTTGTGAGAACTCCCAATTGTGAGACTCTCAGTTATGAGTGAGTGAGTATGGTTTTATGCCGCTTTTAGCAATATTCCAGCAATATCACGGCGGGGGACACCAGAAATAAGCTTCACACATTGTGCCCATGTGGGGAATCGAACACGGGTCTTCTGCATGACGAGCCAACGCTTTAACCACTAGGCTACCCCACCGCCCCACTCCCAGTTATGAGACAGTGGAGTAGGTAATTAACAAAGAAAACACACCATACTCCCCTGCCTGATAGAATAGATTAACCCTAGCTAATTACTGATTTGCTATGTAACTGAATCTTGTGGAGGTAACTTAATGAAACTTTATAAGATAAATTGATTATCATACTCAGGTAAATGTCTTTAAAAATTAAACATTTTGTGTAGGTAACTTCGTGATCATTTGAAAGAGAAATTAATAAACTACAAGCTATAGTTTAAGAAATAACTCTGAAATACAAGGAATTTACAGTCGAACTGCCTCTTATGCCAATCCTTTTTACCGGACACAATAAATTTATGGAATGCCCTACCAAATTCCAAAGGGTCATGTAGTCTCACAGAATTTAAAAACCTAATTACAAAAAACGAAAACAAGATTTATATTGACCTTAATTATGGCTCTTGTTTTTGTCACATCGTTCACTGCCGACTCACGCTCGGATCTAGCGACCTCAACGCCGATAGGTATAAAAGACATTTAATAGACAGTCCATGTTGCTCTTGTCGATATCAGAGTGAAAACGCCCTACACTATTTTCTCACTTTATAAGAACTAATATGTACTTTACACTACCCGTTATAACCTGGGTGCCGTTCCACTAACCGATCTTATCTAAGATCAATCTTAGCAAGTTACGCCAATTTTACAATCGTCTTAGCTAAAAGTTACACCCGTTCCACTAACCGATCTTTAGGCCGATCGTAGCCGGGTCCCGATCTTCACGATCCCATCCAAGCTTAGATCGAGACTCTTTCGCATGCGAGGCACATTGTTTTTAAGGAATGGAGAGTTACGAGGATATTACCCTACTTAAATTACATTCAAAGTATTGGGAATATTTCTGTTATCAAAGTTATATGTCAAAATGACAAAATGAAGTCTTTAATTTGAAGCTGGTACACATTGCTCCATTCCTGAAAAGTAATGGAGCGAGCAGACAATGGAATGACGTCACAAATGTAATTTAATCTTGAATCACACGCGGCTTGCCTTTAGAATCCCCCACCAAATATGCGCAGTGAAATCAAACATATTTGTGTCTTTTTGCTTCAGAACATTGTTCACTTCACAGCTGTCCTTATTCTTAACCATGACGTTGCAATATTGTTGTACAAATGTGTCACACCGACTCGCTCGGTTGTGTTCCCATGACGACAGTGGTCAGACTTGCCTGACATTTGTAAGGCTTCAGTGCAGTGTTTGTTTACATCACAGAAATATACAAATTCATTTCTTTGGGGATTTTAGGGGACGCTCACGGTGAAATGCTCGCTCTTATTTTTCACATAGAATAGGAAAGCCACCATTTTGGTTTCTCTATGATTGATTTTAGCTATCCTAAGTTGGTCATGAGCAGCTTAGACTTTGAATCTTAACTTTACGATTGACTTAGGTAAGATTGGTTAGTGGAACGGTATGCCGATTGTAACGTCACGCTAAGATTGGGATTTTAGGGGTTTACGATTGGCATAGGGCTAAGATCGGTTAGTGGAACGGCACCCTGGATACCATTTTGAACGGAAACAAAGAATTTACTCCTTATGTAAACCAGAAAATAGTTGAATCCGTCCACGATTATATCATCAAGACACAACGCTTCAAATTTGCTCAGGAAAATACTTAAATTAACTCAACAGCCTTCTCATGATTGATTTATATTCCTACAATAGCTTGTTAGACACACACAACTGTAACTCTCTGATTATGACTACTTAGAGAATAGTTGTATTTGATGTAATCTGTATATATTTATATGTACTTAAAAATATATTTATGCAATAGTCAATATCGATGACGTCACATCCTCCATTTCATTTTGTAAATTATGTTGCATGGGAGCGGTGTTAACATAAGCAGTAATGCTTGTTCACCAATCCCAATTCATTTTCATAAATAATAATAAAATATGTTTAAACCAAAATGACTTTCAAACTTCAGAAATAGTCAATAAAAATGTGTTATCATAATTACATATTCTACTGAATAAATAAAATATTTAATGAACTATTTCTTCTGTGTAAATAGATAGACTTCATGTTTTCATCCCTTGCCGACAACAGACCTTGGGTTTTGATTTACATATTTTTCTGTTTCGTTACCAAAATTGACCGTTCGGATACGGAAACCGAACATTCGGATATACAAGGTAAATTGTAACTAGAAAATTTCATTTTTTGTGAAGAATGTCAGAAACCGATGTATTCGGATATCTAAAGTTCGGATATACGAGCTCTGACTGTATATAGTATATATTTGTTTAAAATATCAAATGTATCATGCTGTAACTATGTTAATTATTTCTATTACAAGATAAGTCTATATGAACCATATAACCTGGTACCTGTTGACCATAAGAATGTCCACATGGATTTCCATGGTCTCAGACGTTACAGCAGTTAAAGTTGTAAACACACTCAATGTGAACCTTTATAACAGATTGATCTTACACACATAAATACTTTATTACAATTTTTTTCTTTTCCTCAATCACGAGCATTTCAACTTTAGTATCGTAACCATTCACAAATGCATGTATGTTTTCATGTGTACACACATATATGTTTGTCATAATTGAACCATCACCTGAGATACATTAGATGTTACCAATACCCTGGGTGTCTGACAATGCGGGGTGTCGTCCATGGACCCCGAGACCCACGCTAAGGCGAGGGATGACTGTAATTTGTAAGAAATTCATACTCTTATTAAAATTAGACTAATTAATGAAGCTATAGTCTTATGTACTTGGATAGCACACTGATTGTAGGCTTACTGTGAACTTAGCAATATCACGGCGGGGGACACCAGAAATAGGCTTCACACATTGTACTCATGTGGGGAATCGACCCCCGGGTCTTCGGGTGTGACAAGTAGCCAACATGCTACCCCACCGCCGTACTGTATTATGTAACAGCTAATAACAGTAAAACCTGTTTTTCATGCTAAACTGATACCAGGGTGTGCTAATGTAACTACTTACTTACTATTCTTCCTTTGATATTCTTTTTATTTCACCCTGAAGCATTGATTACCAATGTCATGTGTAATCAAACTCCGGCCAAATAAAACAAGTGTTTGCCACTGATATGGCAATGTCCCCCGCCGCTAAAAAATGGAATATTTATAACATATTTACTACTTTTTATTTTTTGGTCACATACAAGATGCCTGAAATGACTGGTGTCTGCATAATCATGCAATGTAGGCTGTTGACAAAATTGAAGACATTGGGTACAATGTTTTATGAGATGTCGTGTTTACATAAGTTTGAAAGGTGGTCAAAGTGTCTTGGGTGACCTTTGAAGATAAGGTCAAGGTCACCCAAATCGACTGGTGTATGCATAATCCCCCAATGTAGCCTGTCACCAAATTTGAAGACATTGGGTACTACAGTCCATGAGATTACGCATTAACAAGAGTTTGAAAAGTGGTCAATATAATCATGATAATTGTTGGCATTCAGCTAGTATATTCCCGTTCAAGCCCAGGTGAACTATGAGAAACCAAACATGATTTTGTACATGACAAGCAGGTGTGTGTGTATATGTGTTTGTGTGAGAGAGAGAGAGGGGGGGGGGGTCCAATTACACCAGAGATGATCTAGATAATGCTTACAGACTAGTGGTAGAAGAAAATGTGTCCGCACAGAGAGCAGCAGCCAGGTGGGGGTTCCGGTTTCTACCCTTAAGGATCGCTTTGTTGGGCAATATCAGCGTAGATACTGTCAAGTCGGTCCCATGCCTCTGTTCTCCTCACAAGAAGAATCCTTTTAGCGAGCCATATCAGAGTTATGGGGAGATTGGCTATGGTTATATCGCGTCAGGAGACCATTAATCTTGCAAGCGATTACGCTGCCAATCAAGGACACAGAGACAGAGATCATCCTTTAAGTCTCCGATGGCTGTACAGTTTCTTAGATAGATGGCCGGAACTTAAAGTACAGAAACCGAGGAAACTTGAAGCAGCGAGGGCGAGATCAGCCACCAAAGAAAACATCAGTCGGTATTTCACAGAACTCTCCAACGCCATGCAAAAGTACAACTTTCAAAGTTCACCCCAGGCAATTTTTTAATATCGATGAAAAGGGACTATCAACTGATGTAACAGCACCCAAAATCGTCGCCGGGATACATTGCAAACCACAGACCGTGACATCTGGGAAATCACAAACGGTAACAATGGTTGCCGTTGTTAACGCAGCTGGTGGCAGCGTTCCCCCTTACTTTGTATTTCCTGGACATCGTGATGAGAGATGAGCTGTTATCAGGAGCTACACCCGGTACTGGAGGCACAGTTTCAGAGACAGGGTGGTCTAATACAGAAGTATTCAGCACGATATGAAAACGCACCTGGTCCGACACTTGCCCTCACGCGCAGCCGACTCTCCCGTTCTCATCCTCTATGACGGACACAAAGTCACGCTTCCTTGGATTGATAGAATGGGCACGGAAAATCACATTGTCCTATTTGTTCTTCCCCCTCATACAAGCCACCTCCTACAGCCACTGGACATCGGATGTTACCGGGCCTTTTGAGACGCGACATGGATACGATCATGTCATTCATTCTTAAGAGTGAACTCTGGAAAAGCTATCGGAAAGCATGATATATGCAGCATAGCATGTCGTGTTTTCAACTCAACGTTAACTCCTGTTAACATTTTGTCATCTTTCACAAAATCAGGAATCTTCCCCTCAGCCCCTAAGTGATTGATGACTTGGCTGTAATGCCTGCCCGATCTTTCTCTAGACCGACACCCAGCGGTTTCAAATTCAACAGGTGCGGCTTCATTGACAGGACACCGACGACAGACTGGATACTGCAAGGACATTCTTGGAATGTCGGGTGGAGAAGTTTTGAGAAATGTTCAAACATACAAGCCAAGGAACACCATCAGTAAAATCGTTGGCGGAAAGTCATCACAGATCAGGCAGTTGTTGACAGGATAGCGAAAGCACAAGAAACAGCATCCAGAGAAACGGAAGGCTGATAAGGAAGTCGGCAAGGGAAGAAGAAGTCAAGCGGCACTACATCGTTGTCCACATCGTCCCTGTTGTCTAAAGGGAATTCTGGCCACAATAAGTCAAAAGGAAAGGACCATGCGCAAAACGAAACGCCCGCTCGCCCCCATCAACAACCTTCTCAGACAGTTTTTCCGACAGTGCAACTGATGACGACGAAGTTTGCTGTGTGTGCGGAAAATTTACACCCGATGCATTGCATCGTTGTGACTCAATCACGTTTGTGAAATGGGCACAGTGTGACAAATGTGGTCACTGGGTTCACCTTGTCTTTGTACAAGTGTCACCGTTTTGCGCATTACATGCGGCATTTTTCTGTCCCCACTGTGATCACAGCCCAGTGGAAGAGTGAACTGCATTCACAAACTGTCATCAACAGTGTATATAACCTGTTTGGATTTCATCGCTTATCTGTGCTTGAAATTGTTGAACTGACATTATATTTTAACTCTTAAAGATTGACAAGTGACTAGGAGACACTTAATTTGCCTTGATGAATTATATCTACATTGGAACACCATAGATATTCTGTGTATAACGTTATCGCCGAAAACTGGTGACGTAATGCTCAAGTTGCCAAATATAGAACGTTACGGTCATGGCGGCCTTGCTCAACCGACGAAGCCGAGAGAATCATAAAAAAGTAAGAGGAAACACCTTGGCTAACGTACTTTGTCTTGAATGTAAAATATTTTTATTACGATAGCATGGTTACATATGTACCGCGAATCGCTGTTACGTCGCCGAAAACTGGTGAAACTGGGATATAAATTTTAGGGAGGGCCATTCACATTCGTTGGTTTCACATTAATTTTAGACTCGCTGTGCGCATGCGCAGAGCGTGTAAAAATATCCTCAGGCCATATCCGGTTTGGTCGTAAGCTTTACCGATAGTGTAGACGCACTCTAAAGGAAGCGAAAATCAAAACAAATATATGGTTTTATGTCGAATTTAACTAATCTCAATTCATTTATGAATGGAAGGGACCGGAATCAGTTTAATAAATAGCTTAACGTTTGTTAACAAGCTCTTGTATAAACACATCTCACCACCACCCGTCCACCGTCCTTCCTGCACATCCCCTTCTCTAGCCGAGAGCCGCCGGCTACCCCTTCTCACAAGTAAAAAAACACATCTCTGATGCAATGCCACCAAAATAGGACATCAAATATTGAAAAGCATAGGCAAATTGATGTATGTACTCAACTATGAACAGTTGTCACGCGTAAATAATTTTTATACAGCATTTATTTAGAGCGTGTTTACAATATCGCTAATACGACCAAACCGGATATGGCCGGAGGATATTTTTACACGCTCTACGCATGCGCACAGCGAGTCGAAAATTAATGTGAAACCAACGAATTCTACAAAACAACAAGATGACAGTACACTAATCTGTCACAAAATATCCCTTTAAATGTCAACCGTACACTTACGTTATGTTCTTTGACTAAGATGATAAAAACTGCCTCGTCATACATAATATTCGCCCTCTGAATGCGTAAACAAATTAGAGTTACCTCCCTTGAAAACTTCTCGACTAGTACTTTCGCTTCCTTACGGTAAGCTGGTTCCCGGCTCCCTTTGCGCGCGCTAACGTTCGCCAAAGCTAGGGAGCCGGTATAGGCTGCCATTTAAAACGCCCTGCTCGTTTATTTGACGTCACGTCCGGATTGGTCAAGCTGGACTCTGTCTGTATATTGAAGTCGCGCTGAAAGATCTGGGAACCAGTTAATCCCTGCATGCCACCATTTTTTGCAACTGTTTCTGGATAAATTCACATGATGCCATCACCATTCTTATGGACATGGATGACAAAATTGAACATGTTCAGTTGTCTACTATAGTACATTTCTGTTTGACTCAAGTTCGGAATCATTATGGTTTTGTTGGTTGTCAAATGAATACACATCTACTGCTGATTTTGAACAGAGTTCGGTATCATTGTTTAGGAATCTTTGAAGATCCTCCCATGACAGTTTAGCCTTTAGACCATCAGTGTTATATTTTGCTGTACAACTGGTCAGCCAGCGTTAAATGGGCAGATCCATTTCACTTACTGACATCAGCTGCTGATCGAGATAATAAGTAGAAATTACTGAATATTTTCCGAAATAGGTTATGATTTCGGCCATTAAGACCTGCTGACCGAAGACCCGGGTTAATTTCGATGGGTATGGGTAAATGTGTGAAGCCCATTTCTGGTGTCCCCGCCGTGATATCGATGGAAAATTGCTAAAACGGGGCTTAAAAACTAAACGCACTCTCTCATTCACTCTTAAAATGCTAATAAGTAATATATAGAGTATGGTGATCGAAGTGTCGAGTATGAATTTCCGTATGGGTCCCCGTGAAAGCATAAATGCTGTAAGCCCTGAGCTGCACGCGGGGCTGTTAATCAGTAATTCCTGATAACTCGTTGGTTATTCTTTAATGTTCGACTTGAAGCCCATTCCTGGTGTCCCCGCTGCGGTATTGCTTGCCTATTGCTGAAAACGTAAACCATTTCTCACTCACTTACTGAAGCGGTGGTGTAGCCTAGTGGTTAAAGCCTTCGCTCGTCATGGAGGAGCTGGGTTCAATTCCACCCATGGATACAATGTGTGAAGTCCATTTTTGTGTCCCCCACCGTGATATTGCTGGAATATTGCTAAAAGCGGCGTAAAACCATACTCTCTCTCTCTCACTCATACACACGATGGAATGAGCCGTGAAGGTCTTGGTTAGAATATTGGCCTTCAGTAACCCATGCTTGTCCTAATAGGCGACTGACGGGATCGGGTGGTCAGGCTTGCTGACTTGGTTGACACATGTCATCGGTTCCCAATTGCGCAGATCGAAGCTCATGCTGTTGATCACTGGATTAGACTTTTACAGACCGCCGCCATTTACCTGGAATATTGCTGAGTGCGGCGTAAAACAAACCTCACTCACTCACTTCTACCAGACAAAGACCCAGACAAATGTTTTTCCAGATTGTTGTGCAGAATGTCGCCGAGAACAACATTCTTTGGCACCAGTGACCATGTTCACAGACTTTGAACAAGCTGCCCAAAATGCTGCCAGAAATGTGTTCAGCTGCCAGCTGAAAGAATGCATGTTCCACTACCGTCAAGCGATATGGAGAAATGCTAAAAATTTGGTCTCCAGAAGCTCTTCAACAAAGACCCCAGTGTAAATAGACTCAGCCGTCATGCCTCTGCCCATTCACGTGACATTGACGACATCTGGTTGAATGCCCTTGAGAATGTTGACGTTGAAGATGCTGGGATTGTGAGATTCACTGGCTATTCAACTGAACAGTGGGTCAAGGTGGATGGGCGTAGTGTTTCGAACCACTTTTATACAATCGGTTCCAGGACCATCAACCACTTGGAAGGTTGGCACTCAAAACTAAACAAAATAGTCCACCCAATCATCTTCAAGTTCGTGGATATAAAATAACAGCAGCCACATGCCGAGACTGTTCTGGTGGTAGTCTGGCACCAAAAAGAAGAAAATATCGTAATCTGGATACAAAATTGAAAGTGAAATTAATGACTTGCTGACCAGGAGTAAATCTCCCAGATGTTGCGTCGCATTTGGTTGTAAATGTGTAAATGACAGATGTCATGTGTTATGTTATGTATGTTGTATAAACATATGCATGTATGTGTACAATAAAATGAATAAATTATGTGAGTAAAGTATTTTAGGAGTTTTTCTTAATAGTTTAATAATCTGTTTTACTGCAACAGACTATAGTTAATCCCTCCATTGTTTACCTATCTACCATGGTCGATTGAACCCCTACTTAGAACAATAGGTGCAGGCACAATTAGGTGTCCCCAGCCCCCACCCCCAAAAAATAAAATAAAAATAAAACAAACTAAAGAAAAAGAAACACAAAACCAACGAAACACCAAAAACAAAACCAAATAAAAAACAAAAACAAAACAACAACAACAAACAAAACAAAACAAAACAAATCCCCAAAACAAAAACAAAGACAAAACAAGTAAGAACCCTCACCAGACTATACCGTTATGATTCAGGAGAATTTATAAACGCAACAGTCTCTGAAATAGACATATTTCACAGAGAAGAAACGGTTATTTCACTTCCTTCAAATATTACAGAATTTCATTTATCTGTATTGGAATTATTTGTTTCAGGATTGTGTGTGACTATACACTCCATGGCTCCCCATTTAATGACTCATTTTAATCAGTGTTTATGGGGACTTGTGTTCAGCTTCGGGATATGGATCATTATGAAACACTTAGAAGACTTGCCAGACAAATGGCATTCGGCTAATTAAGCGTATTGTATTTGAATACACCACTATGCTTTGGGTGGCGTTAAATGGAGATAGGGAAATTTCTACATTATTAATGTTCGGTTGTTTTTGTGAAATTGATTACAGCAAAAATACATATGTGAGGCACTACACAGCTGGAGTGCCGTACTGATTCACGAAGCGATAGTCAGAAACGTATTTCCTGAACGACAGCAAGAAAATACAAATATTTCTACTTCGAACTGTTAAGTGAGTGAGTTTGGTTTGACGCCGTATAGGGCAATATCCCTGTATTATCACGATTGGAAATATTACGAACGGGGTTCACACACTGAGCCTGTCTTGGGATCGAACCCGGGTCTTAGACGAGTTTATGTTTTATCCACTAGGCTTCCCTAATCGCTGGACTAATGACTGGTCACTCTGCGCGGACATCACACCGTGTCATGGATAATTCCGCCTTTGTGTGCTTACAGGTCAGTATGGATTATATTCTTTGTTTATTTAATCCCATACTCAGCAATAGTTCAGCTAAATATCGGCGGACTGTAAATAAGGCTGGCTGACTTGGTGGACACATGTCATCATGTCCCAAATGCGTAGATTGATGCTCATGCTGTTGATCACTGGATTATCTGGTCCAGACTCGAATATTTACAGAGCATGAATCTAGTCAACAGTTATATGATTGCATGTATTAATCAAGTCAGAGAGGCAGACCACCCGATCCCGTTAGTTGCCTCATACGGAAAACATGGGTTGCTGAAGACCAATTCTAAACCTGTCGGTCACGGGTCTTATAGGTATGGATGCCAAATGCATTAGTCTGGGCGTGTGTGCTACGTCTTATCGTCACAGTTAACTTATGAGAACAAATGAAGACCTAATTACACTCACTGACGCCACGTGTGAAATGTCATCACCAGCAGACAGCCAAACATAGCCCGTGATGGTAACAGTAAATAGGTATCAGTCTGTGAGGTATATAATATCATTTTATTGGTGACTATTTTGAGAGTGGCGTTCATGTAGGAGTTTGTTTTCATCTTTACGACCAGCCATTAAAGGGAAACTGAACAAATAGGTATTGCGGCCTATTAAATGTCATTCAACACGTTGTAGTGCAGAGGTTTATGTAGCAAATATGCTTTCCGTGGGAAGTGCATGTTAATGTTTGGAACCACTGATAATTGTAATCAGTATTGCATATGGATTCAGAAAAACCATGGTTCCATTATAAGTGTTATTCTGGGATAGCTGAACACCGGTACCCATAATCGAGCTGCAACACCAATGTGGGAAAAACATATTGTAATAAACCTATCACAACATAGGCATGTAGTATGTCAAAATGTACCTTGTGATGGGTGTTTTACAATTACCATTATATATCATGAATCTCAATAATATATGTATGCATAATAATCACTATGATCACAACTGCGTCTGTCAAAACCGAAGTTTTGTTGCAGAGGGTATGTCTTCAACCCTGTTTGTGTGTGTGTGTATTTATGTGTTAGCATCTTTACTCAAATAATACTAGATGGATTTCAATGAAACTTTCTGGATCTCTTGGGTCTGTCCCCAGGACAAGTCAATTAGATGTTGAAAAAGTACACTCTTCAAAAAAGAAACGCAAAAGCAAAATATCCTTGAAAAATTTGGTCTTATTCAATGATATGTAAATCAACGAAAATAAACGGTACAGCATTGAAATCATGTGGAGCAATACATTGGTATCTCGTGCAGATTTCACAAGAATGACAGTCATCATGGTCATTACTGCTGTCCACGAGGTGACGTTGACGTTACAACCTTGTATGACCACCTCTTACCACTAGAACCGCACGACACAGATCGAATCAGTTGTGTTTCGTTGTGGAATTTTACTCCATTCCTCCTGCAGCATGTTGAACATCTGTTAAAGGGTCAATGGCGGATTACGACGTTGACGTACACGTTTATCGATCTGATCCCACAGATAATCAATTGGTTTCAGATCCGGGGATCAGGGGAGGACACTGATGTTGTTTATGGTAGTCCACTGTAGCACGTGATGTGTGAGGTCTGGCGTTGTCCTGTTGGTACATCTCCCTCTGACGGTCGACAAGAGAATGCACGTGAGGACATAGAATCTCGTCGAAATATCGAGCGGCCGTTAGATTGCCTTGGACAAGCACCAATTCCGATTTGCAAATGTATGAAATGGCTCCCCACATCATGACACCATCTCCACCAAATCCTCTTGTCTGATGCAGTTGGGTGCAAAGCGTTCATT